ATGGCGGACGTTCCGGTCTCCGTGAGTTTTCTGAGATATTTACTGACACGTGTTTACATTTTCCCCTTTCGAAAACCCTTAATTTGTTTTTATTTTTTATTTATTTTCTCATGTACTATTCGATCTTGTCCCTTTTTTACAGAATGCTGAGGTTCTGAAGCAGTTTGCCCAGAAGGTAACCACTTCCAGTCAAAATGAGAGAATTAAAATCTTGGATATGGTCGCCAAATGTGCGTCTAAAGGTAAAAAAAATTATAAATGTGTTGCTTTAGACGCATTTTTTAAAAAAATCATATTTTTGTCAGTTTTTTTTTTCTTCTTTATAGGAAGAATAAGTATCATCAGCTGTCAATTCCAATCGTCTTCATTAGCTGCTTAAATGTTAGTGTTTAAAATAATCTTTTTTTTTTTAGGTAGGGGGTCTTAAAGAGAAGTCATTTTCAAATATTTTTTAAATGTTGATATTTATCTACTTGACATTAAATATAAATTAATATCATAAATAAACGTAGACATTCAAAGAGTAATTCTAATTCTTTTTCTGATTTTTAATATTAACTTCGATCTTTATTTGTTTTTATTCATAAATCTGTCTTTTTAAAAATCTATGTGTAACTGAAACTGTTGAGTTTTTTGCTTATTTACTTCATAAACCTTCTTAAATTTAAACCTTTTACTTTAAAGTTTGTTTTAAAATTCGAATTATAATCTATCGGATTTTTTATTGTATTTGTTAATAATTTGATTTTGTTTTTTGTATCAAAATTAAAAATCAAAAAATGCTACTGAACTTCTTCAATTATCTTTTTTTACGAAACTGACATGGATTGTTTAAAAAGAAAAAAAAAGATTGTTTTTAATAAATATTTGTCGAGCTAAAAAAAAAAAACATAAAAAAGATATTTCCAGGCGATAAAATTATAACGAAACTGATGACAATGAAATAAGATTTGAAACTAAAAAAAAATAACGGAAAAATTCAAGTAGCCATTATTACGTTTAAATTTTTTTAAAACACCTCTAGAATGTTTAATATTTTCTAAGTTCATATTAATTAGTAATAAAATAAATGCTTAAAATTTACAAACAAACCTTTAACCATTTTTTTTTATTATGAAACAAAAAACTTTGAAAAGATAGGTAAATTATAAAAAAATAATAATTCAATTCTTTTTCTTCTGTGTCTCTTCAAAACTTAGACATCAGATTCTGTGTTCGTTTATTATAGGAGAAATGATCATGACTTGTTGATAAATATGGTGAAGTGGTTTCTCGCAGCCTTCTCCTCAGTTTTGAATTCAAATTAGTCCTTTTAGATCGGTTGCTTTACAAAGCTAAAAAGACCAGTCTACCCTGATATTTAATTAGTAGTCGAGGGAAAAAGAGAATGGTTTACTTTATATACCCTTCCAAGTGTATATTCATTCAATGAAGAAGACTCCTAAAATTCTTATTTTGTGTATGTGTTTTCATATAGTTTAGTAATTTTTTAATGCGTTTTTTATACAACAATATTTCTTATAAACAGAGGTACAATTTTTATTTGGGCCTTCTAACTCTAGGCCTGTTATTTTCACTAAGAAAAAAAAAAAAAAACAATGGTGACAGCAATTCCAATACATGTACCCACTAAAAATCACTGTTTATAATAATAAACTTAACTTAAATATAGTTTTGTGTTTAACTTCAGCCTTTATGATAAGAACCAATTTTTTGAATTAAACATTTTGGCAGATTGTCATTAAATTCCACTTTTTTTCTTTTCATTTGAAATTTTTCCTAGTAATCATTTAAAATTTGTATTTTTCTTTTTATCTAACCTCATTTTCATGTCTTAAAATATAAAATCAACTCATTAATGTCTATTTAAAAAAAAATATCAGTGTGATTTGTTTTCATCATTACAGTAATATTGATGCAAAATCAACTCATTAATGTCTATTTAAAAAAATATCAGTGTGATTTGTTTTCATCATTACAGTAATATTGATGCAAAATTGCATGTTGATGTATATTTTTAAAAATAAGTACAACTTTTTTAGGTAATTAAATCATTTCTTTTTTCTAATTATTTCCTATAAAACTCTAGTTGTGCTATGGATTTTTACTTTAATAGCCTTTTTTTATTGTGACAAACCTTCTCCTATCTGAATTTCTGGGATGAGGTGTTATTCTTATTTATTTATACTATTTACATTCAAACTATTGTCCTCATCTTTGTTGTTATTATAACGTTGTAGTCACCAGCCTTCATCTACAGAATTCCAAACTGAACCATTTATTTGATCTATGGAGTTAGACTGTTTTCATTCCACTGCTGATGTCTAGGGATATCTCATTTAGTTTTTAGTACAGATTGATTATTGTTCACACTGTTTCCTCTTAGTCCAAGTACACACTGCTTGTCCCAGGGATTGAACTCACAATTACTGCCATCAAATTCACAAACCAATTCTTTAATCTATTAGGCTGAAACTAGACAAGATGTCTCTAGACAGTCATAAGTATATAGATTTAGTGAAAATGTGTTTTGGTTTCTTAAATAGTTAGATATTGAAACTATATGATCATTTGTATTGTAGCAAACAATAAAATAATGTTAAATTTATTTACTTTATAAGTGACAAAAACAATTTAGGTGTATTTAGATTCTAAATATTTCTACTTAAGACAGCTTTTCTTGTACAGTTCAAGGGTTATGGCAATATCACTTGGAAAAATTGGTTCTCATACGATCATTGAAGTTGAGGAACATTGAACTTGGTTAATACCTCAATGGGTGACCACTTGAGAATACCAGATGCTGTAAACTTGGGTGTGGGGGTTGGCATAATTTCCAGAATTTTAAATAAGGAAGCTAAGTTCCAATTCCAGTTGTTTTTGTTATATTCACTCATGCATAAATACTCTTGAGAAAAGTATAAATCCACTTATTGTACCCCCCAGATATGGGTTAATTAGTAAGACTTGTATCAGTAAAATCATTATTATCTCGCCAAAATTCTTACAATCTAAAAACATTTTCTGGCTTTAAACAACCTGCAAAAGTTTGATAAAATATAAAAACAATCTACTTCCAAAAGCTTTTCTTTTACAGTTAAAGTTAATTTGGATGAATCTTTGTTTCAAATGTTATCAGAGGGTTAAAGGACCTCTCATATTTAAATAACATCTTTTCATGCCTGCTATAAAAAATTATTTTTAATTTTTATGTATATACAACACCATTTTGATAAAAGATCTGCTGTCTACAATATTATTCTTTATATTGAATGTATTGCCAAATTTCTGAAAAGGGTTTTGTCAGGTTCCAAAGAGTTTTTTATGATATTTAAATCATCAAACTAAAACAAGTAACTTTATATCAGAAGTAGGCCAAATAGATTGCCAACAATGCTCCCAAAAATACATTGATGAAACAATCTGAAACTTAAAGAAAGGAATGTATAAATATCAAAGGGATTTAAAATGTCACAAAATACTCGATGCATTTATTTGCCACAGGAACCTTTGTGAAACCAATTTTGAACTTGAACATGCCATTTCATTAAAAAGTGAATATAATTTACTCAGACTAAGATGCACTGTAAGTGCTATGATCTATGAATCCCCTATGATGATTAATATAGGACCACACTATTTCAGTTTATTGCTTGTTCTTACTACATTTGTACTGAAACAATGTGGAATAGTTAAATATTGAAGAAAAGAAATAATAAATAGAAATCGATTTGAAAGTAGTTAAAATCTAATTTCTATAAAGAAGTAAAGATCAAGCATTCAATTACTTAACATTAACTCTTAGGAGATGACATGGCCAATCCATCAGCCCAATAATACAAGCCTCGAGATTAGCTGGCTGGTCTTCATACCAGCCAATTAGATTGCCTCTTCTTGCATATCTGGGCTTTTCAATAGCAGTTTCTATGATAGTTTTGCTATGTTCTGTGATTTTTATAACTTTTTTTTTTTGTGTGTGTGTGTGTGTGTGTTTGTTCCAAGTGCACATTTGTGAAAAGGGCTCCGTATTCTTGACACTGAAACTCCAGAAGATGCTCTGTCTCCAAAGGTTTAATCACATTTTGTCTTGCTAAGTTTTTAAGTTTTTATTCTTTTGAAATAAAATTCTTTTTCTGATAATGTCAGTCCATCAAGAAAACATATCAAAGTAGGGGTTCTCCAAATTCCTTTGTATATTTGCCATTCTGTCAAAGTCTCATCTAAATTTACTTGCATTATGTATATTAAATATTAATAAAACTACAGAAATTAATGTAAACATAACAAATAAAGAAATATAGTTTTAAGGTATTTATGAGTAAAAGTGCTCAATATCATGAATAGTGTGTGTGTATAAGTCCCTGGGTTACGATAATCCCAGCTTATGACGATTTGTGGTTATCACACAGTCTCCATTAATTTTGTCTCACCTATAAGTTGGTGAATTCTTGATAAAAAAGAAAAACAAACATGCTTTTTTTTTCTTCCCCAGATTTGCTGTTGCTTTCGAGTACTGCAAGGAAGATCTTTTACTTCTTAATCTCATCTGCCAAGAGCCAATGACATCACTGGCAATAAATATACAATATTCATTATTTATATTATTTTCATTTCAAGTATTATATTTATGTCCGCCATGTTTATTTTTTTGTCCTAATTATGTTAACATAGGTCATAGAAATGTATTATGTCCTAGATTATTAATTTACTATTGCATTAGTGAGTGACGCAAGTGTTTATTCCCTGAAAATCATGGGTACATTCTGACTTACACAGAAAATTGTGTTACAAAACATCATATTTACAGAACTCTGTAAGTTGGGCCCCCCCTGTAAATATAAAAGTGGACACTTAAGTCAACACCCATATTTAATGTTCCTGCACTCAATTTCTAAACAGAAGAATTCATTTATTTGCAGTGTTTACGTTAATTTCTATATTTTTATAAATATTTGATCCTATATTTGTTGAACTAAATACTCCGTTTGATGACATTTTAATTTTAAACTGTGGGAAAATACATCATTTTGCTTATAGTGTTAATAACATTTTTAATCATCTTCAAAATCATTCATGCTTTCTGGGATCCATTTAATGTAGTTATATTTGCATTTATTTATCAAGCATGTCAAATTCTATCGAGCTTATCTATTAAGCTTTAGAAGTGCTTTGCCTGACTTTTAACCCTGCATTAGTCACATGGGATGTTTTGGTACCCCAAAATTTTTAAAGTACTTGTAATTCTTAGTTGGCAACTTGTTCAGAAATCTAAGGTGATTAACTCAGGATTAAAGATATTCACTTTCAACTGCTAAGTGACATAAGTGTCATAGGATTGCGTAATGGTTAGCAAGGTTAGTCTGGTTTGACTATTACTACTGAGTAATGATTTAGATACTCACTGGGCAACTCATACAAGAAAATATGACATTAACTCGAGAGGTGATGTAATAAAATCAATCCACCTACTGAGTTAAATATAATTTCTTTTACTTCATTTGTTCACCATTATTTGTGTTGTATTTCAATTATTTTAATAGCAGCTGATACAGATATTCACCCTTTTGCTATTAAATAATTATCTGTTTACACCATTCTGATTATTGTCTTCATCTTTATTGTCATATTCACAACATTTCAGTCGCTGTATGCTCTGCCCTTCTTCAGGGTCATATGTTTTGGTCAAGTCACTGCATTACTTCAACCACTGCTTTTTCTCATCTGGTCCTCAGGGACAATCTATCCTCATAGACTAAATAAAGGGTTCAGTTCAAAATTCCAACGTATGTCAAGAAGGCTGGAGTGAACAGTGACCAAAACTTTGTGAATATAGCAATAAAGATGAGGACAACAGTCCAAACAATGTAAATAGTTACAATACCCTATCTTGGAAATATAGACAAAAATAATTAATCTGTTTGGCATTTCTAAGGAACTGTAGTTATGATTAATTTTTATTTAGTTTTAATGAGAAGCACTTTCTTGTTCTGTTAAAGAGGCTGACTAAAAAGCTGTTTTTGTTTTGTTTTTTTAAATCTCTTTATTTTATTAAACTAAACTGTTTCTGTCTCTCAGAGTCTAATGAATCTGAATGGGATTGTTCCTAACCAAATTTACCCTATATTTAATTTAGTCAGTTCTGTTTCTCTGTTTGCTCCAATTACATACATTTTGCTTTCTGGTTGTACAGTAATGATTCTAACAGATGGTGTTGATTAAATCTTATGGCAAGTATTATTGTTTACCACCTCCCCACATTTGTTTGATCCATTACATTGGAGTTCAATAATAACCAAAATAAGCCATATATAACAATTGTTCAATCTTCCTTACTTTTTGTTTGTTTGTTTGTGTTTTAACAAAATAATATAGATCCTGGCAGTGGGGAATGAGCTATTAATTCATGTTTTAATTAAAAAAAAAAAAAGGAATGTGTATATGTTAATGAACCTCTGAAGTATGTACTTTTATGTAATAAATATTTGTTTAACAAACAATCTTAGTAATACAAGGTATTTCAAAAGTCTCTGTCACATTCTAAAAACTCTTATATCATGAACTACAAATGGTAGCATGATTGAACTGGTACCATTTAAAGGCTAAAAGTGTCAAGGTTTCTTCTGTTAATTTAATTTTAATTTAATTTAATTATCTGAACCCCACTCTGCCTGACAGATGGGTCAGACATTCTGGACAGACTGTGTGTTCCTGCAATGGCCACCTAGGTCTCCAGACTTCATGCTATATGACTTCTTCCTCTGGGGGTATGTGAAAAGCCTTATGCACGTACCTCCCCTTCCTAGAGACGCTGATGATCTGAAGATGCGAATAACTGAAGCCTTGGCAACTATCGACTTTGGCAAGAATTGGATTATTATTTGGATATGTGTTGTGTAGCCTGCATTGCTCACATTGAACACCTGTAAAAACCTGCATAGAAATGTGGAAATATTAGCTTTCAGTAAATATAAATTATGTTTTGATATCCTCAATAGCTATTTAATAGCTATATACATATAGATATATGTATATAGATATACAGTGGCATATTGTGACACAGACTTTTGAAACAACCTGTATTTCAATGATAGTTGGCATCGTCTGCCAAACATTGACTTTATTGATGTTTACAGGTGTAAATAAAGATGAGAAACAAATATGAATATCTTAATTATGCTTATTCTCTTTTTAAACTCTCTTGAGCACCATCTCCCATATAGAACTAAATTCTAAGTTCAATTTACTTACCATATCATTTGACTGATTCATTCAGCAGCCTCTTTCCAGATGCAATTATTTTGTTCTTACTCTCTTTTTTTTTCTTCTAGAACTACCAGAAAATGCAGTTAAAGGTATTCTAAAGTATTTGCTTAATACGCTGGGACGCTATCATGACCGTAAATCCCAGCAGGCAGTCCTTCGAGTGGTGTCAAATTTGTCCCAAAGTCAACCGGCAGTTACTCTCAAGTGTATTGGCTTGGCACTTTCCAATTTCAGCAAGTCTCAGAAAAATTACAACCATGCAAGGTAAGTTTCTTTTCACACTTGCCTTACTGCAAGAGGGGAAGTCTGCTTAAACTATCTAAATCTTGGTAATCTTTCTGTTAATTTATTACCAAGTGTTTTGTAGTCTCTCTCTCTCTCTCACACTTTTTTTTTTTTTATTGTCTCACCTATTTCTATTGGGTTGGTTTGGAGTTATAAACTTATCCTAATTGCACGGACAGACTTAATCAACATCCTCCGCTTAAAAAAAATATTTTCTCATCATTGACTTGAGGAAGTTTTCTTACCTCCAGTAGATTTTGGCATGATTGCACATATTAGTAACTGAATATGTTTCATTGGTTCAAATCTAATCTTTCCTTATTTGCTTTTCATGTAATTTAATTTTCTTCTAGCAAAAGCTTATCAAGTGAGTCAGTCATGGCTCTCATTTGGACTTGCATAGTGGCCAAGGAAGCATTCAGCTGTGATAAATCCTGCCCAAATGAAGATCTCAAAACTTTGGTAAGTAATCTCTTAAATCCTCATTCCTTTCATTTAAAAAAAAAAAAATCCTTCCCCCTCCTTTTCTTTATATGAAGCTTTAAATTTGTTTCTCACTAATCATTAAGATTTCTCATGATTAAAAATTTCAAAGACTCTTTTCCTAACAACTGTTTACTTGATACAGTCATTAATCCAGGCGAGTATAACTACAAAAGCACATTTAGGATTATTGACGCATCACGTTGAAACACTGATTCCCGTATAATCACTGAAGTTAAGCAATGTCGAATCTGGTCAGTACCTAAATGAGTGACTATTTTGTTATACCAGGTGCTGTAAGCTTGGATGTTTCAGTGCTGTAATGAATAATGGCATGGAATTGTTAATTGGAGAGCCAAGTTCCAATTCCCATTGGGTTCATTATATTCACTTGTGTATAAATACCCTTGGGAAAGATATGACTTCCTCTTCCCCCCAAGCTATGGGTTAATTAATAAAATTTGTATCACTAAACCCTTATCTACAAAAAATTCTTACAATCAGAAATATTTTCTGGCTTTAAATAACCTTCAAAGGGTTGATAAGCCATAAAAAAACAAATCAGTTGGTGAAATACTGATTAGCTACACAGGTATATCTTTTAGATTTATTTACATTCTCTGGACTACAAACTACTGTGTCCAGAAAATGAAGGACCAGTTTATCTATTGATTTATAATATAGAATTGATCCCCCACTTCATGTCCACATTTCTTGTTTATCAAATTCTGATTAAGTATGGATCACCCCCCCTTCCCCCAGCTATGGGTTAATTTGTAAGCCATGTATCACTAAACCATTATCTCAAAAACAAATTCTTACAAATTAAAAATATTTCCTGGCTTTAAATAACCTACAAATCTTTTGATAAGCCATAGAAAAGTAATCCATCACATCCAGACACCTTTATGATACAAATTTAAAAAGAAGAATCTTCTTCATTTGGGAAGTTCCCTCAATTTTTATTTACATTCTAGTTACTGTAATTATGACTCAATCATACAAAATTGGAAAGCATAATTTAGCAACACAAAAGAAAACAGATGCTATGCTTCACATCACAGACATATAATTTTAAAATTTTAATGTTGAACTTTAAATAACAATGTAATGATAGTAGCTCTATGAAATACCTGGTACAAAATAAACGTTTTTTTTTTTTTTTTTTTTTTTTTTTTTTTTAATTCTTTATGTGCAGGTAGCCGTCCAGTCTCTGCTGATTTATGGATGCCAGACAGCCCAGCACAAGACTCTCTCAGCTGTTTCTTACAAACACATTTGCAGTGTTTGGAAAAAGGTACATTTCACTTGTATGTTTGTTGTTTAAGTTGTGGGTTTTTCTTTTCTATTGAGAAAGAGGTAAGCTTCTTTTTCTTTTTTTGATGGAAACCCAAACGATGACTAAAAAGCAATAAAGTACAGTAGAAGAATTTTTCAGAAAATCATTTGAATATTTTTTTCATTTCATTCGGTTATCATAATTGCATTAAGTAAATGATTAAATCAGGCAAACTTTAAATTTAAAACAGAAGGAAATTAATATTGCATCATTGCTTCTAAAAAAAATTTTTTCAAACCAGTTGCCTTTGTTCAAAATATCCGAGAATTAAGAAGTTAGAATCTAGTTAAAGAATATCTGAGGAGCAGAAGACTAGGTAGAAGAAACAAAGAAGAAGAGCTTTATTAACTACTCATACACGGTACGGAAATATTTGAGTAAATCAAATACTACTCAAATCCTACTTTAATGTGGCTACTTGCCATATTTATAAGTAGGAGCAGTCCATTGTCACAGTAGTAGGGAAGAGTAGGAAGTATACTGAGTCCAACTTTACAACTAAAAGACGATTACAAAGGACCTCTTTTTGTTGTTGTTATCACATTTTAGCTATTATGTCCTCGGAGATGGCCCAAATTGCTGGACATCTGACGAAGGACAGAGGACACAATGGCTGAAATGTCATGATAGTAATCACAAAAACGAGGATGTTAGTGCAAATCTAAATAATGATTGCTCCTCATTCCAGAAATTCTGAAATAATTACAAATTATTTTGCTTTTTTGTAACTGACTTGATTTTTCCTTGAAATTAAGGCATCTTTAGAGTTGCATCTTTTTACATGAAAGTCTTAATTGTACTTTTATAAGAAAGAACTGTTAAGTTCAGCCACTTTAAAAAAAAGTTTTTCTTTGTTTTTGTTTTTTTAGTTATTCACCTTTGAACAACTAAATTCTTTTGCATTTCTTTTTTGGCAATTTTTAATTCCTTTTCTATTTTCTTTTTTCAAAACTCTCCAGTGCCCAGAAAGCATCTCAGAACATCTTGACTATTTGTCAAATGAAGAAGCTGCCCAGTTCCAAATCAGTTTGATGGCATTCATTATGAAATACTTTGCTGAAACTAAAAACAAAGATTCCATTACAAAATACAAGGTAAGTCCTATCCTCTATTTCTAGACTTACACATAAAAGAATTAGTTTTTCTTTATTCCTTCTAGCTTCGATTTCCAATTACAGGAGAGCTAAATATAGCATAAGTGGAGACAGGTTGAAATTTACAATCAAAAATTTAATTTGAAGAATTTTGAACCTCTTAATTTATGGATGATGAGAACCATTTCTTTGTAAGCAACTAAATCTTCTCTATTCCTCTTTTTATAGCAATTTTAAACATGTCTCTGCACCTTTCATTTTTTTTATTTTATTTTTTTAATCAATTCACTCCCAGTAAAGGCAATTAATTCCTCTAAGAGGCAAGGAGCTACTGGGAGTGAAAAAGAATAAGACTTTGGAAGGAACCTGAAACCCAAACCTAAACAGGAAACAAGGGATAAACTCTCTACTTTTGCGTGCTATATTTTTGTACCATTAACAAAATACTTAGGCTAAAGAGCATCCTAGAAATTCCATTGAAACAAATCTCAAAATACCTCAACAAAAATTGACAACCTGAAATGTTTTGCTTAAAAAACCCTTTAAATATATGTTAGCCTTCTAGATAGAATTTTGGATAGAAATATTCCTTGAATGAAACATCATACTGTATGACAAATAGGATAAAGTAAAAATATTAATCCTTAAGAGCTTTTAAAGAAAATATTACTGCAGTTGTTATTAATAATAAACAAATATCACCATGGCCACAGTTTGGAATAAATTATTATATACATATGTTTACGTGCTACTGGGCTTATGGCCACATTATGTCAAAACATTGGTTCCCATACAATCACCAAAGTTAAGTAACATAGAGTACCTAGATGGGTGACTGTTTGGAAATACCAGGTGCTGTAAGTTGGAATGTGCAGGCGGTGTAATGGATAATGGCTCGGAATTGTTAATTGGAAAGACAGGATTCTAGTTGGATTTGTTATATTCACTTATGTGCAAATACGTTTGGGAAAGGCATGAACTCACCTCTTCTATCCCCAGCTAATTAGTAAGACTTGTATTATTAAATCATACTCAAAAAAAAAAAAAAAAAAAATTTCACAAGCTAAAACTATTTTCTGGCTTTAAATAACCTGCAAAGGGATGATAAGCCGTAGAAAACGAATCCATCAGTCAATTAACAAGTACAACTGACACTGTGTAACCCAGCAAAAGCTGCTGCATGGGCCGGTCATTGGCAACTAAACTTGTTCTCCCACAAGATTTCTCTTGTGAAGAGGATTGTTAGGTATCCAGTAGGATTAAAACCAAGACCTGCCAAAGGGAAAATGATCTTTATAGGATCAGTGGCCATCTACCAAAATGAGGTTGACTAGTCTCTGTAGCTGTGTTTTCAGCCAAGGTGAAGTGTTCTCCCTGATAAAATCTGTGACCAAGGTGAGCCTTCAAGTTGGAGGACGTCATCTGTGATTTGGCCTAGAGAGGAATGGACACGACCAAACCTAATTGCCCAAGACACGCTATGCCTGAATGAATGTCTCTCCAGATTTCAATTTGCATATGTGGAGGGAAATGCCCAGCAACTCTGTAACCACACCCGGTCATGATTGATGATGATGACGATGACACATATGTGGGTCATGCATTATAATATCCTTGGATAGAGCACCAAATAATATACATACACATATCTCAAGACCAAATAGAGCATTATGCTTTCTGCTTTTGAGACTTAAAAACCATGACTGTAATATCACAGCCAGGTGAGCCATCTCTATCAGTCTTTCACCATACCTTTATAAATACCTCTAGACTTGTGCCATCAAATGTATCATTGTAAAAGTTAATACTTAATTACTCATTGATGCTGACCTGATGCGTGATCATCTGTGATATCGTGGAAGATTTCTTTCTCCCTCATGCATTGCCCAACCCAGTCTCTTAAATGTCTCCTGACAATAGCCAAACAATACAATGGCACATTTATACAGGTGATTTCTTACTTTTTCTCATCTGACTTTACGCCTCCTGTCATCACTGTGACAGCCATCAAAGTAACCTGAGAATTAAACAAAAATTTCTATCCTTCAACATAAATAGGGATTTAGTTGTGACACAATTTCATCAGGAATTGGAAAATATTTAAACACTTTTTTTTGTATTGCAGAAGGCATTTATCAATATATACTTGAAGCAAGTATTAGCATGTCGAACTTCCCCACCAATACACATCCTTGTAAGTTGTTTTTTTTTTTTTTTCTTCTTCTCTTCCACTTGATTTTTAAAATTTATCAATTTTTCATTCATATTAAATGAGTTTTTTTGTTTTTTTTCATCATAAATCTTTTTCAAATTATTTTGTCTTCATTGTTATTTTCAGGAAGATTGTAAGTTCATTTTACGGCATGTGAACCATGAGGAATTCAAGGGTCAGATTTCACCTGCAGCTCAGAAGGCTATGCTTAGAAATCCTGAAATCATCCTTGAGGGTCAGTATTAAAATCCCATGAGAGATATAAGCAAAACCTGACCAAATATTACTTTAAAATTAGGAACAGTTATCACTGTTAAACATTAGAAATTAGATTGCTTTCTTAGTAAAAAGAAAATTATGTACACAGTTTGCAATTGATACCCTATAGTTTACTGTAGCTCACATTTCAAAAGCCAGATGAGTTGAAGTTCCCTCCCAACCACTGGCTAGATGCAACACATTATCACATGTGCACGTAAGAGACTAGTTAAAAAAAAAAAATGATTTTATAGTAAAATCTACAAATAAGTTCTTTGTCCGAATTTTTTTTTAAACAGAAAACAGTGAATATCTAAACTAAAAATCAGTTTATTGGAAAAAAAAATATAAGTGGAATACAGGTTAAAATAATCAAAAGACAATTCACTCAAACCACCCTCAGCATCTACTATGGCCTCGATCCAACTTCAGAATCTGGCACATGCTACCATCATGGTGCCCGTAGAGAGAGCCTCAAACACCTCCTGTCAATCAGCTGGGCTTTGGTGTTATAGGTAATGTCTTTCTCAGCCAAGCCCCACACCTAATAATCCATAGGATTACAATCAGGGGACTTAGCGGGGAAGTCATATGGGATGGTGAAGTTGTAAAAATTATCTGACAACCACTTTTGACACTTCCTGGAGTTGTGGCAGGAGCTGAATCTTGCTGCCACATATATGGTCTTCCAGCAGCCACCCTTTTCAACCAAGGCTGGACCACAGTTTTCTGCAATTGCTCATCCTGACCTTTACACCCCTTTATATGACTGGTAGTCGATGTCCTCATTCAAGGCCAGCTTTACAGTAGAAATTGCAACACCCATTTCATGCAGCAAGGCCCACATTGCCTTACCTGGGTCTTCTATCACTTTCTCCTACAGTTGTTAGATGACCTCTCTCCTTGCAACTCACCTTTTCATGTCTTATTCTTCTCACAGTGTTCAAAGAACATTGAGCAGCTGTCATGGTTACGGCATTTTGATGCCCTGCACGAATCATGATGCAGGTTACTCTTTTCTAATATTCAGGTGGCTTCCACTCATCCATGTTAGTTAACTATGACACCTCTAAAATTGTAGTGATTGGGTTTCACAATGCCATTTGCCGTTTACAGATATTCCAAACCATTCTGAAAAAATAAACACATTAGACTGTCAATTTTAACCTGAACACCTTGTATATACACAATGTGTAGCAAAAATAAATTACGGTATTTTAGGAAAATTTGTAAGTATTATCACGTCAAACTAACAGGATTTATTATGATGAACAAACTATTCAGCATGTTCAAAATGCTCCCCTTTATGTTCAGTGCGACGCTGAACCCTATCGGCAACACTTCTACAAACCATTTGACACATTTCTACATTAATTTCAAAAAATTTATCAGAAATTGCTTGTTTTAATGCAGGAATTGTTTACAGTTTGAGCCTAGAAACAAGATCTTTTTACATGTTTCACTGAATGTGACAGAGAAGAAAAATCTTATAACTTTTTCTGGTATTATAACAGTTTTTCTTTTATGGGGCCTAAGAGAGTGTAGAAACAGTTCATAAAGATTGTTACCCCAGAAGTTTTCAGCCTATTCATGAACCATTTTCAAGAGGTCATTTTTAATGTTTTCCAGTGTTTACATTCTAAGTTGTATTGTGTGGAAATACTATTAGTTCTAAGCCATGCCTGATGGGAGTTTTACTAATTCTATATTGGAGTGCCTTTAAAACATTGTCAACATTTTGCCCAGTTTCAAAGAAGGGAAATTTGGGGCTTGGCTTAAACTGGTTTATATTATAAAATTTTCCTTGTCCATCACATTCAATAAAGTGTGTATATGCACATACATACATACAAAATTGGTGTGTTCATCTAACTTTCAGATGTAATTTTGTCTTTGAAAATGATAAACACTACTATATTTGCCTTGGAAAAAAACAACATCCTGATGATGACATTGTGCTAATGTTAAAAGTACTCTGAATAAATAACATGTATCAACATGGTAATTTTCTCTCTTCCTTTAATAATAACACCAAAAAGCTTGTCTGTGAATATGATAGGATCCAATTGAAAATAAGTAGACAAAATTATACAATGAAATGTCTCAATATATATATATATATATAGAGAGAGAGAGAGAGAGTCATATATATATATATATATATATATATATATATATAATATATTTGACTCCTTTCCATTGTGTTTGATCATATTATTTGCTTTTCCTTTTCAGCTGTTGAACACCTATTGTCAGGAGTCCAGTTGGACCTCAGCCAATATGCCCTGGAGCTAGGCAAACCACTTGCCAGTAAGTTGGCCTCTCTTTCTTTCTCTGATTTTGGAGAGGAGAATGTTAAAATCTTTGATAGCTTTGCCTAATGATAACTCTACAGAGATGATTTCTATTTTCTTTGGATTAGAATGTTTACTTTGGATTAGCAAAATTTATATTCACAGAATCTATATACCTTGCATCACATTTTGACATTAGTGTTTCTTGTCTTTTTATATACACAGACACATGCAGCCTAATGAGATTTTGGCATAGAGAATGGGATCATAATGTTGTATAAATTCCCTTTTAAACTCTAACTTTGTCTTGAATCTGAATGAACATGTTAGCAGGAAAGTGATGCAAAAAATGTTAAAAGCTTTTAAAAATACATATTCTTTCTTTTGTTATTTGTGACCAGTTCAGACTACTCTCTTTGTCTTTGTTTTCAAACTGACTCCAAAACGGTAGTATGCATAGGTTTCATGATACCCAGGGGCCAACTCCTTGATTGCATGCCTCTAAGACTCAAGTGGTGGTGGTTGAGGATGGGGTTTCGGCACCTAGTACTGAGAAATGTGAGAAAGACATTTTGAATATATATTATAAAAACAGATGAGACCTGAAATAAACACTTTATTTCAAAAACTAAATTTTTATTTCACTCTTTAATTTGATGTCCTCTCAATATGGGTGCCCAAGGCTGCCACACCCTCTGACCCCCCCTACCTCCGGCCTTCCGCATGCTATTGCTCCAAACCAGCCACATATTGTGATTAAAAGAAAAATTTCATCTGAACAAATTGAGACAAGAATTATTTGTCTTCCAACGAAAGATAGAATGCATACATGCTGTAGAAATTTGTTCAACAGCAAAACTTCCTCGTATGAATCGCTTTATAAGAGCTAACAGGAAGTGGTCAAAAATAGTGAATAACCTAAAAAGTACATAAGCTGAAAAAGGGAAAATAAAATATTACAGGTTTTGTACTGTGATAACAGAACAATTGTCATCTTATGATAAAACAAGTCTGAACATGAAGATAAAACACATCAAATGCATCTTTTACATGACCTCTGCCATTTTTTTTTCTTCAGAGCAACTATTTGCAAAAGAATTATCTGTTCGAGGATCTGCAGCTGCAGCATTGAAGGCTCTAGCGAAACAGTGTAGTGACCCTGGAGCCGTAGAGAAGTTAACTGCACACCTCTTTACAGTTCTTGCTGGTAAGTGATGGTCTCCCAACTGGAAACCATTCTAGTTCTTGAGTTTTTTAAATTACTTATATTTGTGTATCTTTTTGTTAGAAATCTTTCCATTTGTGTTCAATGTCGATAGAAATGTGAACATGAACGTTCTTCGTCTTTTGCATTAACTAACATCACAATTCTGACAACACATTTTGAATAAACCACTGTCTTTTAACTGAAAAATCTGAGGCAATTTATGGGTTTTACAATCAATATTACACAGTAACAACATAGTTTTTAGTTATTAGGTCAAGTCATAATTTCCATTTTCATTTATTACATTTATTCTTCGCAGTAGGAAGTACATTCTATTCAATTAAACATTCACCATTATTTGCAATGACTTGCAAAATATCTTTTGTGTTCATTAAACGTAATAGCCTGGATGTATTGACAATATTAAAGGTGATAATCTGAAACTATTGACGTCATTAAACGTTATAGCCTGAACCTATTGACATCATTAAAGGTGATCGTCTTAAACTACTTACGCAAAACTTACACAAGAGATATCTTGCAAGTCTTTTTTATTCAGTCTCTGAAATAAGTTGGTTATCATAGTTTGCATTGTTACTTTTAGTAGGGATATTTATGAAGTCTGAAGTGGAGGGTTCAAAAATATATTAAAGTTTTTATATAGTTTTGCTTGACAAGTTTTATAATTTTATATTTTGGTAAAAAGTTTTTCCCCATCAAAGCATTTTGCATCAATCATAAAAGGTAATAATCTGTTGGTACATGAACATCTGAATATGGTGGTTGGGGTAGAACAGACCAACAATTTTTCTTGTCATACTTGCTGTATGTGGCCTTGCATTTGTACACTATCACTGCCATACCAAGCTAAGGTATGTTGGTGTACTCCAAACTTATTCTTAACCATGATGTATGATTAGTAGTTAAGAAATACATTTGTCATTATAATTGGTTCCCAAAACTAGAAATTACTTTTGACTCGACCTAATAATTAATGTTTACTGCCCCATTTTTGGATGTTTTGGGTAGGATGATGGCAGCAATCGGGAGATTTTATAGAACATGGAACCACCTCTTAATTGCTATCATTCCCAAATCCACCCTGAACTTTGGTAGCACTGTTAGGGAGCCCCATCTATGAACAAATAGATAACCCCTAAACTGGGGTCAAAAACACTATGAAAGTATAAAAATGGCTTTTTGTAGTGAAAATATCAGCAATACATTTTTTGAAAAAAAAAAATGATATATATTACACAGCAAAAAAAAATCCCAAATTACCTTATTTGGGTATAAATTCATTTCAGCCAACACCAAGTACTTTGGTCTTATTCTGATACGAATACGGTCCATCCACCAGGGTTGAATAAGGTCAATGTACTTAGCATTGGCTGAAATAGATTTATACCCATATGAGATAATTTTGGATTTTTTTGCTATGTAATTAATATGCTCTGTTATAATAAATATGTTGAGCTCTCTTTATGGATCAGTTTTAATATTTGATATTATTAGGATCCACCTGAATTATAAATCAACATATATATATATATATATATATATATATATATATATAACCAGCAATATGTTTGACTCTCAACAAAAACACGTCAATGAAACCTGATCTACAAACTTATTTCTTACGAAGAATACATATTCTATTCATACGAATCTATCCTAAAGATCTTATCAGCATTAAATAACCCATTGAGGTTGATATGCCATGAAACAAAATAAACCTAAACCCATTTTTTGGAACCTTAACATCAGGTCATGCCTATGGCATAGATCTTCTCTACCACTCTCCGGTTTTCCTGATTATCCATCACACCTGATAGGGCTTCAGGTTGGCATCCTGTTTTTTTTTTTTTTTTTTTGTTTTTTATACTTGGTTACCTGATGTATGTTTTGAATGGGTGACTAATCCTAATGCACCCGTTTTCGTGTTCATAACATAGTGTCACTGATAATCTCATCCTTGCTTCTCCAGGAATGCCACACAAATCTTTCTCAAATGTCTTGTAAGATGGGAGCCATAAAACTTGTTTTTTTAAAGGAGGCTGTTTTCAGGATAGATTCACTGCAACATGTAGCATTCTTGTATACATGCCATCTGGTTTCTTCTCTAACCATTTTGTGTTCATGTCCATGTAGTTGTCTCATAGACCAAACAAGTTATGACTTGGACAGAGTCTTGTTTCATGATATGAGATTTTTAGGACAGTGGAGATTAGTGGATAATAGATAGAAACCTATAATTAATACCAGAATTTATTTTATAGTAGGCATTAATGGTTTAAATTTTTTTTTTTTTTCAATCTATCTTCAATGTGAAACTTTGTTAAAAGAAAAAAGAATTCATGATATGACTTAGAAAGATTTTGTTATATTGTTCATCTAATTTGTGTTTCCAATCGATAAATGTTTGACTTTGAAACATCTTGGTACTTCAGCTTTCTCTTTAAAAAAAAAATAATCTTAATAGTGAGTTTAAATGAGCTGTTAGGCATTTAATGAAGTTAAATGGCTCATTTTTGGTGAATATGAAACGAGGGAGCTGTCATCTGAAGTGTAAATTTTGTCTTTTTTTTATCTGTGTACAGTTTTGATATGACATATCTTAGAACAAGTATTTGTCTTTTCTTTTTGCTAGGTTCTGAAGGCAAACTGACCTCTGCTGACCAACGGATTGGCGTTATGCAGGGCATCTACGGTATGAGTTTTCATGTGGTCAGTGGTTCCATTCAAGTCCAAAATTTGTCTTCATCCGTCTGTGAACTCTTCATTCCTATTCTTTCACAAGAAGGTAAAAATCTTTTCTCTCTCTCTCTCTCTCTCTCTTTCTCCTCCTTTTTTTTTTTTTTTTTTTAAATCAATTTACACCAAGCAAGGTGATAATGCCACTAAGATACAAGAAGCTAGTGGGAGTGAAAGAGAATGAAAAAGACTTTAGAAAGCACCAGAAACCCAATCCTAAACAGGAAACAAGGACTCTAATTTAAGTTACAGACAGAAATCTCTTTCACATAAATATTTTTCAGTTGTGAATTACAAGATAAAAATAAGATACTTTCCAATTTACTTAAAGCTAAAATTGAATACAAAAACCATATGAGAGTTCTAGATAGGAATTGAATTCATTACCAGTTGTGAAACCAGCAAACAGATCTTTATACTCAAATTTTCAGTTATGCCAGTTTTACACAAATAGTTTTAGGTCTGTAGAAATTTTCTCTTTTGTATGGTATTAATATCTGAGAACAGCTTTTGATGTTTAAAAAACAAGAGAGAAAAGAAGAAAAAAATGAATTTGCTATGTTATATCTTTGTTAGCACATTGACTGCTATCACTGTTGCTTTAGCTTAAAACATTGACTGTCAGAGGTCAATTACAAAATCTGACTTCAAATACTAACTTTATAATAGCCAAGTTAGGCAATAAATTTTTTTTCAAATGCTTTACTAAATTTTCAATAAATTTTTTCCCATAAAAAGTTTGTAGTTGCTAGTACTTTGTTGCATTAACTATATTTATAAAACAAGATGTCTGTGTGATACCTTTTCACTCTTGATCCATCCAACCAATTTTGACCAAACTTGGCATGTACATTGTACAATGTAAGAGATAGGTCCTTAGTGTAAAAAATCGATAAGTTTTAAAAAATCAATAATCGGTAAAGCTAATCAAAAATTGATAAATTTAACTTTTTTCCTCTGAATTCTTTTGAGACTCGGTATGTAGGTTGCTTACATCGTGACAAACTCAGCGCTACCTCATTTTTATTTCTATTCCACTGTGTTTAGTGAAAAATGAAAATTCAATTTCAACACAAATTTTAAGCTTAAAAAACTCCCTCAATTTTCAAGCAATCTAAACTTCACTCAATTGTAGCCAACAATAAGTTGATTGTTTAACAGTCATTTAACTTTATAATTGTGTCTGCGTAAATAGCGAAAAATGGTGATTTTTTTTTACTGGTTTCTTTCTTATTTTTCGTTGATCTTTCAACCAATGTTCATAAAACTTAACAATTGCTTTATAAATGTATCCTCTTTTACATCCCTGGTAACACACTGACAAATTGAATTTCAAAAATTCCCAAATAAATGTGGTGGGTCTTCATGTTGCCTGTTTTACACCTTTGTGTCCTTGGCTAACTTCGATTGAATAAATACAGACTACTTCTGTTATATCAGTAACTGCATTAATTCAAAATATTTTTTAATGAAAGTACTTTAAAGTAATTCAAGAAGATAGACTCTGTTACATCTAAACATGATGCTGTTTTTGCTCCGTTCTAATTGAATGCTTTTTCTGATCAACCAGCTGGGTATGGCTGCTATTTGCACAACCAACAAAAAAATCTCATGGTTGTTGCCTTCATGGCAAGACCTCAAAAACTCAGGGTTGGCTGCTAATCATGGGTTATCTCATTTCTCTCTATCATTTTGTAGTTCATGAAGGCACTTTGGTATCAACTCTACAAGTCTTAAAAGCATGGTGTAGTCGTTTCTACACAGAAGTACCAGAAAAACTTGTACAATGGTTTGTAGTAAGTAAACGTTTGTTTATTTTGACTACTAGTAAATGAATAAAATGTTTTGTTTGGAGCTTTTATGATTATTAGTTTTTATTTTTTTTTAAATGTTAATAGATGGAAACTTTTTCACTTTTGACTTCTTTTTTCTTTTAATATATGATATTAAGAATGGAAAGAAATGATCTTGTTTTAAATAAATATGAGATATGAAATTTTAAATATTGAAATAAATTTCTTTGTCTATTTTCTTAAATTGGAACAGAAACTCATTGAAAAATTATCCCTTTTCAGAAAGGCATGAATCTGAAATCCTCAACATCTGTAGTTCGTAATGCCTACATTCAATGTATGTCAGTGGCTTTCCAAGGTGAGAGCATGAAACTATCATTTCTTTAATTTTTTAATAATATTTTTAGTGTCTTATATTTCTTTTATGTTATTTCAATTCTATAATAATGCATTAGTTTTAAGAAATGTGTATTTTGTGTGTGTGTGTGTGTGTGTGTGTGTGAGAGTATACTAATAATAAAAAAGAAAAAGCCAATGCTGAATAACATCAACTATAAACATGGCCACAATGTGCTGACTGTGTTTGTAAAATAAAAAAAGATTCCTATAACTAGATATATACATAAAAAAATTCATGCATTGAGTTAAAAATCATCCTTGATAATGGCTAAAAGAATAGCCAAAAACACTCAGATATACAGAACATTTGGATAATTTTTACACACTTCATGTCCAGAAGAGAAAACATGAATACAAGGAAAATGAAATAAAAAAAACTTAATTGCAGTACCTTGTTAGTCTTCTATAATAAAATTTGTCTAAAAGGAATATTGCTGCCCAAATACACAATTTTATATATAGGGAAACTATCTCCAAATGCAGTGAGAACGAATCATATAAATTCAAATGATCATAATGTTAATTTAAAATAGAGCTCAATACAAAAGTAGAGTGATCATTCTTTATGATCAGGTATTATATTCAAACATATATATATGTTCAAATGTAATATTATATATATATATATATATATATATATATAATGAAAGAGATGTGGTAAGTTAAAATTGTAAAGTCAATTATTGTTTGTTGTAGGTGATACTTTACAGCAGGCTCGAAATGTCGTGCCAGTCTTGGTGCAGGTGTTAGAGAAGGCCAACAATCAGTCCAGTCAAGTCCATTTGGTCACTGAAGTTCTGTCAGCATCAAAGATCTTGACTTGCCTATCACTAATCGACATAGATGCAAGCTCCAAATTCCCTCTGTTTTGGAACCTCATAACCGACATGGACAAACAGTTGTTATTTAATGAGAAGTTCCTTTTGTCTCTTAATGAAGAATGTAAGTTCTTATCATTTAAGAAATATTTTAATTTTTATTTTCCATCAATAAGCATAACGTACACTTCAATAAATTTTGTTGCTAGTTATATTTGTCCTTTGTTTTCTAAATTGATTACCAAAAAATAATAATTTTAAAACAAATTGTTCTATGATTCTTACTTAAAATTTCATACCAAATTGTCAACTTGCCTCAACATATATTTATCAAGTTTTTACCATTTATTTAAAATAAATAGATGACTGGCCACTGTATCTGAGAATACCGGAGTGGTAAAAATGTTTGCTTATGACACTGAGATTCAGGTTTAAATCTCACCAGGGTCAATTTGTCTGGAAGGTGACTTCTTGATGTTATCAGCCTGGGGCGGAAGGTGATCCTAGCATGCAGGCACTTTTGGAAAGTGCCTGAAAACCATTGTGAGTGAAATTGGGTTGACAGAACTAATTGAGAGCCAGCAATGGTTGTGCTAGCACAAAGTCACAAGTCATTGTGACTGAGGGTTTCAGCATGCTGGTCTTGTTCAGATTATTGATCATGCCAAACAATTTGCTCTCTCCAAGAAATTGTAACTAAGATTCACTCAGTATAAACCATAAGTATGAGCTCTATAGGTGTTGAACAAACACAAATGCATCTGGCCATTTATTAATCAGTGTAATTATAAAATATAAAAAGACTCATTATTTTTATTTCTTTTCTTTTTCAGCGACTCTAATCCTTGTCTTTGTTATTGAAAAGATCATTTTAAATTTCCCTAGTAAATTCACAGGGAAGGGCCTAAGGTTAGTATTTTGACGTTGTTTTGTGCTTCAAGTATCTTTAAAAGTTAACAAGAATTTGTTTTTCTTTGCTTAATATAAAAATAAATAATTTATAATAAGTTTTATTTGCCTGAATTTCTTGTGAATTGTCTGCATGTTAACTCTTCAGTATCTGTCTATATTTCTGAGATGAGGTATGATGTATACTATTTACATTATTCGGACTATTGTCCTCATCTTTGTTGCCATATTTATCACGTTTCAACCTCTTCAGGTAATTGGAATGTTGTTCTGATCCCTTTATTTCACTCGCTGGGGTAGACTGTTCTAGTTCCACATGCCATGTCTAATGGATGTCAGTCATCTGTTAATTCCCTATCCAAGTTCTTCACTCTCTTAACCAGGTATTGAACTCACAACTCTTTGGGTCCTGTCACTGGGTCTAAGCAACACCTTTATCCACTGTGCCATGTGTCCTTAAGGACATCTGTGTATGAATTTCTGGGATTTATAAACTTAATGTCTTCAGCAACCATTATTACCAGTGTTCATATTGCAAGTTTTGCTGTTATCATTGCATGTTTTTTACCAGAGCTCATATTGCAATTTTCGTTGTTATTATTGCTTTTCCACCAGAAGAAGGCTGGAGCATACAATGGCCAAAATGTTGTAATAAGTATGGCAACAATGATGAGGACAATAATTTGAATAATGTAAATAGTATGTTGACTCTTGTTTTGATTCTACTTCTGACTTTGTCATTTTCTTTTTGACAGGGCTATGTACAAAGCTTTCATTTTTAGTCTGACCAACAAGAGCTGGCCTGTGCGCAAGAGATGCATTTCAACATTAAAGCAAATTAGCAGCCTTAATGACAGAAATAAAATTACAGTTGACTTGATTGATGTGCTTGGAAATTTAATTTCAACACAAAAGGTATTAAAGTTTTTATTTGAGGACTTTACAAGTTTTCTCTTTTCCTTACAAGAAATCAAGAATATATTGTTCAACGTGATGTGAATGAATTAACTGCTCTGTGTCTACAATTAAGATAATAGAAAAGTAATTCCCTCTCCTCTCTTTATGAGAACGATTAGAAAAGTAATTCCCTCATTATGAGAATGTTTAAAATTCCCTTTAGTCTCACTATCATCCCTCTTTAGTTGCTAAAATATCTAACCAGTTACACAAATAAATAAATCTCTATTATCAAAATGAAAAATGTAATCATATATTTAAATAAATATTGAGACATTTGAAGAAAAAAATCCAATTTTTACACTGTTAATTTTTTTTTTTAATCTTTACAACAATGAATTAAAAAAAAAAATAACATTGTACTTGTCGTGATTGACCATTATATCAATGTCAAGATACATCTAAGAATTGATTATTTATCAATGAAGTTTCATTTATGTTGTTTATTATAGTTAATTGTAAATTATAGTCCGAAAATGAGGGGAAAGTTTTTTGAGTTATCTTTTTTTTTTTTTTTCTTAGCTTCCTCAACCCGGTGAAGATGACAGTTCAGATGATACATCAACAAAACGAGTGAACCCAAAGGCCTTGTCCAATGCTCTTCTCTATCTAACCAACTTACTATCTCCAACAAATTCTGAAATTGAAGCTATGGCAATGGCATCTCTGATTCCAGCCCATCACCCTGTGATTGGTAAGATTCTAAACACATTAGGAATAAAATTAGCGTAACAATTTATGGTACAGTCAAATTTGGAATAGGTTTTTGGCATAGATATGCAGTGTATTGTCAAAACTTTATCTTGTCTCTTGAACTCAGAATTTCAATTAAAATTAAAATGTTTAACAAAAATGAAGTTATTTACATTTTCATGGCTTGTTTCAAAAATGTTATTGAAAGGTATAGATTTAAATGAATTTATTATAGGCATTCTGACAGATTTTGAGAGACTGACAGTCATGGTTAAAAATCCAGTTAAATGACATAAAAAAAAAATTTGGTTTCTGTAAACTCCATACTATTAGGGAGAAGAATTTTCTGAAATAAAAATTCAAATATGGAGAAATGTATTTCTCTAGTTTAAAAACTTTCCTATGAAAAATAAACAAAAATTAAATTGATATACCTGCATTTTAAAAACTTCTAGAAATTTAACTAATTATTGAAATTTAATAAAACTTTACATATTGTATCAATGACTGGATTTCATAAAGTTTTATTTCTATAAATATCTTTCTTTGGCAACTCCACTTATGAAATCTTAATGAAATATGGCATGAATGTAAAGTTTTGTATTGTTTAAAAGATAAATCCATATGGAATTAAAATCTTTCTTTCTTTTTTTGTTTTTTCTTTTGTGCTGAAAGACCTAAACAATAATAAAGAAATTCATCAGTAAATGTTAACTGATGTAATTTTAAAAAATATAAACATCTCTCAGACAAAAAAAAACACACACATACACACCAGGTGTCATGTGATTCTTGATAAAATCCAAAGAAGAATCAGCAATATTATTGGTCTTGACCTGGCATCTTGGCTTCAGTCACTTTTCCACTGCTATAATGTAGCTTCCTTGCACCTTTTCTAGAAATACTTTCATGGTAATTGTTCAGATGAGCTCTTCACTATGGTGCTCAAATTTTATGAATTCAAGTGTAATACAATTTTAAAAAGTTCACTTTGAATATTTGCAATTTGTCCAAAAATGTTCAGAAAAGTTCTTGGCCTGATCTATTTCTAAAAATCTAAGTATTACCTTTCTTTCATCTCTCCCTAAGGTAGCCTTATTTAGGCTGAGAACTTTTCATCAACCCTTAATTTTAACCTGGTTCAAGTCATTTTTTGAATAGTTATCCTCTGACCACAATGATTTCTATTTCCCTGACTTTGGACAACAATATCACGGAATGAGGAAACATTATCTTTAGTTGTCATCTCATCCCCACCCCTAAAATGCCCTTGAAAATATCTAATTGTTTACCTTATTTTCTCTTTAGTGCTTCAACGACCCAATTTATGGAAGGCAATTATGAAGCAGCTGAAACATTCTCCAAAGGACTTTGTTGAAAGAAAAGCAGAAAAATGTTTAAAGAACATTTACAATGAAGCTATCAGCCAAGTGAGTATTTGCTTTCAAGCCTAGGCACATGCACACACACACACACACACACACACACACGCAGTCATTTTTCTGTTGCCATAGTAGGATATGACAACACTAGCTCAAAATTCAACCACACTATTGCCTGATGATCAGAGTTGCATGCAGTGGATGTACAAACATTTTGTTTGGCAAATAAAGTCACCTACAGAGTGCTAAACGTTAACTATTGCTTATCAGCATGACTTTTTTTTTCTTCTTACAGTGTAGATCAATTTGACCTACTGTATGTTTATTCATGACATATTGACAAGAATTTTCTTTGCCAAATTACAATTTTCAGACTGGATAGTGTTGTTATAAAATAATTATACAATACGTATATGACTGCAACTCTCTTTATAATGTGTGGACCACAAGTACATACAGGCAAAATAAGATTAATAAGGTTGTTATCCTTATATTTATAAACCACCACTACTACTTATTAAAAAAAAACACCACTATCACCACCACTATTTTGTTCATCACTACTACTTATTAAAAAAAAAAAAAAAAAAAAAAAAAACACCATCCATTCAAAGACCATTAATGTGAGTAGAAATTAAAGAATATATCTTTTGAAAAAGTCATGGCTATAGCATTGATTTTACTCCCATCATGCAATGTCAGCTTTGATAATATCTGTTTTATTCTTTCAGAGTGTTGAAAATGCCTTGGCAACACTTGTGTCAGTAGCTCCAGAGAAAATCCTACCAAAGTTGGTTGGTCACCTGTGTAATCAGCTGATCTTGCCAGAATTTTTTAATGTATCTCAACAAGATTTTGGAATATTCCAGTGTTCGGAAGGAGAATTATATGACAAGTCTGTCATGGAAAAGTCAGTATTATTTGATTACAGTCAGATTTGGAAATTTTCCAGCTTTTTTTTTATAACATTCTGAGACCCTTTTATATGCAAAATGCCCTATGGCCATGTCGTGTTGAAATGCCAATTCTCATTCAGTCACTGAAGCTGAGCGACCTCAAGCCTGACCAATACCTAAATGGGTGATCACCTGGGAATAGCAGGTGCTGTGAGGTTGTATATGTAGGTGGTATAATGAATAACTGTTTGGAATGGGAAATCTTGTAGCTGAGTTCCAATTCCAGTCAGGTTCATTAAATTCACATGCACAACTACCTTTGGGGAAAGGTATGAATCCACTTATTCTCCCCCAGGTATGGGTTAATTAGTAAGACTTATCAGCAGATCATTATTATCATCTTAGAATCAAAAATGTTTTCTGACTTTAAATAATCTGCTAAAGGTTGATAATCCATAAAAAACAAAGTCAGTATATGCAAAAAAATATAACTGCACAAAAATATGATTTACCAACAAAATTAAGTTTTAAAATTTTACAGGAGTAATGTGAAAAATATTTTTATTATTATTATTGATGCTATAGCTGGAAATTTTCCAATTCATGCCTGACAAATTGAATTAAATTCGTGTGCTATTATATTTACTGCTACTTGTCTGTTATTAAAGAATTTTTCTTATTCTTCACGGCTCTGATGAAGAATCTGTACATTAGCCAAATGTGTGCTTTTGCTTCAAAATTGTTAAAATCCTTTGATCAAAGATTTTTTTTCTGTGGACAAATGATTATTCTTACATGGACATCCTGGCTTTTGTGGTCGAAGAATGATTATTTTTTGTTTTAATTTGGTTCCCTAACATCTGAAATTGTTTCATCTGACCATTTTCTGTTTCAGTATTCTGAAAGATGAAGTTAAAGAGACTAATATCAAGAGAGAAAACAAACTTTATTCTTATGCTGAGCAAATGGCTGAAATTGAACTCAGAAAGGTCAGTTTGATTCTCACTGTCTCTTTTCCAATGATTCTTTTGTCAAGTTTTGGACAAAATTTCATTAAACTCATGACTAACCTTTAAGTCATTGTTATTTTTGTTGTTGTTAGGAAATAGAGAAGAAAAAGAGAGGTAAAGGTGATGTGAAGCTGACTAAAAAGCAAGAAGAGAAAGTCCAGGCTCAATTGAAAAAAGAATCTGAAGTCAGAAGCCAAGTAAAGAAGGTTTGTAATATTGTCTCTTACATTTTACAATGATGTTCACCCCTGTACAAGGCCCAAGAGCCACTCGAGGTAGAGGCTTACAGTTTAAGAGGCACCACTCCAAAACTTTAAAATTTATAATATCCTGTGGAGTCACTCACATCATACCATCTAAGTGTTCACAGTAATAAAAACATACAAAGAAATTACTCTAAAAGCATGTTAACTGTAAATTAAAATCCTATAATTTTATTTATTTTTGTCTACTGGTGTGTATGTATTGTGTTTTAAGGTTGCATGTAATATAAGAAGAAAGTAATTTCATTTTATAACAAGCAAGGTGCCAAGGAGAGGAGACGAACATCTTGACACTTTGAGGATTCCTAGCAAAGAGAGTGAGTTCAGTGTTTTTAGGTTGGAAGAATGTTTTCAGCTAGGAAAGTTTTCCATTGCATTCTGGGAGAACTTTTATTTGAGATTTAACTATTTTATTTTAAACAGTTTTAATGTTATTTGTTTTATTTTATGATATTTATTATTTTTATTTATTGATAATAATGTCCCTACAATCTCTTTCTTGGTACATCACACACTGTGTGTTACTTTCCATATGTGTATGTATCTATATGCATATACCTGCATTGTGAGTGAGTGACTTACAAGTGTTTGTGCCTTTTTAATACACACACACACACACATTATTTGGTAATAAATAGAATTATTTCTTAAAGCTTTATCCTCTATCACACTGTATGTGACTTCATTTGCTGTGCCAAAAGTTTACCCTGCCACTAAAGGTGACTGATCCCTGAACAAGTGTGTTTGAATTTCATATTCTGCTATGGCAACAGAAAACAACTGAGTGAAATTAACAATGAGGTTACTGCAATTGAGCGGCCTTGAAAAAGATTGCAATGGAAAGAGAAGTAATATTAATAATGCAGAGTGTCAAAGGTTAAAAATTTTGTGGAAACATTTTTCAGTCTGTCACTAAATTAAGATATATATGCATGCATGCACAAACGTACCTGCACATAGACAATTTGAATGAAATTGAAATGGGCATCTGTGTCATAAGGGCTAATTTCCCTTTCAGTCTGTATCCCTGGCTAACAGCCCAAATATATGACCCTTTTTTTTTTTTTATAACTCCTGTATTTAAACTGAATATATTTTTTTAATAATTATAGCATTTTAAATGGAGAAACAATTTAGATTTGAAATTTGACCATTTTATCATCAGAGAAGTGAAACTAGTTTTAAAAAAAATTTTTTTTTTTTTTTAATGTGACACACTGCAAGTTCTTAATGCCTCATAAAATTAATTTCATGAAAACCAAAACCGCGCATTTGAGAAATAAAGAAGAATAATAAATTAATCTTGTTCATAAAATTTAAAATTCAACAACTGTTAAAAATGCCTCAGATTTATTTTCTTGTGATTTCAGCTTGATGCAAAACTGTCGAAATCCTGTGACTTAATCAATGCAGCCATTGATGGTGGTGGTCAGACAATATGCTATTATATGGTTGACTTGTGTCGTGTTTTAGTCCCTCTTTTAAAGTCTCCCCTTGCAGCCAGGCGAGTCTATCCTCTGCTTGTATCTCTCAGCAAGATTTCCTTTTCTGATAAACAACTTGGTGAGCATGTTTACAATCTTTATTTTTCGTTCCTTCTTTGTGATCTCATTTTAACGTCTCTTTGAAGAAAGATTTGTTGTCCAAGAAACTAAAATGTTAAGTGTTATAAAATAATAGTCTCCACATCCCTAAATTTCACAAATCCTTATATCTTCATTTACTTTCAAGGTAATTTTTAATTTCCTAATTATCAAATTTTTCAGCTAAAAATATTAGCTGACTTAAGTAAACAAAAATTTTCTCTTTTTATAAATTTTGTCTGTCTCATCAGTCAAACAAAAAAGCCTGCATTGTTAACATAGATATTTTGATATCAGTCTTTTATATAAATTTGGGTTTGTATAGAAAGAATTTATATTTCTCTTGTTGAAATTCAGTCATAAGTTTAAAAAAAATATCAATAAATCAGATATAAATAATTAAAAAATATTGAGATTTTTTTTTTTTTTTAATAGAAATCTATAATTTTATGTCCAGCAACATGTTAGTTTTTTTTTTTCCTACATTATTTGTAATAACCATTGTTGTCATCTGGCATTTCACCTTACTGCAAATTAGTTAATCAGAGCTGGAAGAAAGTTTTAGGGAATTACCTAAATAAGCCAATATAATCTATTAAATTAGATTTTCTTAAAACCATACTTGAAGAAAAAAAGTAAGTTTGCTGAATTAATTTTTATTATTAATATAAACATTAGTAAATTATTCAAATGTTTCTCTAGTGAATAACCCTCTGTAGCTATACTCATAGGAAATTCAAGTGAATTTACCATAATGACAAAAGTAACTTTAGAAAATGGATGCTTGTTAAAAATGTTGTTTATGCAGTAATTTTGAAGTGGTAAAACAATTTCTATGACACAGAGTGTTAGGTTAGTTGAAAAAAATAAGCTAAAAATTTTGTTTACACTATTTACATCATTCAAAATTCCATCATATATATCACATAAAGAAGGGCGGGGTGTACGACAGCCAAAAGGTTGCAAATATGGCAATAAAGATGAGGGCAATAACTTGTCTCAGAAATATAGACAGATATTAAGAATTTTGTATTGAAACAATAGGTTGTCAGTTGAATCAAAATCATATTTTAAAGAAACCAATGAACATGATCCATCTTTGAAGAAACAGATGACACCCTATGAGCTCCTTCATAAAACCCGTTTACCATCCCCCCGCTTTTTTTTTTTTTTTTTTAATACATTGTGAAAATGAAAAGTCGAATTGTCTTTTACATTTTCTTGAAACTTTTTCTTATGTCTTTGAACAAGACTTAAAGTCTTTGTTCTGTTAATTACAAAAGCTTTTATCTGTTCTTCATACCCAAATTCCCCAATTTTCAATCAGTCCAAAACAATATATAAAAACATTCATCAAAATAAGTGGATCATAAAACATTTTTGTTGACAAATATTTCTGATGACCTACAAAAATGTTTAATGCCTTTGAATGTAATTTGTTTTATTCATGCTTAATGACTTTTCTTTTTCTGAAATTGTGTTTGTCACAGGTCAATTGGTTGGTCACGGTACTGTCCGAGTACTTGAACCGTTTTGCCCTCTCGCCAAAGAATGGACAGAGGAGAAGCAATTACCACAGACAATACGTATTGTTCATCTTTTGTATGATCAGCTACAGACAAAGACCGAAAATAACAAGCCGTATACATTCCCAGCTTCAACTGTTGCCTTCTTTTTCCACCTGTTGAGTGCTGTGCTGTCAAACAGCCACAAGCTTGTGAAAAATGATGAAGCTGTGCAAATTGAATCCCTCAAGTTAATCATTGCACATGCCAAAATAAGATCCTCACCGGACAACAGAGAGGATGCTGTGCTAAGCCAGTTGGTAAGAACATGGTTGTGCTTTCTTTTAAAAGATTTCTCTGTTTTGTCCATCATATTCGTTATAAAAAAACAAAAAACAAAAGGAAATGCTGATTAAAGAGTTCAAAGCAGTAAAGAAGTCTTATTCATTTTATAATCTTTTTTTTTTACATTTTCTAACAGTTTGCACATAGTATATTTTTGCTGTGTTTTTTAAAGCATCAGTTATATTTGTAATTGTTTTGTGGTTGTGATATCATTTTAAATCTACTTTTAGATGGAATGAATTTTTTTTTTACTTGTCTAATATAAACCTCTAGTAAATGAAGACTGAATGTGATATTTTTGTCCATACTAAAATTGAACAAAAACTACTATTGTTTCTTTTTGCATATTTCAGTACGACCCTCAGCTTTTGCCCCACTGCCAGTTATTTGAATTGCTGCTTAATGTGATTGGGAGAGTGCCAGTTGGTAAACTACAATCATTGGCTAATGAAGCTTTACTTGAGGTTGCTAATTGCCTCAGTGGAGCACCTGGATGTGCTATCCTTTCAAATGCCGAAATTTCAGTGTTGCTACTGGGAACAGAGTCATCATCTACTTTTGTACGAGAAGCAGTTTTTAAGGTATGCCTTTTTCATGTGGACATTTTACTTTTATTTATTTGTTTGTTTAATGGCATATCAACTCCTTATGGGTCATTTAATGCTGAAATTTAATTTTCTTGGGACTTTGAAATAATAAAAATATGATGTTATTCTGCTTTCACAATTGAATACATGGTAGATGATACTCAGCTTTTATAGTGCATATACATGCTACATGTTTGTGTGAACATAATTATTAGAGGTAATGATATGTGTGTGTCATGTTGTGGTTTTGTTGATTTATTTAAGAAATTGTAGGATATTATATGGATTAATGTCATGAAAGATTTTTATCATGTTGAGTGATGTATTTTTGGTAATTTTTTTTTATATAGGATGTAATGCTAGTATTTTTAGTATAGAAATGTATTTTTATATTTTACTAGGGTTTTCTTTTTGTTTGTGGGAGGCGGGTAAATATTTTGCCTGTCGCTGGGACCCCCAGGTCAGGATGGACCTGAGAACAACAGCAATTAACAGCAACAATAAACTCCTGAAAACCTCTAATTTTTCAATCAGGGTCCTTGCTGCTGGATGTGGTTTATCATTGTACTTGATTTTACTTTTCATGTTAAGAAAGCATCTTGTATCTTGATTGTGTGACCCTTTGCTACAACTTGACAAAGAAAATATTGTCAAAAAAAAATTGTTCATTTACAGAGGTGGTGGCTAGATATATCCATTCAGGAATCTGTAAATATTGTGTAGTTCAAATCAGAGATGAGCAATGAAAGTTCTTTAGAATCTGGGCCAAAGCATAGAAATACTAAAATTTGAAACCTTTACATGAAATGCCTCTTACTTTATACAATAATAACATTGGCCCAAGAATGCACAATCATTATTACTCATCTATTCCATGGCTATTTTTAAAAAAAACTCATAGAACTGATTAACTGCAGTTATAGAGACATTGTAAAAATACAAGAAGACAACTTTCGTCTGATCACCAAAGTTTAGCTACATTAAACCTGGTCAGTACTTAGAATGCTGACCGCTCAGGAATACCAGGTTCTGTAAGCTTGGATGTGCAGGTAGTGTAACGGATAATGGTTCAGAATGAGAAATCAGAGCACCAAGTTTGAATTCCTGTCAGGTTCTTTATATTCTCTTACAAGCAAAAATACTCTTGGGAAAGGTATGAATTCACCTCTTCTCCTCCCAGCTATGAGTTAAATAGTAAGACTTGTATCAGAAAATCATTTATCTCCAACAACTACAACAAATAATTACAATCCAAAAATGTTTCATCTTTAAAGAAATTGAAAAAGGATAACCCTGCCTTTTATTGTGCTTGATCTGCTTTCAATAAACAATTCAACTTAATTCTAATTAATGATAGTTAAAATTAGTTTAATTATAGTGTTCTGATTGTTCAGTGACACCCGAGGTGTACTCATCAAAATTTTGTGATGAGACTACATCCCTGTTTTAGTCAATTGTCATCAGAAGTTTTGCATCTTTGATTACTGAAAATTTAGTTTATACTAAATTTTAAATGAGTCCATTTAGAAACCTTTCATTCACAAACGCTAATCATCATCTGTAGGCCCAGTAAATGGTAATCAAGCCAAAAAACTATTTATCAGTATTGTTCTTCAAACTACTCATCTTTTATAAACTTAAGAAAGCAAAAATCTTTCCTATTCAAATATCATGGGTGGTCGTGGGAACAAGCTCATACTGTCTATAAAATGCTCCAATATCATGCATCTCACATGACCTTTGTCTAGCTCCAAGTTGGAGAAGAGGCAAAAGCAGACCACTGGCACCTCATGATCAGATAAATGGAGCTAGTCATCCTGGGAAGGCATTCATCTAGTAGAAGGAAAACCATGATTTTTAAACCTCCACTGCTTTATGGCTATATCCAAATATGGAAATGACTCTGACACTAAATCCTGGAAGGAAAATCCAGAGTAGAGCCCCAAAGGTGATTGGCTGTCAATACTGACAAACTTCTTGCAACTACTGCAGCCAAGTTATCCCTAAATGTAAGGCCTTGCATTCCCTTGGATCTTGTCAATATGACAGAGGAACCATTTGGTCTGCTGGCAGTGTACAATTTCCATCACCCTAGAGAGGTCACTCCAGTATAACCACCAAAGGATTGAATTTTGAGCAGCATGCTACCATTATCTCTGAGATAAACGGGTGTGTGATGTCATGTTAATATAATAACAAGAGCTTTTTATATTACTTCATTTTCTAACATTTTTTTTCTTTGGTTGCATCAATTTTTTTAGGCACTTTTGCTGTTAACTGATGTGATTCCAAGTAAAGATGACGAACCAGTGATAGGATTGAAAGTGGCCCGCAAAATCTGGGTTGGCAAAGATGATAAAGATGAAGAGATTCAGCTGCTTGCTCAACAGTAAGTTCTATTAATTCTACCTGTTAAGTTTTTATATCATTTTTGCTTATATCATTTCCCAGTGAACTGGCAAAAATCTCTTCTCATATTTTTTCCTTTTTCTCTTATTTCTTTTTATATTTCATTTTCTTTTGCTTCTTCTTATATTTCTTTCTTTTGCTTCTTCTTATATTTCTTTCTTTTGCTTCTTCTTATATTTCTTTCTTTTGCTTCTTCTTATATTTCTTTCTTTTGCTTCTTCTTATATTTCTTTCTTTTGCTTCTTCTTATATTTCGTTGTCTTTTCACATTTCGTCTTCGTCTTTTCGCATTTTTGTCATCTTTTTCTTTTCGCATGTCGTCGTCTTTTCACTCATCGTCTTCTACTTTTCGCATTTCTTCATCTTCTATTTTTGTGAATCCCACATAATTTCCATCTGTTTGAATAAATTTAAAAATTTTTTTTTTTTTTATTTATTTAAAAAATATTTTAGACTTGAAGAAAAACTTGGTCTGACGGCTCCACCAGTTGAGCTCTGCACTGATCTGATTGAAGATGTTATTCACCATGAAGAGAATGTAAGAAAAGCTGCCTCATCTGCCCTGGCCAAAGTATTAGTCTGTCATAGGGATCAAGTAGAGTCTGTTTTATATGAGTTGTTGAACAAATATGAAGAAAAATTATTTGTAAGTATCTTGTAATGTACTCTGTCAAAATGAAAATCTTTTTTTTTTTTTTTTTTTACATTCCAGACACAGCCGCTTAGAAAATGGCAAGACATTCTTTCTTTTTAATTCTATTTCAAGTCTGAATCCATTTGCAAATTACTGTAACTATCATAAATAATGGAAATATCAACTGAACAATAAAATCACTCTTGTTGGGAGAACTCCTCCCTGATTGACTATGTTGTTCAGGGGTGTAGCCATACACTCACTATGCTTGGCAAATTGCAAGTTGGTGAGGCTGTTTAACCCATAATTAGAGGTTTTGAATTCAGAATTGTCATTTTCCTAGACTGGTTGCCACCCAAGGCTATGGAACTTGGTCTATGCTGCTATTTAACCCATAGCTGATGGGAGAAGAGAGGGATTCGTACCTTTCCCAAAAGTATTTGTGCATAAGTGAACTTGACTGGAATTCAAACTCTGATCTGATTTCTCAATCCAAGGTGCAAATCAAAGTGGAAATAGACACATTCTGTACAATTTTGAAATAAGCTCAGATTTCTAATTATCAGTAATGTTCCAAAAACATTTTTTATTAGTACATATGAAAAGAAATATAAAGTTAACAAAAGCTATTCATTTACTTACTGTATATACTCCTGCAACTTTTGAAGAACTAATTTTGAAGCTGATTTTAAGGGGATCACATCATACACAGGATATAAAATTAGTGTATGTACTGCTGGCCCTGGCTACACCATTGACCAAACTATATATTCATTTACTGTAGTCAAATTAGCTTCAAAATTTCGTCTTCAAAAGGTTGCATGATTCATGAATATATATGATATATACTATTCAAATTATGAGATTATTTGTTTGTCTGTAATTAAAACAAGTACAAACAGCACACGATAGTACCCCATTTGTGAGATTCCAGTACCCTAAATGGAAATAGAAACTGTATAAAACAAGATTTGTTCAAATCAAATGACAGATTACTGAGTTAGCTATTTCTCTGTATTCATAATGTCTCTGATTATCAAAAATGTTAAGCCTGATCTACATGTTATTATTCACTTATTGATGATTTTAATTTTTAAATGGTTACACTCTGATGTTACAAGAACTTCTTTGATTTTGAAAAAACTCAAGTCCTGCAGAGCATCACATTTTAGTATTTTGCTATGACCTCTGTCCACATAATTTTCTTGTATTTTATGTTATACAAAAGTTATATCATGACTAATAGAAGGTCTTATTTCCTTTTTATGTTTACATATACTGTAATTTTAAGTGGGGAAAATTATGACAAAGTAGAAAAAGTTTTCATAGGACACATTTCCTCCTTTAGGAACTCCATCAGACTAAATTGATATTTATGTTGATGTGATGACACATGTGAAAACATCAATTTAGTCCGATGATGTCTTAAAAGACAAAATGCATCGCATGAAAACTTTTTCCACTTTATCATACTTTTTTTTCTCTGTTCTTGATATATAAGAAATTTATGTCATTTTCCTTTTATACAGTAATAAAAAGCTGGAATCTGTTGTAAACTGTTACCTGTGTGAGCCGTTAGTTCATTTGTAAATCAATCTTTTACTCACAATGAACATATATGTTTCCTTGAATTACAAATAATATGAATCAATTGATATTATCTTAAGTTCTTATGTCTGAATGGCTCCATTGTGTTTTACTTTTTTGATTTTTCAGATAATCTACATCTGGAATTGTCAATGTAACTTTGTGCCGCACTGCATTATGAAAGTTTCAGTTTAGTAGATCCAAATTAACAAACATTTTCTTAAAAACTTTTTTGTCAATCAGAAAACTTATTCAAAAGCAATAGAATTTTGTTTAAACCTCTTCTTTCATCCATATCTTCATATTTCCACGTCCTTCTCTTTGTCATTCAGTTGCCGCCTCCTGAAATGGATACTTTTGGGCGTGTGATAGGAGAGCAGCCACCAGATGAGTGGACATCCCGTAGTGGCATAGCTATGTGCTTGACCAAAATTGCCCCTCTGCTCCCTCAAGAACTTATTGCACCCATTTTTGCATTCTATGTGCCGAAAGCTCTTGGTGATCGTGCACCTGAAGTGCAGAGTAATATGAGAGATGCAGCTTTGGCAGCAGTTAATGAGCATGGCAAGGTAAGAAAAGTCTCACTTCTTTCTCTTCCTCATTGTGATCAAATGACAAAAGTAAGATAATTGTTAAGGAAATTGGTCAAATACATTCTCCACTCATCCATTAACTTTTTCTCATTCTTTTTCAGTTCTCTATTTTTCTTGTCTAATTAGATTTTTTTTTTTTATATATATATATATATATATATATATATATATATATATATATATATATATTATAATTGTAAATTACCTTTGACATTCTTTTTCTGATTTAATATCAAACGATATACAGTATGACTTTTGTGTTAAAAAAAAAATGTGAGACAGAGAATTTAAATTCAGAAGATGATATATTTTAAAAGATTTTTGTGTCAAGAATATCCACTGGTATAAAAATATATAATTTTCATAAATCTCAACAAGAGGCTATTTTCTGTGTGGTAAGAAATTTTAAGACATTTTTATGTTTATACATTCTATGTAGTAAGAAATGTTATAGTCAAAATATTTTTTCAGTCAAAGACTCGTTCTAATTTGAGATCTGATTTTTACTAAAACTGATAAAATTGCTTTAAGATTGATTTTTTTTTTTTCCTTTCTTTTCTTTTTGTTCTTAAAAATATTTGTCATTGAAATTTTTTTTTTAAGGAGTATTATCATTTGAAGAAGAGAGGTATCAATCTCTCTCCTTCTCCCCTTCTCTTTGTGTTATATATATATATATATATAATGGGCAGCGACTTTTCTTTTAAACATCTTTTGTTAAATATGATGGACAAGGGAAATTTTAGAATTTTAGTCTTTTTGACCATTTTCCTTGTTCGTCATATTTAAAGTAAGCTATATATATATATGTATATGTGTGTGTGCGTGTATATGATTATTTTTATTTTTTTTATTTTTTTCAAACCTTTTCTCTTTTAGGAAAATGTAAATGTCCTACTTCCAGTGTTTGAGGATTTTCTATCTAATGCCGCAGACAGTGCAAGCAATGATGTGGTGCGGCAAAGCATTGTTATTCTCATGGGATCCTTGGCCAAACATTTGGATAAAGACAGTCCCAAAGTAAAGCCAATTGTGCAACAATTGATTGCTGCTTTATCAACACCTTCACAAGAGGTTGGTGAATATTTAAAAATTTAATTATTTTGATTTGACTCACATGCAAATCTTAACTTTTTAATTCAGTGTGTGTGTGTGTGTGTACACAATTATAGGTACATCAGTTAAGTTCTTCATCTCCTTATGAAAAAAAAAGGCATTTATTTTCAACAAATACCGTCTATTTCTGCATATAAGACAACCTTTAAATCCCAAAAATTATCCTTAAAAATTGAGGGTCATCTTATAGTACAATTCTAAAGAAGAAACATTAAATTCTGGGTGGTCAATGAAAAAATTCACATTATCAAATAAACTAATAAAACCATTTCTATTTTATATCTTACTGGCATAAAACTTCATAATAAATTGCCTATTAAAAGAATAATTCTATATCAATGAAATCAACTTGTATCCATGCAAGCTCAGCCGAGAAAATGTAAATATCAAGTTATGATTGCATTTATAGCAAGCTTTATCTTCAGACTATAATAATCATCATCGTTGTGTTAATTACGGCAATAATAACATTTAGGGTAACATAATATTCATTTTGATTTTAAATAATAATGCAATTTACGAAATGAAGAAGAAAAAGAACCAGTATTTGCAAGAGATCATATACTAAAGCATAAGCAAAACAATGGTTTCCAATTTAGGGGGACGTTTGTAGGAAAAACATAATATAGAATCGGTTTTGATATTTTGAATTTCTAAAGATACAGCAAGTAAGAATATCTTCATATAATCAATAAGCAGTCAAACAAAGAAAAAGAAAAAAAAAGGGATAAAATCTCTACTCCTGTTAAAGACAAAAAAAAAAAATAATTCCTGATAAAAAATTTACAACATTTTAAATAATTTTAACTCAGAGTTTGTAGCAAAGATGGAGGGAATACTTTCAAATTGTGTGTCAGTAATTTGAACATGCAACCACAAAATCAGCATTTAGCGTGTCAGTTTAATCAGCCAATACATCATAACAGCAATAAGTAGTAGCCACAATATCAGTTACTTGTGTCAACCACTAAACTTCTACTCTAAATTTATTTTGTAAATATGGCAATCAAGCAGTTCAAACCCGAATCAGCAGAGTGGTAGCTACTGTTAGGATCCCAGCTATGAGCAAATAGTTAACCCCCAACCTGGCGGCCAAACACCATACAAGTATAAAAATAGATTTTTATAGTAAAAATACCAGCAATGCGTTTGGTGGAGGGTGGAAGGAATATTACCAGCAATACATTTTTGGAGGGAAAAAAAATATTACCTGCAATACATTTTTGAAAAAAAAAAAAAATTACCAGCAATACATTTGTCTCTCAACAAAAACCCTCTTTACAGAAATATGTCAATAAAACCTGATCTACAAACTGAAAAGAATACATATTATATTCATATGAACCTATTCTAAAAATCTTGTCAGCATTAAATAACCCATTGAGGTTGATATACCATAAAACAAAATAAACCAAACCAAACCAAACCTAAATTTTCCATGTTTATCATGTCTTAAATTCTCCCTTGTCTTTTCAAGTTTTGTCCTTAAAACCTACAATAAAGCTGAAAAAAGAATCTTTTATACAACTAACAATATTGAACGGCAAAAAATACTTTAAAAATATTTGTACATTCATTAAACTTTTACCATAAATTTCTTCATTCTCAATAGTTTTACAATTCTTACAGGTTTTTTTTTTCTTCTGATACCAGAAATTTATCATGAAAAATAAATCTGTTTTCTTCATACATATTCTCTATTTAGCTAAATTTAATACCCAATTTCTTTTTGTGAATTTGTTACAAATTTATAAAATTCTAATAATTAGCAATTAAACATCAGCGAGCAACTTTTGCTGACATACACATATATATATATATATATATATATATATATATATATATATTACATGAATCATTCATACAAAAAACAGATTGCTTTAAGTTAATGATATAAATGCCGAAAATACATCTTCGCAAACAAATTTATTAAAATTACATTAACCCACGAACCTCTAGATGAATGTTGTGATCCCTGTTTTTAATAAATTCAAATTGTATAAGGTCTTTTTTTTTTTTTTGCTAGTACTTTCATCTGTTCATACAGACATCATCAGGCTTGGAAATTGATTTGTTTTTTAAAATCCATCCAGGTAATAATGGGACACAAAAGATTAGATGTGAATCGAAATATGTTTTTTAGAAATGTGTTATTGTTAACTTAGGTACCTCCACGAGATCGCTAAAAAAAGAGCATAGCATGATGAAAAAGACGCCAAACTTGACGAAAACAAAATTTTATCGTCTAAATGTTTGTTATTCATTAAGAGGAAAGGTCAAAGTATTTTTGGGGTATTTTTTCCATTTTTTAATCGTTCCTAGCACGTCCAAAATTTTCGTTAAAAATCTAGTTTTTTTTGAGTCAGCAAAATTGACCATTTTTTTCCATTTTAAAAAAAACTGGAAATCTGACTTTGAAATTTTTTCAAAACTTATTTTAAGAAAATCAGAAATTATAATGTTTATTTAAAATATTTTGAACCAAACTTAACTTAGCTTTTGTGCCAAAAAGATGTAATTTGAAAATAAAACAAAGCAGGTCATAAACTTTGCGTCTCTTGACATGTGATGAATGATATATTTACGAATTCCATGAGGCTAATTTGTTTCTACGGATGGAGAAAAGTGAAATAATTTACATTTACGTGAACAAATTATTTACCCCGTTATTTTTAACGAAAACTTTCAGCGGTCTAATTTTTTTTTTTTTTTTTTTTTTTTTTTTTGTACTTAGCTTTCACCTTTACGTTTATGATGCTTTATGGGAAATATATTCTAAAGAAATTAAAATAAAACTGTTAAGAGTGACATTAAATTTCATATTTCTTAAGAAAGGTATCTAATTAATTTATAGGTACCTTTCTTATGAAATTTTATCAGAATTGTACATAAAATACTATAATTTTATGTACATTTATTACATTCTACTGTTATTTGTATTTGCATTCATTTTATTATTAATTTTGATATTTCATTTATGGAAAAATGTCGTAACTGAGATTAATATAAAAATAAGATCATATAAATTTCATAAGATGATACTGATACTTGTAGGTAACCTTCTCAGTTGAAATTGAAAAATCAAATTAACTTCTCCACACGTGTTTCGCAAAAAAGTAAAGGCCTTAACAGCGGAGAACAATGCTTAACTCAAATAACGCAACTTAATTATATTCTGGTTGGTCTTCCGTATTTTATAATTACAGCTCGATTATAAGCACAAAATTACATTTCTTAATTACTGGGGATCTTCTGATTAGTCAAAATGATACAATTTACAACGTGCTAAAAAAAGATCTATCTCATAAGGACACTTATGAAAGCCTGTCTTGTTTTTTTAACTAATTTTATAATATTTTAACAACTTAAATGTAAAATCTATTATAATTAATGAAATAACAAATAATTGTATTAAAATTCATTTTTCATCAAAAAAATTTTTTTGCTTTCAGAAAATATTGTCCATATTCATAAAAACAACTAAAAGCAAATAAAAGCATTTGAAATTAAATAATATCTTTGTTTTATTGAGTTTTTTGTATGTTACAATTCAGAGCTGATTTTCAGGTACTGGGTATCCAATTAAAAAAAAAACATGATTTGCATTCCTCAAAGCCCTGTGCTTTTAATTATTGTAATCACTAAAACCGATGCGATCGAATTTCTAGCGTTTTCATAAAATTAGTTATGGGGGAGTAATAAATATTTTTAAAAAATATTTCTACAATGACTTTCATAAAAAAAACATATTTATAATAATTTCGATCATCTGTGAATAGTTCCTGAAAGTTTCATTAACATCCGATAATTATTTCTATTTTTTGCACGATTTTTCAAATTAATGTGTCATACCAAAAAACGTGCTAAAAAATTGTCTATGTTATTTACTAGTTCGCTGATACAAATAGAAACAAGGTTTTTTAATCAAAATTTAGAATTTTTAAAAAGAAGGAAAATTTTTAAAAATAATTAAAAAAACTTTGGTCTTTCCTCTAAATAATAACATAAGCATTTAGACAATAAAATTTTGTTTTCGGCAAGGTTGGCGTCTTTTTCATCAAGCTATGCTCTTTTTTTAGCGATTTCGTGGAGGTACCTATGTTAACTGTAAGAAATTCTGGAGCGTGCAGTCACAACGCTAAGGTTAAATTTTTTGAAAATTTAAGAGATAAGTAATGGACAATGTTTTGATATTACAGGTACAAATAGCTGTCTCTTATTGCTTACCACCACTGGTTCCAGCCATTAAGTCTGATGCCAGTACAATTGTACAACAACTTCTCAAACTTTTACTTGAATCTGATAACTATGGAGAACGAAAAGGTGCAGCTTATGGACTTGCCGGCCTCATTAAAGGCCTTGGAATTGTTGCCCTTAAACAAATGGACATTATGACAACCCTTACAAATTCCATTCAGGATAAGAAAAGTCCACGGAAAAGAGAAGGTAATATAGATTCTGCTTCTTTTTTTTCTAATTTTATTCTTTTGCAAATGTAAAGAAATTCTATTTAAAGCTATATTATCCTTCCTTCTTCACTGTTACTCATTTTTATTTTTTATTCCTGTTCTTTCTCATCCTGGGTATGACGATAAACTACGTCCAACATCAAGGCCTCTGTTCAGGAGGTTTTGAGGAGCATGGAACCACCTCTTAATTGCTAGTGTTCCCAGGTCCACCCTAACCTGGGGTGGTAGCACCTGTTAGGGTCCCAGCTACAGGCAAATAGTTAACACCCAAACTTGTGTAAAAATAGGTTTTAATATCAGAAATACTTTGTAATAAAAAAAATTACCAGCAATAATTTTTGAAGGAAATATTATTATCAGCAATATTTTAAAACAAAAAAAATACCAGCAATACAAACAGTTATATATTCTTTGAAAAAAATATGACCAGCTATAGATTTCTTCAAGGAAAAATATTCCCAGAAATAGATTTTTGAAGAAAAATATATTACCAGCAATAAAAATTTTGTCGGCATTAAATAACCCATTGAGATTTATATGCCGTAAAACAAACCAAACCATTCCTGTTCTGTCCTCATTTTCAAATCAAGATTTAAATCTACTGCAATAGATGGGAACCACAATATATATCTTGTTTATTAACCAATGTCGGATTCTTTTTAATATAATTGGTCAGCTTTGTTTTAAAATGAAAATAAAGTGAAACAAGAAAATCTCTCACAACAAAAAAATAAAATTTACAGTTTAAATTAAACTTTTTGTTTTAATTCTCTAAATTTATGCTCTTTTTATGTGTCTCTATTCCAGGTGCACTATTTGCCTTTGAAATGCTATGCACTATGTTGGGGAAATTGTTTGAACCTTATGTAGTTGTTATTCTACCCCACCTGCTACTTTGCTTTGGAGATAATAACATGTATGTGAGACAGGTAAGAGTCTTAATTAATTTTTCCTTTTTCAACAAACTCTACATGCTCAGAATTCTGTATTAGAAATAAGATAGATTTAGAAGCCAACACAATTCTGAAAAGGCAACAGTTATAATTTTTCTCAGCTTGTCACAGAATTTGTGATCATGATCAATATGGATCAATTTTTTTTTTTCAGTTAGGATCTTTCAAATATTTCAGTCATTTAAAAAAAAAATAATTCTAACCTTTAACACTCTGCTTTATATTACTTCCCTTTACACTGCATTCTTTTTCAATGTCTCTCAATCACAGTAAACTTATTGTTAATTTCACTGAAATGTGTTTTCTGTTGCCATAGCAGGATATGACGACACAACTAAAAAATTCAAACACACTATTATTCATGAATCAGGGTCATCTTCAATGGCAACAAATGAAGTCATGTGCAACATGATAAAGGCTAAAAACAAAATATAACTATTTTTCTTTCATAAAACGTTTTTTCCATCCATTTTAATTTGATCCCAAATAATTTATTTTGGTGGTTTCATGAAAAATGGAATGACAGCCTCAAATGTCTTAAATCATTTTTATTTTGTTCAAAACATGTGGATAAAAGAATTGTATCAATGTTTTTTTTTTCTCTGTTTTGTAGGCTGCTGATGACACTGCCAAAGCTGTGATGACTAACCTCAGTGGTCATGGTGTGAAGTTTGTGCTCCCATCTCTGCTAAAAGGATTGGAAGAAGATGCTTGGAGAACCAAGACTGGTAAGATAACAACATGTGGATGTTTGTTTTTTTTTAAATCACCATTCACTTTAAAATATTGGCTCATTGTGAATAAAATGGCCATTTGTCTGTAATATTTTGTTGTTCATTAGGTCAAAAGAACTGGTTAGATTTTGATAGAACAAATAAAGCATTCAAAAATTTGTTTTCTTTATCTGATTAACCCTTTCATTGTGGCATTGGTATAACATTTTTGCTGTACTGGCCTATTTTCAGGAGAAAATAGAAAATTGCTATTTACTGGAAGTAAATAACTGTAAAGACATTGATGGTTTGTTCTTTTTTTGTTTTTTTTATGGGTGCTGCCATTTTGGTTTAACTCCGATACTCTGCACTACAAAAGTAGATAAATTCACCTATCGTCCAGTTCAAACTCCTCCCCAGTCTTTTGAACAAAAGTAGAGGTTTATTCCTTGTTTCCTGTTCCTTCTAAAGTCTGCTTCAGCTCTATACTCTTAACACTCATTCTTTCCTATGCTAATGTAAGTACCCCTCTACTTTGAGTAGCTATTGTGCCTTGTATTGGGTAAATATTAGTTTTAAAAAAAAAAAACTACAAATTAAACAATAGACCATCACACGATATAATTAGAAATTCATCTGCAAAACTGGTCATATTGTACACTACTAGTTGTCTATGTTGGTTTGCTAGTAGCACTAAGTACCAACATTTAATTTTTAACATACATGGTATTGAGATGCATAACCTTTTGAGCTCTTTGTCACTTGTTTTTATTCTAAAAAAATGATAGAAATCAGAATGAGGTCAGCTATGTACAGTCAGACTGTTATCACAACGTCTCAGGCATGTTGTGCCCTCCAGTCTTCATCAAGTGTATATTGATCTGGGTAACCTACAGGGAATTATATGAGACAATAGACTAATAGATTAAAACATTGTTTTGTGAATTTGATGACATAGTAATTGTGAGCTCAATTACTGGGTGTACTCGGTGAAAACAAGGCAAGCAATAACTGAGTAATACTAAAAATGAGAAATAGATAAGATATCCCTAGACATGAGAAGTTGAACAAGAACAGTTTATCTCTGTAAATTAAATAAAGGGTTCAGTTCAGAATTCCCTGTAGGTTACCCAGATCTATATACAGCTGATGAAGGGTGGAGAGCACAACAGCTGAAACATTATAACAACAAAGATGAGGACAATAGTCTGAATGTAAATAGTATAAATAATGATAACTTTGCATTCCAGAAAGTCAGACACACATAAAATATATATATATATATATATATATATATATAAGCATTATTTCCACTATAGAAAAAAAAATTAAACAAGTTAAATTTTCTATCAGGAGTACCAATAATTCCTTTAAAACTAGGTGGTACCAACATGTATTATCTTCTTTCCAATAATGTGTACAGAGATAGGACATCTCTTTCTAAATATTTTTGGAACTTAAAGAAGTAAATAAAGCCCCTATAGTAAAATGGAAAATACTTTAAAAAAAACAAAAAAAATACACAAACTAGAACTTGTAAATTTGTAAAGGAACTGTGCTTCTTACATTTACATGAAAAATTAGAGATAATAAAATTTGCTGACAAAAAAGCTCTGTTGAACCAGAAGAGTGAATTAATGGTAAATTGCTGACTCGGTCTGTCTTTTACCTTAAAATATAGTTAAATTTTAAGAATTATATATTACCATTTCTTTTTAAAAATTACATACTACCATTTCTTACAGCCATAATTTATAAGTATATAATGGTACACTCTCTACAACTAAGTATTTTATTTTGTTTATTCAGTTTTAATTTTCCTATGTATTGCCATCCAGTTAGAATTATTAATATCTTATATAGATGTTCCACATTTTTAATTTTATCTAAATTTTATATTTAAAAAGCTTCCTGAATATAAAATTTTTTTTCTGTTAACTTTACATCGGATTAACCTATTTCTGTCTTCAACACCCTTTCAAAAAATTGAATATGTCATATTTGTCTACAATCTAGATACATTTGTCGCTGACATATTTTCTGCAGTCACCAACATTCCAGTTTATCATGATATGAAAAAAATAACCCACCTCTAGCCTCTGAGCATTATTTTTTCTTTAGTATGGAACTGACATTTAATTGGTTAATCAAGACATACCCACAAATCTAATTTTAATTCTGAAGTTATGCCCCCCCCCCCCGCCAACTTTCGAAAAAAAGATAACAATTTGTTTTTAAATTTGCTTAAGAATTATTTAATCACCAGTTACTTACCATTGCCTGAAGAAGTACAATCAGTGTTGAAACATGAAGGCTTTTGTGTAGCAATTTCAATGTTTTCATTATAATCTTTTATAATAATAATATATATATATATATATATATATATATAGGAGAGAGAAGGACCAATTTTCCATTTCATGTTTAAAGAATTCTGTTCTCCCCATTTTCAGTATAGAATTCCGTTTCTCCGATTTTTCAGTATAGATTTTTGTTTCTGCTTCATTATATTACTTAGTGAGAAAGTGTAACAATATATAAATGTTATTAAAACAAGAAAATAAAACAAAAATGAAAAATTTTACTAGCTGTAATATCCACCCAATGGATAAATTGCTGCAGCCTGATAGGGTTTCATACTTTTAATCTAACTAGATGAGATTCAGCAGCAACCCTTTGCAAAGAATTATACAATCCTAAATAAGAATTAAGTGAAAGTGGCAAAACCTACAGAAAAGTAGCACCATAAAGCCATCTAAAGGCAAAAAGTTACATTATCGTTTGGTCATTTTATTTAAATTATTAAATAACATTTTTGATAAAAGTTTAATTTGTAAAATTTGGTTTTCTGAAATGACAAACTACCCCCACCACCTCCATCACCATGTGTGATAGGAAAAAGAAAGGATAAAACAAAAAGATAATTTTTTTTTTTTTTATTAAATCAAACCCACTTCATAAAACTTGGTTTCTAAATATTATGAACTGTAGGGAGACAGTAAGGGGGGGTGTATTAAAACATTACTGGCTTTATCCTTTGATGTCTGTCAAGATGAGTGTGTTATGAAAGGCAAACACAGTAACCAATAAAAATGACAGTTAGAAAATCTGTCAGAGAAAAAACAAATTTCCATTTCAATATCATGATTTCTGTTTCTATTCTGTTTTTCCGTCTTCATAGAAATAAGCTCCCCCCTCTCTCACTATATATATATATATATATATATATATATATATATATATAATCTTACATATTGTATATATTGTAGATAACTTAGTGTCAACAGAATGTGGTTGATTTGCTAAAATTATAATTTTATTTTTTACTGCAAATATGTAAAATCTTTTCATTGCTGTCTTTGCAGGATCAGTTGAGTTACTTGGTGCCATGGCATTCTGTGCTCCTAAACAACTATCAGCATGTCTTCCTAATATTGTCCCAAAGTTAATTGAGGTGTTGACAGATTCTCATAACAAAGTCCAACGGGCAGGAGCACAAGCTCTGCAACAGATTGGATCTGTCATTCGAAATCCAGAGATTCAAGGTAAGAAAATTCATTATCAGACTTTTTCAATTAACAAATGACACTTAAACTTTGCTCTTCTTAGACAGCAAGCACTAATCACATAAAACTTTCAAACTAATGTGGGTGTGTTGCCAGAAATGCTGACAGTCTATACAGAAGAAGAGTTGTCTGCTGCATTTAGAAGATTCTTAGTGTTATGTGTAAGCAGACGGCCATCTTTTTGCTTAATATTAAAATAAATTTTATAAAATCATCTAAAGATGAAAGATCCTAAATAATTGAGATGAAACTGCATATCCACTGGCTCAAAATAATATGTATCTTGATTGGGTTTTGAAATGATACTTTATCGTTTTTGAGTCTTAAAAATAATATTTTGCCCCTAAATAATTTTAATAATAACTAACTGGGACTACCCGGGTGTTACATACCTTGAACATACCCAGCAATTCCACTTCTTTACCCTGTTACCATTTCCCAGGACATGGAGCAGAGGTCAGATTATAGGAGGCAAAAAGATTTGGTAGGTATTGGTTGTTAAGCAGACCAAACTGTTTTTCCTGGAAGAACAGTAGAAACCATTAGTTACAAATTTTCATCCAGAACTCACTTTTAAATTGCATATGGGATTACTGCAAAGCCCTGTGATACACAATGTTTGATGTTTTGCCTCCTGGTGCTAAGATGTAGAGAGATTCTGCCAATCATACTCTAGAACATCCCACATAAAGCTGCCCATGGCTAAGGCAAAATGAAGTTAGGTTGAGACCAACAACTGCCAGTGATTGTCCTTGGGACTTATTAATAGTCATACCAAAACACATTTTAACTGGGAATTGAAGCCTTTTAAATTCACTTGTAGAATCTGATGGAATAAAGGGTATTCTAGGAATGAAAGTTAGTTCTTCTTTTGTCCTACTAGTTAGTATGACAGCTTCTGTGACGTAGAGTATGTGTTTTACACAGTCTTGTTCCATTACATTGGAGCATCAAGATTCTGAAGCAACATAACAAGGCATCTAACTTTTAGGCGTAACTTGTGTGTTGGCATAGCAGACAATTTGGTATGCCAACAATTTAAAAATAAGGAATTTAAAAATTCTGTAGGGTATTGCACAGCCTGTTCATTATCCAAAGTTGAATCCACAGAATTGAGTTTTTTTTTCTCACCTGGAATTTCATTGAGCAGTTGTTGATTGATAATATACACCAAGTTGTTTTTAGTTGCTAGAATTTCTCTCAGTTAGCCATTCATGATTCACATAGTTTTCTTCTATATTTGGTTACACCTTGTTCCTCGGTTCCTCGACTGAAGAAACAACTGATGCTAATCCTGGAAGAATTACAATGTTGTCATGGTCGCTCTTAACAATCTTGCTATCTCCTGTTCTCAGTAGTAGAAATGCAAACTCACCAGCCATTGGCTCTATATTAAGATAGACTCTCATGTTAATATTTAACGTTACTGTCTTGATGTCCTTCCACAAATATGATAATTTAATGCAAACATTGAGTTTGTCAGTGGTGTTTCCACATGAAACAACTGGAAGTGTTTGTCGGAAGTTACCTGATAATAAAAGTGTAATGCCACCCATCAATACATCACATCTTTTGAGATCACACAATGTTTTATCTAGAGCTTCAAATGCTTTTTCATGTGCCATTGTACATTCATCCCCATACAATCAATGAACAATTCTGTAAAACTCTTGCGGAATCTGATCCACTATGTATTTGGCAAATTGGATTATCATCTCTGGTTAAGGACAATGGCAATTTAAATACCAAATGTGTTGTTCTACCACCAGGAAGTAGAGTGGCTGAAGATGAAGCTATGGCCACAGGTACTTTGCCTTCTGATATCACTTTGACAATAATCAATTTAGTAACAAATGTCTTTCCTGTACCTCCAGGTAGATCAAGGAATAAAATACCTTGCTGTTTTTTTTTGTTTTTTCACACAATCAAGTACGGCCTGATAAACATGTCTCTGATCATTATTGAGTTGTGCGAGACCATCGTGAACAATATCTTCTTGCTGATGTGGTTAATAACTTGGCCATTGATACTTTTCAGATCATTAAAGCTCTATGGTCCTCTAACACAACGTAGAAGTCTCAAACAGAAGCATTCAAATTGATTTGGATACTCTGTGAACACCTTGCCCCAAAACTTCAGCCTTTTCTTAGGCCCTGGTAACCTGGAACTGGTACTCGTCTTTTGAAGATGTTATTTTTAGTGTCTCATGTATAATATTTGGGAATGTCAACATACAAAGGGGTTCTTGCAAAATCATCAGTTCGACACAATGTGAAGAAAGCCATTAGAGTTGTTGATTGTGGATTTGCAATTCTATCCTTCACATTACTTTGATTAAAGTATATCTTCTGTCCATTTTCTAGTTGGACTGACAGTCGAATAACTGGGTTATGATGTGCATGTATATGGAATTTTATTCACATTTTATTTATGGACTACTTTATGTGTGTCCACCCTTCAATAATTAATGCACTGTCTGCTGATCAGACAGAATAACATCGGCTTTCCACATATTATAGCAGACACGTTATTTTTTATTTTAATTTTGAATTTTATGTTCATGTTTTTTTTGTTTTTTGTTTGGTTGTTTTTTTTGTTTGTTTGTTAAGAAAATGAAGCAGAAGTAAAAGAATTGTTAGCAAAAAATTTAGTTTTGAATTTTTAAAAAATCAACAAACTTACGTTTGTTAACAAAGGAAATAAAGGGGGGGTAAAAGTGTTGTTAGCCATGAAGTTAATTGTTTGGAAGCTTGAAAATAAATTTAAATTTAAAAAATTTTTTTTTCTTCTAGTGTCAATAAAAATTCAATAAATAAACAAAAACAAAGATTATTTTATTCACATTTTATTTATGGACTCATTTATGTGTGTCCACTCTTCAATGTCCACTGGTCAGACAATAAAATTGGCTTTCCACTTTATATTTATTGATGACCTTTGCAGATTTATTTTTTGTATGTCTTTAATATTTAACATGCTATTAGAAAATTTAAAAAACAAAAAAAAAGAAGCCATTTTTAATTATATTTTAAAAGTTTATTTCTCAACATGAGCCTAATTTTCTAACTGCCGCAATGTCTTCTATTTTCCTTCCCTTTTCAGCCATTGTTCCTGTTCTACTGGCTGCTCTACAAGATCCAACCCAAAAGACTTACGAGTGCCTCCAAGCTCTGCTAGATACAAAATTTGTCCATTTCATTGATGCTGCTTCATTAGCTCTGATAATGCCAGTTGTTGAAAGAGCATTCCAAGACAGAACTACTGATACAAGGAAAATGGCAGCACAAATTATTGGCAATATGTATTCGTTAACTGACCAAAAGGTAACCAATATTTAAGTCAGGGTTGGGGAAACAATGTCCAAATTAGATTTGTATTATAGAATAAAAAGTGAAATGGTTTGAAAATGGAGAAAGATGGTTTGTTGTGTAGACAGGAATAAAAGTTTAATATTTGAGACATTAAGAAAAAGAATAAGAAGAACAAAAATATTTTTTATTTGAAACTAATCCTGATAGTCCTATCGGGAGCAGTTTCAAGTAAGAAATATATGTGTATCATTAAAATTAATCTATTATTTCTTAATGGGAGTATAGGATTGAAGCTCTTGTTCTCAACACGAATGTAAGGTTGAAGTTTTCGTTCTCTTTTCTTTTTCTTCCCCACCCTCCAAATTCTTATTTTCTTGCCCAGAAAATTTTGATCGATGCACTCTTCAGTCTTAAACTTTTGAAAAGATTTGAAATGAGTTTTCCTTCAGTTTCTACCAAGATATGAAATCAAAAAAACCTGGTGAACACTAACTGGGAATGAAAATTAATTTCCAGACACCAGGAACTATTTTACTGGTTATTAGTTTTCTTTAATGAATCTCTTTTGTTCAACTACTTTTTTTAGGATCTATCGCCATATCTTCCAACTGTTATTCCCGGCCTCAAACAATCTCTTCTGGATCCGGTACCTGAAGTGCGCTGTGTGTCTGCCAGAGCTCTTGGAACAATGGTACGAGGAATGGGAGAAGGTAGCTTTGATGATCTGCTGCCATGGCTCATGGAAACATTGGTCTCAGAACGAAGTTCTGTTGATCGATCAGGTGCCGCTCAAGGTGAGTGCTGATGGAAAAAATTTTTTTAACATTTCTGTATTCTTAAGGGCATTATCCCCCCTCATACACACACACACACACACACACACATCCTCCACGTGTTCCTAAAATACTTCTACAATGTAACCCACCTTAGGACCGTCTTTGAGAGTGTCAAACACATTCTAGAATTCTTAAAAGTAACAAAACTCTACTCTAAAATATAAAAAGGAAACCAAATAAATACCCCGCTACAAAATGCAACTAAAACTGAATTACATCCCCACCTTTATATAATAATGATTTATAAAAGAATTTACAAAATAGACACAACGTAAAAAATAATCTTAAAACTACTCGAGTCAATACAAAATGACAGTGTGAGGTTGGTATGCCAATAAAAAACCCATCTAAATCCATATGTTCTTAAACAAAAAAAAAAGTTTCTCCCTTTTCTTTTCCAATGTTGCGATATGATTGAAAAGAAATCCTGTTGCTAAACACAGAGCCATGATTTTATAATCCTAATTTCATCTTCGCTCTCCAGATATACATGAATCCTTTCACTGCTGCATTGTTGCCTGGCAGTGCTGGCCCATTTCAGGAAAAATAGGAAATTACCATTTACTTGACATAAATCATTATAAAGATGCTGATGGCAATTTTTCATGAGCTTTACCTTTTTGATTATGATCAGATACTCTGCAGTACAAACTAAGCTAAACAGTCCCAACAAGCAATACAATAAAAATATATCAGAAAACAGGCATAGTATACTAGTTAGATTATAACATAAATACAAGGGACCAACATTTCAGGATGAGGATGTCTTGAAAATGAATGTATATGTTGACAGCAGGCCATGTAAGTTTCATAAAGATGTACAAGTACATTGACAGGAATGAAAGTGTTAAAAATTGAAGTCAATCGAACAAGAAACTGAAGATCACATCACAGTATTCATTTATTATTAAAATGGGATCGCATTGTAACAGGCATATAATCAGAAGTAACTAAATACATCTATTTTACTTCTTAAAGATGATGTGCTGTCATTTCAGTCTTATGAAAAAATGCCATTCTGAAAGGAGTGAACAATAATTAATCCTTACTCAAAATTCTTCACATAATGTAAATTGTAACTTTTTTTTTCTTAACAGGTCTCAGTGAAGTGATTGGTGGAATGGGTCTTGAAAAACTTCAGAAATTCATGCCCGACATTGTTCAGACAGCTGACCGTAATGACATTGCTCCACACGTACGAGATGGTTACATCATGATGTACATTTACTTGCCATTGGTGTTCAAGGAGAATTTTGTGCCCTACATTGGCCAAATCATTCCATCAATTCTTAAGGTAACATTTTTAACAAAAGGTTTGACTATCTTTTCAAGCTGCTGATCATCACCCCCCCCCACACACACACACACATACATCTAAAAATATTAGTTGATGTTACAGGGGATCCCTTTTTTTCTTCTTTAACAAAAATTGATTTAATAAGCCTAAGAGAATAATCTTGGAATGTTATAAGACTAACACTGACCTTATTTGCCAGACTGGAAGATGCACCTCTATTTCACAAGAATATTTTGTGGTGAGAAAAAAAAAAATAAAAATATTCTCGTATGTTTCATTAAATAAGGCCCCAATGACAGAATAGGCAAAGAGATACACAATCTCAACAGTCAAAACCAACATAAAAGGGCAGCACCAGTTAGGCTAGCATAACCAAAGTGGACCTTGACAGACCAAGCATCTGACAGCCCGATGTGACCAGATTTTCCAGATCTCACCTGACCCACTCCCCTTTGATCTGCAAGAAAGGCACTTCTGGCCAAGTGTGAGGGCTTCTTCATTGCACAGATTTGTCCACCAGAATCAAATTCATGTGAATGGCCTCATCAAACTCTGTGGTTCACTGCCATCTCTGCTACTGCCACCAGAAGAGAGAAACGGAATAGGGATAGACGATGACAAACCCAATGCTCAAATGCCAGCAATAGTTATATACTTAGTGATTTTTGAAGTGGTTTCATACAGTTTTGTGCATATAAATACAATAGGTACGAGAATCAAAGAAAATAAATTCTGTTTAGTCATATTTATTTACCTAGAAAGTAAAGTAAATTTGCCATAACTGAAAATAATTACTATTAATGTCCAATGTTACCAATCGTAAGTTATGTCGTCAACAAAAATGGCTGCATACATTTGTTCTAATATATAGTGATGTTGGTATTTCATTATTAATAACAGCATGAAAAGTGAAATCAGTGAGCCAGGTTCAAATTCTGGCCTAGTCTGTTGCATTCACTTTCACACAAATGGCCTAGGAAACGGTATGAATGCATCTCACTATTGGTTAAATAGCAGAGTATACTGGGATCTTGCAATCTGTCTTGGAGAATGAAAATGATTCAGATGGCAATGGGATATCACTTCATCTTTCCCAAGAATGCAATTCACAAATCTATCTTTTTATTTATATATATATATATATATATATATATATATATATAAAAAATGTCATCCACAGACATTCACCATTTCACAGCTCATTAGTGTGGCTATACATTTGATTGCCTCAAGCCAGGATCGGAACCCAACTGATTTGGTATCAGTCGGGTATTCTACCCCAAGCCTTTGGCACATGGCAGGGATGAAGATGAATTTAGACATATTTATTTTTAGATAAACACACCAATGACTGGAGAACTCACTTTGTCTTAACAAAGAGTCTTGCATCAGCAGCAGTAATAGTCACTGTTTACAGATTCACTTTTCTTCCCAAGAGCTCAACCAAAATAACTTTTTTTCAGGAGCATATATATATTGTCATTCACAGTGTGGCTAAACATCCAACTGCCTCAAGCTGGGATCGAAACCCGACTGATTTGGTATCAGTCAGAGATTCTACCCCTTATATATATATATATATATATATAAAATTCTGTGACTTCTGTTAGTCTGTCCATCCATCACACCCTCTAAAATAGCCATACATTTTACGAAAAAAAAAAAAATGTTGGAGGGGTGGTACAAACAGTTAATGGGATACAAAATACAGTTGATTTTACTTGGGTGCATAGCTTAATACAATAAATTTTCATTAATTTTTATGGAAAAATTAAGTTTTATTATTTAACAATCTAATGATTAAAATAACAAATACTTTTTTAATAAAAAGGCAATATTGTTTGTTTTTTTTTGTTTTTTTTTTGGATATCTTTTCTTTAAGTTTCTATATATATGAGAAACCAATTTCCAGTTCGCCCTGTGTTTGTGAGAACTATAAACAAATCATGAGTCCCAAACACTTCAAAAATTTAGAATTTGACTCCAGAAAAAAATATTTACACATGGCCAATCGTATGTTGTATGCTCAAGAATAAGAAATCTTAAGAATTTATTATTCACAGTTAAAAAGGAAAAAAATAAATTTTCTTAAAAAATATTGTTTACCATAAAGTCCTATAAAATTAAAGAAATTATTAAACCGCAAAGTAGGTTTTTTGTCAAAGTATTTTTCCAAACAAATCAGCTTATTCAAATTTCATCAATTGGTTTGTGAAATTAAACAAAGTGTAGAGTTTGTAAATCTTAACAAAAAAGGTTAGCAATAACTTCAACAATATTAGTGTGAAGATTTTAATATGCATCAGCATGTTGCAAAAAATTTATAGTAATAATATTAAAAAAAAAAAAGGCATCTATGGAAGGCCATGATCACCCACGTCCTGAAGGGACATAGAATTTTTTAAAAAATGCTATTAGTAACACAATTTTTGTGCTTAGGGGTTACTACTGGCTGGCCTTTCTTCTATAATAATAATAAACCTGTTTAATGGCAGGTGATATTTTTGTATTCTTTTGGAATTAAAAAGGTTCCTCATGGTCTGGCAAATTTATTCATAAATGGATGGATTCTTCCAGTATTGTTGTTTTGTTTTGTTTTTTTTTTTTTTTTTTTTTTTATAGGGTTAATTATTATTTTGGTTTTATTTTCAGGCTCTCGCAGATGAATCTGAGTTTGTCCGTGAGACTGCCTTGCGAGCTGGTCAAAGAATCATTAACATGTATGCTGAAACTGCCATTGAACTGCTGCTACCTGAATTAGAAAATGGTCTGTTTGATGAGAACTGGAGGATTCGTTATAGTTCTGTTCAGTTGCTGGGAGACTTACTCTACAGAGTCTCTGGTCAGTGGAATTTCTTCTTCAATACTTTGTTCTTATTTTGTTTTTTTGTTTTTTTTTGTTTATTGTCCATCTCAGCTTTCTAGTGCACAGTTATTCAATACCATTCAGTTGTAAAGTTTAACCATAGTTTTTTTTTGGGGGGAGGTAATCTCTTCACAAAGCCAAATGTAAGCATTTCTATGATTCTCACCCATTTATTTTCTTTGCTTTCTACTCCATATTCTGTGCTAATGAACATGGTAACATGCCTTGCCTGCCCAGTGGAAAAAGATAATCACTTTGATTTTGTTGTCCTTAATCTGACCAGTGAATTGATTCAAAGGTTCAATAGGAGGAGATAGCTTTGCTTATCATCCGATTCACACTCCTCCTTGGTCTTTTGAACAGGAGTAGAGGTTCATCCCTTGTTTCCTGTTTAGGCTTTGGTTTCTAGTTCCTTCTAAAGTCTTCTCATTCTCTTTCACTACTCATAACTGTGTGTGTGTCTTTGTGGCACTATCACCTTGCTTGGGTTGAACTGATAACAGAAACAATTTTAAGTGCATATTTGTCTGCATAATGGAGGCATCTAATGTATGAGGCTCGTTCTTTTAGTAATACATTTCTGGCTTTTGAATAAAAGATAGACAATTTACACTATTTACATTGTCCGAACTGTTGTCCTCATCTTTGTCATATTCACAACATTTCGACCATATAGCAGCAATACTCCATGCAAGGGCGAATTGTTGATTTGTAGATCTGGAGGATCGATTCCGGGGAGAAAAATTTCCTGGCACGGCACAGGGAGCCAACTACTGAATAATGAGGTAACTCATACAAGAAAATTCAATATTAATTCAATGAGAGGTGATGTAATAAAATCAATCCACCTGCAGGAGTTAAATATAACTGTTTTACCTCATTTGTTCATCATTATTTCTGTTGTATTTCGATCATTTTAACAACTGATATAGATATTCACTCTTTAACTATTAAATAATTATCTATTTACATTGTTCGAACTGTTGTTCTCATCTTTATTGTCATATTCACAACATTTCAGTCATTGATGAAATTCCATCATATATGATGGAAGAAGTTCTAATTTCTGAAGAAGACCAGGGCATATCCCTGGCCTTCTTCAGCTCATGTATGATGGAATTTCGAACGGGGTAGATTGTTCTAGTTCCACGTGCCATGCCTTTTCTGGATATCTCGGTTTCAGTTATTTCCCTTTAGTAATTCAACTTGCCATGATTTTGTTCACCTCTTCTGTGGCCAGGTATTGAACACGCAACTCATTTGGTCAAGTCACTGGATTACTTCAACAAACGCTTTTATCCACTGGGCCATCACATGTCCTTGGAGACAATCTACCCCCATAGAGTAAGTAAAGGGTTTGGTTCAAAATTCCAATGTATATATCACCTGAAGATGGACAGAGCGTACAGCAGCTGAAAAGTTGTGAATATGGTAACAAAGATGAGGACAACAGTCCAAACAATGTAAATAGTTACAATACCTCATCTTGGAAATATAGACAGATGTTAAAAGATAGATGAAAATTGCACAACTTGCTGATGGTGTAACCTTCTTTTTGTTTTCTACTGAAGATTATTATTATTACTGTTTTTATTTATTTTTTTGTTTCTTCCTTCTCCCAGGTGTTAGTGGAAAGATGTCTACAGAAACTGCTAATGAAGATGACAATTTTGGAACAGAATCTTCTCAAAAAGTAAGTAGCTGCATTGTCAGAAATATTATTTGAGGAATTTTTCAATTTATAATCTAAAATAGGAAAATTATTGAAAAGGAAATGGTCTTCTCTTTCACGCAATACATGTGCATATGACCATTCCTATATTCTGTATTCTTTTAGGTAAAATCTTAGGTGAACTGTTGTAATCCTGCTAGGAGCATTAGTCATCATTTTTAGTACCTCACAATCAAATTTAGAAGCTTAATCATTTTATGAACTGTTAATAATTCCACCCACTCTCAAAGATAATTCTATGACTACTAAATTTCACAAAACAAAATAACTGAATCATAATTCGAAAATCTAGTTTCCACTTCTATCAGATTGGAATTAAAATGATAAGCAAAAATACAGGGATGGGGAAACAATCTTAAATTACTTCTTAAGCTTGAGGCTTATGGTCATACTCAAAGCAACATCAGGCCTGGTCAATACCTAGATGGGTGACTGCTTAGGAATACCTGGTGTTGTAAGCTTGGATGTGCAGGTGGTGTAATAGATAACGGCTCAGAATTTGAAATTGGAGAACCAAGTTCCAATTTTGGTCAGGTTTGTTATTCACTTGCATGCAGTACAAGTGAATATAATGAACACAACTGAAATTAGAACTCTGTTCTCCAAATTCAGTTGGGTTTTTTATATTCACTCATGTGCAAATGCCCTTAGGGAAAGTATGAATCCACCTCTGCTCCCCCAACTAAGGGTTAATTAGTCATACTATTATAATTAAATCATTATCTCCAAAAATGACTTAAAATATTTTCTAGCTTTAAATAACCCTGCAAAAGGTTGGTAGGTAATAAAAGACAAAATCAATCTTCTTGCAAATTTAAATTCCCAAGAAATAATTTTGTTCATAACAGGTTTTCTTTCATTCTTCAGAAATATTTCCTTGATTTTTCTCTTACAATAAAATCTATGTTGTTTGATTACATTGCATTTATGCAAATTGTGTACTTGTCCTGCATTGTCTTAAATGAGAACATTGACTCGAAATGTCAGGAATGTTTGTAATGCTTTCTACTCGATCTTTTTATAACCTTTTTTTTTTTTCTCTATATGAATCAAAGTTATATATTTTGCAATTTAATTTCAGGCTGTATTACGAGTGTTTGGTGAGGGTCGCCGTAACCGAGTACTGGCTGGTCTATATATGGGACGCTCAGATACAGCCCTCTTGGTCCGACAATCTGCTCTTCATGTGTGGAAGATTATTGTAACAAATACACCCAGAACATTACGAGAGATTCTTCCAGTTTTGTTTTCTTTACTGCTTGGGTGCTTAGCCAGCACAAGCTATGATAAACGCCAGGTTATTGTTTTTCATATTACAATAATTAATAATGAATGAAACCCTTTAAAGCATTTTATAAAGCAAAACTCTGTTTTTTACGGGGGTTTTTTTTTTTTTTTAGCCTTGGTTATCAACTTTCATTCTATAATTTTCTTTACCCAGGAAATATATAAATGGGAGTTAAATAAAGCTTGTTTTATCCCTTATGGCATTTGCAACTTCAATTTCTTTTTTAACTAAAACTTAAATCCATTTCCATTATTTTGGTAACATTGTGTATTTTAATCTCTAGGTTGCTGCTCGTACTTTGGGAGACCTTGTACGTAAATTGGGAGAACGAGTCCTTCCTGAGATTATTCCTATTCTTGAGAAAGGATTAGACTCTAAGCGGAGTGATGAAAGGCAAGGTGTGTGTATTGGACTCAGTGAAATAATGGCATCAACTAGTCGAGACCATGTAAGTTCACTATTTCAATTTTACTGCTCAAATGAATAAATTGTGTGTGTGTGATGTATCAGGAACATATCCAGCTATTTAGAGAACTGATTACATGTCCTAGATGTTACATTGTTGCCAATCAGAAGAAACCTAATTGCACATGCATGGACTTGACACTCTCCTATATGGTTACGCAGTCATCGGTGAGATGGAATTGAGTACACTTATATGACCATTGAATGACCAAACGAGTAGATTTTTCATGTTTCATGCAGGGATTTTTGGTAAAATATTGCATCACCCTAATCTACCTGTGACTTCTGCTTTTCTCAAAGCTAAAACCATGACCAAAATACAGTGGACAAGGTTAAGGAGAATGTGATGGGGTAGCTGAGTGCAATATTGAAAGGGGCTCTTTCCATTTCAGGGTTTTCAAAATTATAAGCGGTGATGCCAGGATAAGTGTGTAACATCCCAAGGAGCATATTTTGAAGGGGACTAAGGTGTCGGTACACAAAGTGGTTTAAAACCCTCCACCCCTGAATAGATGGCTGAATACTTTCCGGACATACGATTTACTTTGGGGTGTGTGTTTATCTTCTATCAAAAATTTCATCAAATATGTCTTCAGAATTTACCTCCAGCAGCAAAGCCTCTGATCAGGAGATTGGAGGTTTTGAGGAGCTTAGAAGCACTTCTTGATCCCAGATCTACTCTGACTCGGGGTGGTAGCACCTACTAGGGTCCCAGCTATGGGCAAATAGTGAAACAAAAACAAAACACTATGAAAGTATAAAAATACATTCTTATATTAAAATATCAGCAATACATTTTTATATATAAAAAAAAATGACCAGCAATACATTTTTATATATAAAAAAAATGACCAGGAATACACTTTTAAAGCAAAATGAGCAACAATACATTTTATCTGTAGTTGAAGGCGTACAATTTTGTTTAAAATATATTTAGTTGAAGCCATACAATTGTTAGATTTCAGCATTAAATAACCCATAGGAGTGTTGATATGCCACTAAACAAAATCAACCAACCAACCAACTAAAAAAATCAGACTTTAATACCCTGATTATTTTTATTCTGTAATTTGATGACTTTTATTGTTGTTGCCTTTCCATGTTATTTATTGATTTATTTATTCTTCCTCAGGTGACTGTGTTTGCAGATAGTTTGATTCCCAGTGTACGCCGTGCTCTCTGTGATCCCCTCCCAGAAGTAAGGGAGGCTGCTGCCCGCACATTTGATAACCTTCACCATAATATTGGTTCTCGAGCACTGGACGAGATTCTACCAGACCTATTGAAAAAATTGGTTGGTTCATTTCTTGTGCAACCTTTCATCTCTCTTTCTCTTTCCTCCTTTCTCCTTTTACATAAATGTTTTCTTTTCTGCAAAATGATTTCCCCATTTACTCTGATTATCAAAACTTTTTCTTGTGTTGATTCAAAATATTCAGGACAGAAATGGTTTTAACAAAAATCTGAATTTTGCTCAAAATCATATTCAGTATCCCTTCCTTTTTTTATTTATGAAAACTGTCTTTGTCATTGTAGGCCAACCCTGCCACATCTGAATGGGCACTTGATGGTTTAAAACAAGTGATGACTGTCAAAAGCCGTGTTGTGCTTCCATATCTTGTTCCTCAGGTGAGACAATCAGCATTTTTTTTCCTTTGCTCTTTCTCCTTCCTTCAAAATTTTCTTTACATGCGAAAAGCATTGAATTTTCATTTCTATATCAAAACCCCCAAAAATCATATTAGAAAACTACAGGTTTCTATTCTTCATTTGACTACTCGTTAATTGTTGTTCTCACCTTCTTGCTTTCAGTTTGTATATGCATGTGTTATAATACAGATATTTTTTTTTTCAAGTCTTCTTACATTGAAGGAGACCAAATTTACTAATCTTTTTTACCATCCTATTCTAAGTTTAAGTTATCTCGTTATTTAGATATTGTGTCTTAAGCATCCGCTGGACAAGTCTCTCTCACACATAGAGAAAAATCATTTCCTAATTGCACTAATGCTCTTTCAATTTATATTTACAGTGACTTTATTGAACTTTATTTTTCTTGCTCTCTCACTCTCTCTAGCTAATCACCACTCCTGTCAATACAAGGGCACTTGCATTTCTCTCATCAGTGGCTGGTGATGTGTTGAGCAAACACCTGAACAAGATCTTACCCGCATTATTGTCTTCTCTCAGTAATGCAATTGGAACACATAAGGAAGAAGAGGTAGGTATTCTCTTCAATCAATGAATATTGCATATAATTAGGTGGAGGGAGAGGAAAAAAATAACTGACTTTATTATGCTTAACTCTTATTTCTGTAGCATGTCAATCTTAGGTGAAAATCATGCAAAATAATCTTCAGTGGAAAAATTGTTTCATATTGTATCTTGGTGTCAATTGAACTTTGGAAGAAAGACAAAAAAAAATGAGATATAAAAAGATTTGTAAAATTAAAACCAAAACTAACTGCAAGATAAAATCATCTGTTGAAATTTAAACATACGTTGGTCATAATTTTTAAAAGTAAAACCGTGATGATTCCAAGAGTTATTTGGTTTCAATAAAATTTTTCAAGGCATATTTTATTTGTTAATCTTTATCACTAACTTCATTTGCTTTGAAAAAAAAAAGTTTATCCTGCCACTGTAGGTGACTCTGATCCCTGAATTTAATAAAATTCTCTTTTTCATTAACCTAAACAAGCCCCACTTAATTTGATGGAACCACTCTTTACTAACCATGAATCTGAAGAAATTTAAAAACACAATCCCTGTAAGAAATTCTCTTTACAAAACAAAAAATGCTTAAGTGGTATTAAATGACTAACGTGGAATTTTATTTAATTGAGCAACTTTTCACATTTATTTGACTTTTGTAGATTTTATATTTTATTAGAGGATCAAATGAGGTGAAGAAATTTTCTAGAGATTTTCAAGAATTCATTTGACTATAAGCAAATCTGAAACTTTTAAATTCTCATCGTCTTCTAAGCTTGTGTATTTACTAAAGATGGCATGATTAAATAACATTTCCATATCCTGCAGAACTTCTTATGTTACTGTGTCCCTCCAGGACATGAATAATCATGGCTCTCTATAACTTCCTATGATTTGTAGCTCTAAATAATTTTTGTCCGCCCCCCCCCCCTTCTTAACCCCACTCCCTGTTCTGCCATCAGTTTACACAAGCATATTAGGTAAGATTACTCAATGTTTTCCTCTGCCCTTCTTGCCTGCAATATGTCCTGAGTATATTTGATAAGTATGAAAGTATCAAACAAAATTTTTTTTTTTTTTTTAATTTGATAATAAACCTTAGACCTACTGCAACTTATGTTGGGGTTCGTAAACTTTTGATAGAGATAAATATGTAGAAAGATTAAGATATGTATTATTTCAAACTTCAAAAAAACAGCACTCCATGTGGACTTTTAAACTAGCTCCTGCGAAAGGCTAATTGGGCTTCTGGCTCGAATCTAAAGTAACCTCTTGTCCAGCTTAGAAATCAGCAATGATCATTTTGAAGAAATAACTTTGAATACCCCAATTCACTCCATGGAACTTCAAAACCTCACTTTAACTCTGCCAATTTGGGCCAAAAATTGAGTTCTTCGAATCACAAACTGCAGAACTTCAAAACCTCACATCATGAAACCTCACACTTTAATTCTGATTCTTTGGCATTTTGAGGAAATAAAATTGATTTCTTCAATTCACAAAGTTTTAGAAATATTTTTTTAGAAAAATTTTAAATTCACAACCTTTTTTGTGTTACTTTAAACTGAATATAAATTAAAAACTTTAAAAATCACTAACATTTTTTTTTTTTTTTTTTTTTTTTTTTTTTTTTCCACTTATTTTAAAATTTGAATTTTTAACTGTTTCCTCCTCATTTGGACACAAATCCCAATGCTGGATGTTCAAGCACCAGATGAAGGGAAGATTTTCAATCCCAGGAATATCCTGATTCCAAAAACGCATAATATGTCTATGTAGAGCAAGTTTGGACTGAGTTAAAGAGGTTTCAGACACAGGACGGACAGACAGAATTTGCCATTTATTTATTCAGAAGATAGATTAATAATTAATTCCCTTTTATTGGTTGAATGAAAAGATGTATTTCTCATTTCAGAATGTAACTGGTTCAATCAGCTCTTTCCCCCCCCCCTTTCTTCTGCAACTTTTAAGTATGAATTTTTCTTTCTTCTGGTTACTTCCAGGAATTGGGTTATTGTGAATCAGTTGTCCTGTCTGTAACAGATGACTTGGGTACAAACACAATTCTAAATGAGTTGTTGAGTTCAGCCAATAGCTCATCCTCTGTAACATGTTGTGCAGCAGTGAACATTCTGAAGGCCTTCTGCAGCAAGACTAAAGCTGATTACTCTTCTTACTATCCCCAACTATTACGGGCGCTCATTGCTTTATTTGCCCGTACTGACCCCAAAGTGCTACTTGCTGCATGGAAATGTCTTGATGCCATCACAAAGGTAACATATCACAACCTTTTTCTTTCTTTTTTTTTTTTTTTTTTCGTTTTTTTCTTTTTTCGTTTTTTTCTTTTTTTATTTAAATAATTATTCAGTGTAAATGGGGTGGTGGGTTGCTCATTTACATTGTGGACCAAATTTGTTTTGCATCTCCTTTGGCAACAATTAGTTTTACTGGGATCACATATCTGACCATGAAACCAACACAGGGTTTATGAACTGCTTACTGCCATCTACAGTTTATCACCGGTTCTCGTATGATCACCAAAGTTAAACATCAAACCTGGTCAGTATCTAGATGGGTGACCACTCAGAAATACCAGATACTGTAAGCTTGGAGGTTCGGATAGTGGATAATGGCTTGGAATTGGAAATCAGAGAGTCGAGTTCCAATTCCAGTCAGGTTTGTTATATTCACTAACGGGCAAATACCTTTGGGAAAAGTATGAATTCACCTCCTCGTGCGCGCGCACACACACACACCAGTTATGGTTTACTTAGTAAGATTTGTATCAGTAAATCATTATTATCTTCAAAAATTCTTACAGTCTAAAAATATTTTCTGACTTTAAATAACTTGCAAAAGGTTGATACACCCTAAAAAAACAATCTAACTATAGACCAAAGGAAAAACATCTTAATTCAAGAATCTTCGATATTGTTACCATATACAAATAATTATACAAAAAAAATCCTTGGCTTTGAGCAAGAAACCCTTCCAAAAATTGGTCAGATTTTTAGAAGTTCATTTTCATACATCGTCATGAAAATGTTCGGATATTTGATAAATTGCCGAGATTCCTGAAGGAGCATTTCCTAACGTAAAACTTTACAAACTAAAAGTTTTAAGTGAAATTTTCATGTTAAAATTTTGTTTTTATAAACCTTTCTCGATTATGAATTTGTCAAGCATTTGACCTCCCTGCCTTTTTGCTGTAAACAATGAATTGTTTTTGACAGGACTTGAAGAATGTAGATGCCAACGACACAATCCAGCAAGTGCGACTGGCAATCAGATTTGCTACATCTGACTTTAAAGGAAAAGATCTTCCTGGATTTAGCCTCAATGGCAAAGTAAGAAAAACAAACATTCAACCTTTTCTTTCCTGTTTGCTGCCATCACGTTTACCTCATCAAACGTTCTCATACATTTGTTACAGTCTCTTTATCTCAAAGGAATCTGATCTTGTACACTTTAAATCATCCATTTGTGTTTGTTTTGGATGACCAAGAATAAAGCTTTAGAAAAGAGAAAACTGCATCAGATTTTTTGTAATTGTTTTGTATTAAATTCGAATTTGTTTAAATAAAATAAAAGCTTCTTTAATCTTTAAGGTAGCTGTGTTTATGTGTGCATGCATGTGCACTTTAATGAAAATTGCTTTGGTAGGTAAACCAAAAGAAGTTTTAGATTTACAAACTGAAAAAATTTTTTTAACATTTTTTTTTTTTTTTTTTTTTTTTTTTAAATAAATCTCAGAAGTTTTGATTTCTTGTTTATATTTTTCTCTGTCAGGGTGTGGCTCCGTTGCTTCCCATTTTCCGTGAAGGCATTTTGAATGGAACACCTGAAATGAAAGAATTAGCTGCTGAGGGCTTGGGTGAGATTATCAGTTTGACCAGTGCTCCTGCTCTCATGCCATCTGTCATCCACATAACTGGACCACTCATCCGTATTCTTGGTGACCGCTTCCCTGGAAATGTCAAAGTGGCCGTCTTGGCAACATTGACATTGTTGCTTAGTAAGGTAAGGGGAGAAAAACAAAAAAACTTTTTATTTAGTTCACAATAAATTGTGAATTTTCCTAGAAAATTGATTCTGGCAAGTGTGAACAAATTTTGATGGTGAAAAATAATCACATATCAAATGTTCTTGGACTCTTTTTTTTTTTCCTTATACTGAACTGATAGACTTACAAGATGATTTACAGAAGTATTATTGAAATTGACCCGCATACACAAAACACCCTGCCCAAATAATTACCCAGAGTAATCCATGCAGGCAGGATTTTGGCAGTCTCTTAACACAGCCACTTAGCTGAAATGAAGCATCGTTAACATTGTCACTCAACAAAGAGGGGGAGGACTGCTTATAACAACAATGTCTGTCACTTTACCCTCCCTCCAAATGCCTCAAGTACACCAATTGTATTGTAAGCTACTAATATGCCTAATTTTACATTGCCCCCAATATATAAATTATAAAACAATGGTGTGTCTGCTCTCTAAAAGAAAGCCTGCATGAACAGTTCCCTCAGCCTTTCATGATAAAAATATGAAACCTCTCCACAAAGGTTGGTGGTTTAAAAACGATCAAAAATGATACAAATATGCAGTGGGGTAGGAAAAATATCCGGGGGGGGGTTAAAAAATATATGAAAAAGGAAACAGATTCAAAAGGTCTAATACAACAATTACCTGCAGAAGGCTAAAAGAGTGTGTCTGTTAAAATACGGTTTTTAAAAAAATAATGTATAAAAACAATATTTAACACCTCCCGGCCAAAAAAAAAAAAATATATGTGGAACACTCACCCAGGCTGTGCAATCTTGCCATTTAAGAGTTAGATTTCTACTGAATTTGAATTCACTACTTAAAAGTAGTTGAAGGTATACAGGTGTATTCAAAATATAGTTATTTGACATAATAAAATTTTTCAAAATATTTAGATTTTGGCATTAAATAACCCATAGAGGTTGATATACTACTAAACAAAATCAACCAGCCAAACAATCAATATGAAAGAATTCTTTCAGAATATTAATCCATATAATATCCTCCAATTTCTTAAAGAATTCAAACTGTATTCAAAAATATAACTACAACATAAAACACACATCACCATGTCTAGTAATTCACGTCCCCTAAAAACATGTATATGCACAAAAGCTGTGTATCATCTACCATGTATTCAATTGTGAAAGCATAATAACCTATATCATAAAACACACACATATCACTGCCTCTAGTAATGATGTCCATAGAAACATGTATATGCACAAAAGCTGAGTATCATCTACTATGTATTCAATTGTGAAAGCATAATAACAAATATTTTTATTACTTCAAAGCTCATAATAAAATTAAATTTTGACATTAAATGACGCATAAGGACTTTTGATAAGTTGTTTAAACAATCAAATAAAATCTTTCTTTTAAGGTTGGTGCCAGCATGAAGCCATTCCTGCCCCAATTACAGACGACTTTTACAAAAGCATTAAATGATTCCAACCGTACAGTTCGACTAAAGGCTGCTGCAGCTATGGGTGGTTTGATCCTCATTCACACCCGTGTTGATCCCCTCATAACAGAATTACACACAAACATTAAGAATACAGATGATACCAGTATCAGGTGAGTCATGAAGAAAAGTTGTTGGGGGGGGGGTTCTGCTATTCATTATTACTCAATGATTTGGTTCACTTCTGAAAAGTTCTTTTTAAAAAGAGAAAGTCTAATGTGGAATCTATTTCAGACAAAATTTACTCCTCAAGAAACTATTTGAAATTTCAATTTAAAAATATTTTAATCCCTGACCTCTCTTCAGGATTCTACGGAACAATTGTTTTATTCAAGAAAATGATTCCCCTATAAATCATGCTCTAAGGGAATGTTTACCCTCAAAATACCAATAAATGTAAAGCTTGAAATACAATTAATAAAGTTGTAAAAGATTTATATAGCAGAGCTGTTGCAAACCTGCTCCTGTACAGTCTTCGGTTTTTTCATCACCTGGGCACATCATCTCTGCATTGTGTTTCATTTCCAGTTTGCTTTTGTGTGAACAAAAACTGGGAAAGAGCCAGTTGTATATTCACAAAGAAACAAAAATGGTCACAGCAAGACAGGAATATGTAAAACCTGTTTCCAATATATTTGGTTATTTATTTATGGATTCACTTGGCACAGTCTGGGGTTGGGGAAGTTGGTAGGTGACACTTGGGACGTCTTCACTTCCTACTTGTTCTCTCTTCTAATGGACCAGATCTTTCCTTTTGGTCAGAAAGAATTTTGTCTCTATATCTCTCTTTTCTTTAACTTTCATGACTAGTACCTTTCTGACCCTGCTTCTCTACATTTGCACCGATAACCTGCAAATGGGTGGCTCAAAACGGACAATTCTAATTGGGAATCTCCTTATATAAGTCTATGACTGGAACTTCCTGACATCCAGTCAAATGGCACTTGATCCTGAAAGTTATCATTTAATTTCTTTATTTCACTTTCTTTCTACCTGATAGTGGGTGGCCACTTTCTAGGTTTTACAGAGTCATAAAAAAGTCAGTTAAAAAAAAATAAAATTGACTTTGTGTTCTAATCACAGTCTGATCCCATTGTCCCACACTATATCTTTCCTTATTTTCATGGAAATGTCATTAACTCCCTTTTCTTAAAATTTACACAAATGAGTTTTTAAAAAAAAAAAAAAACTGTGAGAAATTATGACTAATTGTTTGGCTTAAGCTTAAAATCTTTTTTTCTTTTTGCCATCTTTTCTGTCCATGAATTCTCATACTTGTCATATTTTCCTTTTCAGGGACACAACTTTGCAAGCTCTTCGAAGTTGTATTACAGGAGGTAAAGAGAAATTTTCAGACAACCTACGAAAGATGTTAATGACATCTCTATTAAAAATGTTAAACAGTACAGAAGACAGCACCCGAATGACTGCATCAGGCTGCCTAGGAGCACTCACTGTCTCTCTACCCAAAGATATTCTCACAGACTTGATGATAACACACTTGTTGGGTAAGTAAACGACTCAGGTAGTTTGACAACATAGCAATAAAGTCTTTGTTGCGTGTTTGGCATTGTTTCCCCAGAGTTTAAGTGTAATCACTTTTAGAATTGATTGTGTTCTTGTTGTCCTGGTCTATGGCATTGGGACAAAAGTTTGTAGTGTTTTTTCTTTTTTATAGTTGAAATTTGAACACATGACTTCATTTCACAACATATACACATTTTCTGAAAGGTAACATTTCAACGTGTCTTTCTATATAATTTGTGTGTGGATTGTGAATTTTAAGTGTTTTTACATCAAAAGTGAAAATGGAGGAAAATGAAAAAGAAAATAGTTGTACAAACAACAAAAAAGATATGTGCCATTTATGGAGATGGTGTCATAGCTTGAGCGCTGGTTAGATGTGGTTCACTAGGTTCAGAAGTGGAAATTTTGATCTGAAAGAAAAGACATATTTAACAGAATCTGAAGAAAAAGAACTTTTAATTTCTAACATCTTATAAATACAAAATCTAAATACTACTTTTGACGTGACTATAATGTTTAAAAAAAAAAACACTTGGCTTAATTTCACTACAAAATAATACACAAAAATCAAATCCCAACCCTACTTGCTTTAGCATTAGATAACTCACTAGGAGTTGATATGCCATTAAACAAAATGAATTAGAAAAAAGTGAAATTCTTTTCTATAGTTTTGAATTTTTTATTTTCTACCTGCAGACACAGACACTGGAGTTGAATGGACATTGCGACATGGGCGTAGTGTGGCTTTAGCTGTGTCCATCAAAGAAGGGGTTTACCAGAAATTAGTGCCTGGCCTGCAAGAATCAGTACTGCAGGTTATTGCTCATTTGACCACAGCTGACCGGGTAAGTAGTTGCTTTGCCAATCTCATGTGTCATCTCTCTGTAAGCCAGCGTTTCTCAACCAGGGTTCCCTGAGAACAGGTGAAATAAGCTTTATGAATTAATTGTATTTAGCATTACTGAAAAATTTGACAAAGAAGTATTAATTTTCCCTTAAACCAGATATTCAGAAATATATGCTATGATATTTACCACATAGACTATGATGAAAATAAAATGAGAAAGATAATGGTATATAATTTTGTTTTTGCGCAGGGGTTCCTTGAGACACGTAATTTATTTTAAGGGTTACGCAAGGGTAAAAAGGTTGAGAAACGCTGCTGTAAGCTGTCATCTTCTTTTGAGGAATGATAAATTAGATAATTGTATTCAATGGCTACTTTTGATCCCAAACTTTTCTGGGCTGGAGTGAAAATTTGTTTGCACCTCACCAAATTTTAAGTGATAAAAAGTGCATTTAAAAAGAAGAGAGGGTTAAAGGGAGATAACAGTGGATTCACTGTCAGAACATTATTATTGATAACTGTCCTCTCCAATTTGCAGAGCCTAATTACTATATTCTTAATATTTGATATAATGCAAAAATATCACAATGATAAAATCGGTCAATAATTATTTATAACTATTTATACTGGGACTCATGCATGCAATTACAAGTAATCCATAATAATATTTTAAATTTTGAAATCATATTTATTTTTGGTAAATGAATTTTTACAAAAACTATTTCTAAATCTTTGATTGTCTTTCAATCATTCTGCCTCACCTGTTACCCTTTTCCGCCACACGATCTGGGAACAACTGCCTTAGGATGTTGATGAATGGTAATAAACTTGCAGGCAGTTACATATTTCTAATGACTGACAAATAAGTTTCTAATGATTGATAAATAAGTTTCTGTTTAGAATTGATGTAGAAATTTACAAGTCTTACAGAATGTTTTCATAAGATCGAACTTTGTGTTCAAGTCCAAATCTAACTCTTGTCAAAGATCTCAAGTGAATTGATGTAATTGCTTACATTTGCTGCCGACTCTCATTTCTTTGTATCTCTCTCTCTTCTCGTTTTTCACAGATTCCAATTTGCTTAAGTGGACTGCGAGCAGCCACCTATTTATTATGTCAACAAGTGATGAACGAAGAAGACCCCTCACCGGAACTTGTTGCCCTGCTTGTTAAGGTAATTCATCTCCTTTTTATTTGGTTCAGTTGGTGCGACAGGGGGTTCGGAGCTTCAGAATTTAGGCTTTGCTTTTGGGACTTAAAGCTCTGCACAAATAAATGTTCAACAAAATTGAAAATCTCTTTTTGCATGCTGAGTAACAAGCCAAACACTCTGAACTGCAACAATCAAAATTGATAGCACATGTTAGCTTTCCACATTGTAAAAAACACAAGATTTGGAAGGAAACTGCCATCAATATTAGCAAAAACTATAACATTTAGTAGACATGAAAAGTCTATTTTCCTGAAAAACTTTTTTAAGAAAAAGATTTTATAAATTTCAATCGACAGTAACACTAATTGTTCAGTCAATAAATGCTAAATGTTTCCTTATAAGGAAATGGCTGACTTCACCCTTGAAACTGGAATGGGGTGATCAAGGAATGTTAACCATGTTGGTAGGTAGGGAGAGTTTCCTCACACACTTTGCACCAGATCAAATTTTTCCTTCTAGGTTTATAAAATCATTTTTTGTTTCTTTCAGGGCATGAAACATGATTCAAATGAAGTGAAACAATTGTGTGGTCAGCTGGCGACTTATTTTTCCCATGCCATTAGTGATCCATTGCCGAATTCTGTGCTAAAAAGCCTCATCCCATCCTTAGTGATGGGTACAAAAGAGAAAAACACTGTGGTCAAAGGTAACAGCGAGTATGGATTGTTGGCTCTTCTTCATCTGCAGGACGGTGAAGACACTTACGAGGTGAGTGATTTATCAAAAACAAAAACCAATTTAAAAAATTTCACTTTTTAACATGCACATAGTTCAACACCTGAATGCGTTCTGTCCTTAAATTTAAGACAAATGAAAAAGAAACCTTTTTATAATTCTGCTTGTTCCTCCATTGATCAACACATGTTATGCCCCACCATTGCCTCAGATAAATAATGGACCATTCTGTTTTGTTTGCAAAGAAAGATGAAAGAAAAAGATAATATCAGAGATACTATGTGGTTTTAGTGAGAAAAAGAAAGCATATAGAATAAGAAGAACAAAAAAAATTGTAATGGTAAAATGAACATATAATGTTTGTTGAAAATGTATCTGGACTGGTGCTATAAAAAGAAAACTACATCAATTCGATATTTAGTCTCTTTGGAAATAGTCCACTTGTGAAGCCCAACACTGGACATCTCAGTTTCAGTTATTTCATTTGGATAGTTAAGTTACTAGAAGGGAGATAACTGGAATTGAAATACCCAGAAAAGGCATGGCATGTGGAACTAGAACAATCTACCCCAGTGGACAAAATAAAGGTTTCGGTTTGAAATTCCAACATATATCACCTGGAGAAGACCCGAGTGTACGACAACCAAAATGTCATGAATATGACAACAAAGATGAGGACAACAGTCCAAACAATGTAAATAGTGTAAAGTCTTTGTTTCTAAAAAAAAAAATTTCCTCTATCATAATACTTTGCTTAGTTTTTGGCAGACATCTTTTGCTATTCCAACACTCAGATTGTGGCATTGTACTTTCTGTCCTTTCTCAGGTATTTAAATTGTGGCACTTGCTTGAGTAAAGATTAAATAAACCTAATATAATGCAGAGTTATGGATTGTTTCCATATTTTGTGAAAGCTGTTAAGCACAAATATTTAAATAATGGAATTTCCACTTAAATTTCATAATTTGGAAGTTACAGGGAACGTACTGAGTCATTAAATTAAGAATTACGATTCATCGGAAAATTCAAAACAAGGGAAAATTGAAAAACTTTCACTGCTCATGTTGAATAATCTTTGATGCCCATTAGACAAGGCTCTTTAATCAGAAGTGCTCAAGAAATCAGAAAAAAATGTTTGAAACCGTTTCTAAAGCTACAAAATACCAATGTCAATTTAGTTATAATGTTGCCCCATTACATGCTGAAGAATGTAAAGCATTCCAGGCAGATAAAACTGATGTTGTTAATTGTTTATCATTTACTTTGCAGGCCACCCTGAATATACTCGACGTGGGTATGCAAGAAGCCCTCCAAGATGTGTACTCAAAGACACTAAAGAAACTCCTTACTCAGGCCATGCCAGTTCCCGAAGAGATTGACGACTCTCTTCTACTCTAGCCATAACTTGACAGTTTAATAAACTATAGACTCATGTTCACAATAGACTTTTTCGAATCGATTCTCTCAAAAGTCTTTATGCATCCAGAAAACATTTTGTGGATGGAAACAAAACTGAAATTGACTTTATAAAAATTCTGTTCAGCAGAAAAGACAAACCATTTATTGAGAATAAAATCTGATTGAATAAATGATAAAACCCCAAAAGTTCAACAGTCAACAGAAAACATTTTTTGTCTTTCAGTTTTTTGTTTATTTTTTTTATTTCCGTTTGCATGAATGCAGTGTTGTTGTTTCTTTTCCCCGATTCTGAATCTCTCCCTCCTCGTCTCCGTTTTCTCCTTCTCGATTCTGAATCTCTCCCTCCTCGTCTCCGTTTTCTCCTTCTCGATTCTGAATCTCTCCCTCCTCGTCTCCGTTTTCTCCTTCTCGATTCTGAATCTCTCCCTCCTCGTCTCCGTTTTCTCCTTCTCGATTCTGAATCTCTCCCTCCCCTCGTCTCGAATCTTTTCTCCGTTTTCTCGATTCTGAATCTCTCCCTCCTCGTCTCCGTTTTCTCCTTCTCGATTCTGAATCTCTCCCTCCCTCGTCTCCGTTTTCTCCTTCTCGATTCTGAATCTCTCCCTCCCGTCTCCGTTTTTCTCCTTCTCGATTCTGAATCTCCTCCTCCTCGTTTTCTCCTTCTCAATTCTTTCTCCTTCTCCGTTTTCTCCTTCTGATTCTGAATCTCTCCCTCCTCGTCTCCGTTTTCTCCTTCTCGATTCTGAATCTCTCCCTCCTCGTCTCCGTTTTCTCCTTCTCGATTCTGAATCTCTCCCTCCTCGTCTCCGTTTTCTCCTTCTCGATTCTGAATCTCTCCCTCCTCGTCTCCGTTTTTTCCTTCTTTCCTTCCCCTACATTTCTGTGACCTCTTCAGCTCTGCTGAAAGGATTCTTCTAATTTTGAACAATATATGTCTTCTCTTTTGAATTTTAAAACTGAATCTTATTTGAGAACCTTCTCTTACCAAACATTAATCCAACTCTTTGATTTAATTTTACTCATTAAATTTTGTGTTTACTATCAATGATCACAGTAAAAGTGACTCTCTTTGTGCATCAGTTTATCCCCACTCCATAAACCTAAACTCTGTATTATTTGCAACCGAAACTGGATCGGAATTTTCATTACCAGGGAAAAACAACACCAGTAACCGGAACAGTGTCTTTTATTACTGATTTCTTGTACCACACGAATAGACTGAACCACTCATAAAAATTTGGGGCAATCATTTTTATTGATTAGTATTCTTTAGTATTTCTTTATTCTCTCTCTTATATCATAACACTAGTCACAATAAAAAAGAATATAGATTTGTTATTGTTTTTAGATAAAGTATCAAATTGATCCCTGACTTTGATGAGTTATTGAACTAAGTGACTTAACCTAATAACTCATTAAACATTGATATTTGTGTATTTTTAAAAATTTGTTTTTGTATGGGGGGGGGCAAATGCACAAATATTTGAGGTTCATAATTAAGAATAAATGTATCAATTTTACTAATCTATGTAAATTTTTGTTCTTAATATATATATATATATTTGTTCATTATTCATGTAATCTGTAAGCCCACCTCAAAAATGTCTTTTTGTACACAAAAGAGCTTTTGTCAATCACTCTGGAAAAGTCAGATATCAATTTAACAAAATATTGATGTTATCAAAAGGACCCCCGCTTCTAAATCAATAACAAAGCTTTTTTTTTTTTTTTTATTCTAACAAGTGTGATGATCTAAAAGAATGTGAATCAACAAAGTATTTCCCCAAAAATACTTTTTATATATATATATATATATATATATATATATATATAATTTTTTTTTTTTATTTTTTTTATGAGTGGACCATACTATTTAAGTAGTGCCCTGATGTCTTGTATCACTTTGAATACATACCAAAATGGAACTGCTTTATGACCATCTTTGGTTACTTATCTACAAATAAGCTCTAATAAAGAAATAACAATCGTTATATCTTAACACTTTCTGTTTATTCTTGTGTTACTCTCCTTGTTTTTGATTTCTACTTTTAGACATCCATGGATTATATCCTAAAGATATCAAGGTCTTATATAATGGTGTGTATTCATGTGCTTTTTTTTGTCTTTTTTCAATACTAATAAGAGGTCCAAGAACCACTCAAGGTAGAGGGTTACTATTTTGCATGAGAAAAAGCAAGAAGTGTAGTTCACAAGATTATGTAGAAAGGATAACCATTAATCCTAGACTTGAAGATTGTAATGTTTGGGAAAATATTCTACCAGGAGTCTGCTCTACATAACAGAAAGTCTAGGGGAAGAAGTTGTTCAAGTGGAACTTACTCCTTACTTATGGAATATGAAAGTAATGAAGATAATTCATCCTAGTGTAAATGGCTTTGCAAGTCCCAGTTGTAAAGGTCAGGGCTGGTGGAACAAAGGAATATAGCTCATCAGAATACGTGCCATGACAATAGTGATATTTTGTACATGCATTAGTGTTATATCACATGATAATCAGTGTGTGTGTGTGTATATATATATATATATATGGCAATAAAATTGCAACATACCACACATATAGTGCAGGCGTTAACAAAACTGCTCAATGTAATGAAACAGCAAAAAATGTGTGTGTATATATATATATATATATATATATATATATATATATTCACATCTCTAGCATGACCAAGTTATATTATCTGGAAGATGTTATCCATCTTTCATCACCCCCACCACCAAATGCAAAAGACATTGTACTTATTGGTGTGCATTGATGCTTGCTGAACATTTATGGAGACCAAACAGTGGACGGGATTGGGTAATGTGTTTCAGCAGTGGTAAAAATTTATATGCATGACAACTTGTCACACATAAATTTCCATCCACTGTTGGGTCTCCATAAATATTCAGCAAGCATCAATGCATTCCAATAGGTACAATGTTTTTTGCTTCCCCCCACCCCACATGGTGAAATTCAATAACATATCTGTTTTGCACACACTTTCATGACAGATGCCATTTTGCCAAACTGTCACTCAGCTGCTATCTGTAACCACCTTTAATTTTTTTTCTTGCTTTATTAGCAGGAAGGTTCCACCTGTACTGCCATATGTACTAGCATCCTTGTTGGCATTTCACCACTGCTGAAACGCATTACCTGTAGTCTGTGTTCACAACCACTGTTTGGTCTCCATAAATGTTCAGCAAGCAACGATACATATAAACAGGTACGCTTTGGGCAGCTCGGTGTGGTGTAATGGTTAGCGAGCTTGTCTCGCTAGATCAGTTACAACTGAAAAGTGAGTTCGATCCTCACTTGATGCCCCATACTTTTGGCCTTGTGCCACATCTAAGCTACGCTTGGAAAATAACTATAAATAGGTACGCTGCTCTATATCAATGTTTCCCAACCTTTTTTCAGCTAGTGCCCCCCTTTAGGCACAACCTTTTTTTGTCAACGCCCTGTTAAATTTTGAATATTATACTGAATTCATCTTTCTTAGCAAGATAGCATTTAGGTATTAGTGCAAAAATAATTTTAATAGTTTTCATTTGTATTATAAATGCCAATGATTAAAATGATAAAAAAAAAAACTTATTTGATAGCCAGTAAGCACCAACCATTTCATTGAAAACATTGAGAGAAGCTATAGCTCTTACTCTAGGTTCTATGCTGCTTAGAAGTAATCGTAGATCTCCCCATTTTGTAATTTGCAGGTGGTTTCTTTGGCAATGTAACTGCATTGAAACCCCATTCAGCCATATAGGAAGTTGAAAAAGCAATGAAGGAAAGTTTGATAGCTTCCCTCAGCTTTACATACCTTTCGAAAATTTCCTTTTGTAACCAATATTGAATAATTTTTGAGGAAAAAAAAAATGAATAAATGCCCAGTACTCCTCCCCCCCAAATTAAATAAAAACTCCCAGTACCACCTTTCAAGATAAGTCTACAAGGGGGCGCTAGAACCCATGTTGGGAAACACTGCTTTATATCATCAAGTGCGGACACAAACTGGCCTCCTCAATCCCATGTGACTTAACGTAGACCAACAACTAGAAATCATCAATGTCCAGTATTGCTGTCGCTTGACCTCAGAAGCTATCATTTATTTGTTTGTTCCTTTTGGTCCTGGATAAAAGAAGATAAAGACTTTATCCAGCAGCCATAAAAACCGAAAACTTAGGATCATGACAAAAATCTCATACCCTTCCTCTCTATGTGGGTCTCTCAATCGTAGTGTCACACTCGGTCAGACCTTGATTATTAATTTTTGACTAGTATTTTCTTTCAGGTAAAGTGATTTTCATTTTAATTCTCAGACCCTTATTCAATATTCTAGACTGTTGAATAATTGCCCATATATTTCTTCAGAGGGTATTTTAACTCAATTTACCTTACGCCTTTTCAACAATAAACAAGAAGTTACCCTTAATAGCTATCTACTTTTGTCTTGTTTATATATGTTGTTATACGTATGACGAAATTTGTGGTGGATTTGTGACAAGTTTTGTGCCACTGTTCTCTGACCGTCTGTCGTTTACTGCACCTGTGATGACATCCAGGGTCAGCTGTGTCTGCATATACACCCACCTTGCTATGTGCACAGGTTCATCTTGGTGGCTGTGATCACTTTCAACAACAAAAAAAAAAACTGAAGACAATTGTTTTTCATGACTCTTTGCAAAGTAGCAACAATATTTCTCACTTAACTGTGGGATCCTTCCTTTAGCTTTGAGAAGCTGACTACTATCTAACTTCTGGCCACGGAAAAAGACCTTTAGATTCACTGTTGCTTCGGTCCCTGCCGATTCCTCACTCCTGGGCACTTGGGAAGCTACTATAACTCACTGGTCACCTCCCTACTTCTCTCATGGTTGGACCCCTTTCTCCTTGACGCCAGCCTCTCTCTGCTTATATGGATAATTGCCAGGTCCCACCCATTTATGCCCTGGAAGTTTTGAGACCACCCCAAAGCCAAATAGGTGGTCAGATCTTCAAAGATCTAATTTTAGGACTATCCAAAATCATTGATAAAATTTTTATGTATCCAAAATCAAAGGCAACTGTATACATATATCCCCAAAACACTGACACTTAAGTTGACTAAAAGATGGACCGGAGATGAAATTCCAATAAAACTCAAGATAGCTGAGCGAACTTAAAAGAAATGAAATTCATCTATTTATCTTCTACAGATGTGAGAAATCGTATTGTTACACATGTATTTATGGCAACGTTATGTTGAAACACTGATTCCTGTACAATCACCAAAGTTAAGCAATGTCAAGCCTGGTCAGTACCTTAATGGGAAACCATTTGGGAATACCAGGTGCTGTAGGAGTGGATGTGTGGGTGGCGTAATGGATAATGGCTTGAAATTGTTAATCGGAGAGCTGAATTCATTCTATTCACTTACATGTAAATCCCCTTGGGAAAGGTAGGAATCTGCCTCTTCTCCTCCCCCAGCTATGGATTAATTAGTAAGATTTGTATCACTAAAACCATTATCTCCCCCAAACAATAAAATGTGCAAAATATGTAGATTGCGGCATTAAATAGCTCATAGAGGTGATATGCCACTAGTAATTTTCTAAGCTTAGAAGGCTGAAAGTATGGGGCACCCAGTGAGGATCGGACTCACTACTCAGTCATAATTGTTTTAGTGAGACAAGCTTGCTAACCATTACGCTGTGCCCCATAGAGATTTTCTAAACATAGCTTAGGATGTGGCACAAGGCCGAAAGTATGGGGCACCCAATGAGGATGGAACTCACTACTCAGTCGTAATTGTTTTAGCGAGACAAGCTTGTTAACCATTACATCACGTCGAGGTGCCTGTGATGATAAACCAACCAATTAAGTGTATGTCTACTTGTTTTGCTCTATCTGCTTTCTATCACGTGGGAATGAGTAAAAACAGAAAAATTTTAATTATAGTAACTTTGTACACAACCTAGACTAGCATTCCGCACTTTGAAAAATCTTGTCTAATCATAGTTTGATGAATGAGCCGCCACTATGGTCTTCCTGAAGGTATTTACTTGATTCCCACTAAATCAAGATATGACACAAGGTCGATTAACGTGGGAGACCCGAGTGTTTCCACTCATAGGCCACTGGTCAAAATATTGGTCAGAGCTTGTCCAAGCTGAAAAGGGTGAAGAGTCATGAACTAAAGAGAAGATAACAATTGACATTAATGTTCAAAAATTTAAATGTAAAGTGAACTGGGAAGCAAAAATCCAGAAAAGAATTCTACAAACACAAAGTGCAATAAAAGAAACCGTTATATTATTTGAACTATTGTCCTCATCTTTGTCGCCATATTTATTACGTTTCAGCCGTTGTACGCTTCGGCCTTCTTCAGGTGGTTGGAATGTCGAACTGAACCCTTTATTTCTCTCACTGGGGTAGACTGTTCTAGTTCCATGTTTAATGGATGTCAGTTATTAGGTTTACAACACCCAGAAAATCATACCCAGATGTCCTCAAGTGGATAAAGGCATTGGTTAGATCCAGTGACAAGGACCCAAAGAGTGTGAGTTCAATACCCGGTTAAGGTAGTGGAGAAATTTCAGAGGAAAATTAACAGGAGATAACGGATAACTGACATCCATCAAACACGGCACATGGAAATAGAACAGTCTATCACCAGTGAACGAAATAAAGGGTTCAGAACGACATTCCAACCACCAGAAGAAGGCCAGAGTGTACAACGGCTGAAACAAAATAAATATGGCAACAAAGATGAGGACTAATAGTCTGAATAATGTAGTGTACATAATATCTCATCTCAAAAATATAGACAGATACTAAAGGACTGAAACATTGTGATAAATATGGCGACAAAGATGAGGACAATAGTCCGAATTATGTAAATAGTGTACATAATACCTCATCTCAGAAATATAGACAGATACTGAAGAAACTGTTAGCATAGAACTTACGAATACATCTAGCAATTCCAACTGAAGACATGGTGGAATGATAAATAGCAGCTCGGATTGAGGAATCAGAGAACTGAATCCGAATTCCATTACATTTTCTTACGTTCTAATACCCTTAGGAAAGGTATGAATCTTCTTCTCTACCCAGCAGGAGAGACTGAGTTCTACAATCTTGGATGGCAACTGGTCCACCAAAGAAAGAAATAGCAACCTACTGCGGGAAAAAAATTCTGCCACGACAGTCATGTATCAAAAGATACATGATTGCCTAAGTGTGTATCACACATGGCACATAACTGACTGGCTAATCTAGTACTGGGATTAAATTCATAAAGTCAAGGCACCAAAAGACAGTGTTTAACTGTTTCAACAGTATGTCTGTCTTCAAGTTATGTTCAAAAATTGCATGCTGCATAACATATATATCGTATATCGTATCATGAAACTTTCGAAGACCAAATTTTGAAGGGGGTTGCATTATACGAGATATAAAATTAGCGTATGTACTGCTGGCCTTGGTTATACCGTTGACCAAACTATATATGTGATTTATTGTAGTCAAATTAGCTTAAAAAATTATGTCTTCAAAGGTCACGTGATTATATATGGTACAAGTATAATAAAAAAAAAAAAAAGACATACTATTATTTATTTTCAAACTTGAAAACATTCCGTTGAAATATTGTATTTTCTTAAATCGTACTCTTCACTGTATGTATTGAATAATATTGAAAGAGTTACGTCAATTATTTTGTTTGTTTGTTAATAGTGTAAATAACAATAATGACAATATAAAAAAAAAAAATAAACAAACTGTGTACCAAGTTACACTGTGGTACAAAAATAGGAAACTGCCCATAATGACAGTCAAGTTGATAAGTGTACGCTACATACACGCATCACAGTCAAATTTGTCTTAACGGGTTTTGATAAAAGCAGCACATCTTTGCAGGTGAGGTCAAATTCGAAATGCCGGCAGGTTGAGTAGGACAATCCTCTCAGATGAACTCCAGCTGAGGCGTGTTTCAAGTTGCATATAGGCTCAAATATAGTGTGAGTTTTTATGATTAAATTTTTTATGAAAAAAAAAAAAAAAAAAAAAAAAAAAAAAAAAATAGAAAGAAAGAAAAGAAAAGAAGAAGAAAAAGAAAAGAAGAAGAAAAAGAAAAGAAGAAGAAAAAGAAAAGAAGAAGAAAAAGAAAAGAAGAAAAGAAAAAGAAAAGAAGAAAAGAAAAAGAAAAGAAGAAAAGAAAAAGAAAAGAAAAGAAGGAAAGAAGAAAAGAAAGAAGAAGAAAAAGAAAAGAAGAAGGAAAGAAAAGAAGAAGGAAAGAAAAGAAGAAGGAAAGAAAAGAAGAAGGAAGGAAGAAGGGATGAAGAAGAAGGAAAAAACAGAGAAAAGAAAAAAGAAATTATGCTTTTTTTTTTTTGGAAGAGGTTAGAAGTCATGTATTTTCTGTGACGGGTTACACTATACACAAGCAATTTTTTTTTCTTCAGAAAAATTAAAATTGATACCAAAAAAAAAAAAAAAAAAAAAAAAAAAAAATAATATCCGGGTTTTACGCTTATACACAAGTATCTACATGCAACACTCAAGTTGCCTTTACTGCATTATCTTTCAGATTATTAGATGAACAATAACAAAAAAAAAATATAAAAACTCAACACACAGCCACAATGCACCATAACTATTCCTGTTCATGAACAGATATACAGTTTCCGTCCCTAGAGACACGTCCAACTTTATTATGGTTATAATTTTCTTTGTTTAATGACTGGTCAATGCAAGTGGTTAAATACGCTTTCTCTTTATTTAAACACTTCATAGTTTGGTCACAACACCTGAATTCGATATATTTGATGTTCTATTAGGCTGTAGAGAACTATGGTTATCTATAAGCTGCTATTCCAAAAGGTTATTTAATTGTTTGAGAATACTTTAGATCAAGGATGGCCAACCTGTGGAGCATGCGCCATAAGTGGGCGCATAGTTTCTTTTCATCAAAAGGATGCAAAGCCACTTCTACTCATTCATTTCAGTGATTTTATATTTATTGCACGTCCTTTACGAAAGTGCTAAAAAGTTTGATTTGTGTTTGTCCCATTTCTTTTTGTTAAAAATGCTGACTTTAAAATATGTCCATATTACAACACGTACTGAAAGGAAGTGAATGTTTGTGTGGCGCATTTAAATTAATCGTACAAAATATTGGCGCATGGAATCAAAAGGTTGGCCACCCCTGCTTTAGATTGTAAATGATAATAGCAATATCAATTGTTTCCTTACAAGAAACCATTCAGTATTCATCGTTCAAGCAGCCAGTGCTATTTGTCAGTCTCTAATTTATAAAATCTTTCTCTTGAAATAATTTTTCAGGAAAATAGGTTTCTCAAGTTCAATAAATGTTATCGTTCTTTCCAGTATTTATGGGAGTTTCCTTCCTAACCTTCTGTTTAACATTGTGTGGAACGTCAACATCTATGCCATTACTTTCTCTCCAAGTTACATGCGATATCCATTTTTAGCTGTTGCTGCTCCTCAAGTGATGCAGTTTTTGTTATCTGGTACAGTTCTTTGGGATTTTGTAGCGCCAGTCCATGAGGTCTGAAGCAGGATGATTGTCGCCAAGACCTGCACACTTTACCTAGTCAAAGCCATTTTTAACCATTGAATTGAGAAAATGATCATATACAGGAACAATGAGGTTTTTTTTTCATCATTTTGCCCTGAAAGAAAAAAAAAAAAAAAAAAGAGAAGAGAAAAAGAGAGAAGAGAAAAAAAGAGAGAAAGAAAAAAGAGAGGAAAAAAAGAAGAGAAAAAAAGAAGAAAAAAAGAGAGAAAAAAAGAAAAAGAGGAAGAGAAAAAAAAAAAGAGAAAAAAAGAGAGAGAAAAAGAAAAAAAAAAAAAAAAAAAAAAAAAAAAAAAAAGAAAAAAAAAAAAAAGAGAAAAAAAGAGAAAGAGAAAAAAGAGAAAAAAAAAAAAAAAAAAAAAAAAAAAAAAAGAAAAAAAGAAAAAAAAAAAAAAAAAAGAAAAAAAAAGAGAAAAAAAGAAAAAAAAAAAAAAAAAAAAAAAACAAAAAGAAAAGAAAATTAAGAAGAAAAAAAAAAAAAAAAAAAACACAAAAGGAATTAAGAAGATAATGACACATTGCATTTAAATTTTTAAAGATCAAAGTTGACTGGGGAGCTAGTGGCTGGGCTCTCTTACCTTCCTCTAATAATTGATAATTTTTCAAGAATTTCAAACTAGACCAAAACCTTTATTCAGTTCATTTGTTGTTTTGCTGCTGTCCATGTAAGAAAATATCTCATCTCTGTTAATTTGTTGTTGGAATATTACTTGTCTCTTCCAGAGAGACAATATAACAGCTTTTGGGTACCACCTAACATAGAAATTGAACTCATAACCGTTAATTTTGCCTCTCCATCCCATAGCACAACTGTTACAACCTGCCAATACCTGATAATTAATAGATTATTCTGTTTTGATTTTGTAGAAAGATGGAAAAGATATCATAGACACAATTTTGTCTCAGTGAAAAAAAAAAAAAAAAAAAAAAAACTGCAATATTATTGATCCTGACCAGGCACCTTAGCTTCAGTCATTTTCATGGTAATTGTTTTGATGAGCCTTGCTTTTTGGTACCTTTGCCCTCATGAATTTAAGCACGGCAGCTAGGTCTCATCACTTTATACTTGAAATGGCTGGATATAGACGCAAGTTCTATGCTAACAGTTTGTTCTCTTGCATGTGGAACTCTTCTGGCCTCTTACTTTCCAGTCAAGTTTGATCTTCAAAAATTTAAATGCAAAAATCAATCGTTATCTTCTGTCTTAGTATTTCTCATTCTTTTATTGTACTCATTTTCTTTTCTCATTCTCAGTAATCCCTTGCATCTTAGTGGCTTTATTGCCATACATGGAGTGAGAAAAAAAATTTACAAAAATTCATTTTTTTTTAATTTTTTTTTTAAGATTGTCAAATGAAGCCAAATAGGATGAAAAAAAAATAAAAAATAAAAACAGACAAAAAAAGCTGAAATGATTAGCAAATATTTTATTTCCTCCTACAATATTTGTTTCAGTCATAACAAATTTATGAAACAACCAAATTTCCTCTTATTGTTTATGACAAATCTTTGTCATAAATGCCTCCAAGATAATTACAGGATTACATAAACAAAAGTAAACAAAAAAAAAAATTTGTTATAAAGTAAACAAATTTTTTTTTGGTTTTTCATGTTAAAATTTTAGATGTTTTTTTGTAAATGGGTGGAAACATTTCAGTAACGTTTCAGTCTTTAAAGAACTTAAAAATTAAAATTGGAAATCTGAACCAGACACAAGGTTCAGATAGTTTCTCTTAGTGCACCGAGAGATTAAAATCTGTCGAAATCTAATCGTTCCACATACTCAGGACACTCGGGGAAACTATTTCTTCCATCCAACTGATCATGACAGACAAAATCTGGTTGGAGGTTAATGTGATGGCAATTTATAAATTGTTTTAATGAGAAGAGGGTTTTTTTTTTTTAATTAATTAAACCTTCTGAAATTTAATTTCCTTGATAAAAAAAAAAATTTTAAAAAAAAAAAAAATGTTTATGAATTAATCCATTGTACCTAAGGAGTGTATTTAAGGCATAAGCCAAGAATTATTTGATTTGAAAGAATGAAGAAAATTAAATGATTTTATACATTTAATCTCTTTTTAGCCATAAGTTTTTTTGTTTTTTTTTATTTTTAAGAGTCAAAATGGGTTTTTCACAGAGCAGGTTAACTATTGGTGTTTCCTGACCCAAATTAAAAGAAAAAAAAAAAAAAAATTAAAAAAGAAAAAAAAAAAAATGATAAAAAAGAGAGAGAGAGAGAGAGAGAGAGAGAGAGAGAATGAGAGAGAAAGTCTGCATAAGAACCATGTAGTTAAATAATAAAGATCCAAAAAGAAACTAGGAAGAGAAAGTCGTAATTGGTGGAGGAGAGGAAGAAGTATTACCACGTAAACAGTAAGGGAACAAAAAAAAAAAAAAAAAAAAAACATCTTTGGGGTGGGGAGAGAAAATTAGTTGGGCATTTTAGTAATAATAATAAAAAAAAGTATCTGGTTTATAAATACAAGATACAAGTTGCAGCATGGAGAAGAGGCTATAGTTATGTGATAATAGAGACGGCAAAAAAAAAAAAAAAACAATAGTGGAACTGGCACCTTACCTGCGCACATCCACTTGCATAGGAGAACAGATCCGTTTGCAAGCAGTATAGAAATAATACTGTCACACCTTACACGGCAATCTACTGATGGAGGGGGGGGAAGGCTGGGGAGAAAGTTCAAAAAGATACTATAGTGGTATCAGAATGTATTACTTAACACTATCAAAATTATAATTTTATTGTAAAGATCTTTATGAAAAGGTGTCACCAAATATTAATAAATATATATAAGATCAATTACAGGAGGAGGAAGAAAAATTATATATATATATATATATATATATATATATATATATATATGGAAAACTATGACAAAGTAGAAAAGGTTTTCACATGACATATTTCATAAACATCAATAAAGCCTGATGAACTCTTAAAGGTCAAAACAAGTCACTCAAAAACTTTTTCCAGTCATAGTTTTTCCTAAAATTGCTCTCAATATATAAAAATTTTTTTATAGATATCATTTTTCAAGCTTTTTTATATATATATATATATATATATATATATATATATATATATATATATATATATATATATATATATACACACACACACACACACACGAGGTCAGTCTGAAAAGTTATCCATTCTTTGATGTGAGAAGCATCGGCCACAGTGCGTTCTTGCAACAGGGACAGAATCAATCAGCAAGTTGACAAAGAGACCCTGCGGTGTTTGCTATGGTCAGTGCACAAGAAACAAGGGTTGTGGCAGGACAAATCATGGCTGCTTCACCACGGCAATGCAGTTGTTCAAAACAACCTGTGCATTGGCCAGTTCCTGGCTGAGAAGAACTCCACCATACTGGAACAAACCTTCCTATTCACCTGATCTTGATTTGTGTGAATTTTTTTTTTTTTTTTATTTTCCCCAAGCTCAAGTGGCCCCATTTTGAAGGCGTGGAGGCCATCAAGAGAATGGTGACAACAAAGCTTAGGGGGCAATCAAGAAAAATCTCTTCAGCAGTGAAGGATGGAAAAGTGCATTAGACTTGATGAGGATAACTTTGAAGGGGAAACCATGTAGTTTGTTTGGAATTTAAATTGTTTGTGACACCAGTCCCATTACTTTTCAGACAGATCTCCCACATTATATGTATGTATGGTAAGTGAAGAGTAACTCCCTATTTTATGTATGATGGGCTCTCCCGTTTAACTAATTTTTACAAGACAGGAGAGTCCATCGTACATAAAATAGGGAGTTACTTTTCAATCACCCTGTATATATCTTTTAGTAAACGAATCTGCCTTGCTATTTAAACCCAGAACTGAACTCAGTGAATAAGATGAGTACTCTAGGTACATAATGGTTGGATACGAGTACTTTAGTTTGGTTGAAGGTTAAAACTGGGTTCACGGCAAACTCATTTGTCACTCGCACTCATTCGTACATTAATTTTCAACCAATTCAAGTGAAAGGTTTTCAAATCTCAAATAAAATCCACAGATATAAGACAAAGCAAAATTCCATCTAAAATTCTTCACTTTAATCCAAAATTGTTTTTTTTGGGGGGGTGGTGGGGAATGGTTCAAATTCTCAGTGATATCAACCAACATCCAATCAGATTATAAAATGTGTTCTACCTAAATTTGGAAAATGAAAATCTCTCAAAAATGTGCATCAAGTGACAATTACATTTTTTTTATTTTTTTTATTTATTTATTTATTTTTTTTACACCCAAGTTTAGAAATTATCTATTTTCATTGCAATCCCTGCTTTTTGTTCAATTTTCCTGAATAGCTTCAAATGCAGTTGTTTAATAAAAGTACGGGGAGGGGGTAAGTAAAAAAATTGTCTGCACTCTTGTCTAAAGATGTGTTTTAGTGAAAGTGCGGATAATTTTTTTTTCACTTACCCTCGTCGATATAGTCTGTGCTGCATGTATGAATGTAGGTAGGTGTATGCATGTAAATAGGTAGATAGCTAATATATAGGGGAGGAAAAAAAAAAGAACAGCATGTACTAGGTGGTGGGAGAGGGAACAAAAGTCTTTGACGCAAATGCATGAGAGTCCCTGGCAGACTGACGAGTGGAACATTTAAAAGACTGGAGAGATTCTAACCAACATCTGAGCACAAGACGCCATATTTGTTGGTCAGGAAAAGGGAGTGAAGAAAGTTACAAAATTGATTAACCAATTGGGGTGGGGGGGAATCAATGTGTTGTATCAGTTTTAGATTAGTTTGAAGTTCATTAAGCTACAAATTTAAGTTTGAGGCTAAGAATGCAGTTTGTGCCAAAGGCGAGCAAGTTAGATGTTCCGTCTGCCAGAAAAGCCAGCCTTCCTGCTTGCAACCATCACTCTGCATCTAAATGTTTTGTGAGAAATTCTTTAACGTCTATCATTTCCTGAAAATAGAAAACAAAAGTAAAGTCTTAAAGAATGGAGAAAAAAAAATTATAAGCAAATGCATGTAAAAGGGACCAAACCAAAACCAAAGACTGAAGGTACTTAATAACAGCAATTAGGAGGCGGGGGGAAAGGGGGAAAAACAAACAATCTTTTGACATGCTGTCTTTTTGCAGACATGAAGCTTCAAGATCGCCAAGGTGTCCATTGCAGAAGAATAACAAATAAAATGCAACAGTTATTTATTTCACATCAATACTTTTTTGGAAAGCATGAACTGAAAACTTTCTGCAACTTCAAATACCCTTCTATAAATTAAGCCTTCACCCTTCTGTAAATTAAGCCTTCACCCTTCTGTAAATTAAGCCTTCACCCTTCTGTAAATTTCAACAGTTGGAAAGTAAGCTACCTTCCTTAAAACACGCCAAATGAAAAACAAAACCCATATTTTGCACTCGTCTAGAATTATAGGGACAGTTAAAACCTATTTTAAATATAACACAATTACCAATTGTCTTGCAGAGATAAAATTTTAGTCTTAAACTAGTCACGTATATAGCTTATAGATACACGTTCTTTAAGACAGTGCAACGATATCTTTATTGGTCTCGCAAGGTTATCTCCCTTACATATTAAGCTGAGTACAAAACAAGAGTTTTTCAGTTAGTAGCAAGATTTGCATTAGTTTTGAATTCAAAACAATTAGGCATCTTGTTATGACTGAAGGTTCAAATCTTGAGTTGGAGGCTTGTGTTTGCAGGTGTTGCACAAACTTTTAAAAATTACCAAATTAGAATTTATATAGATTCTTAAGGGTTTTTCTTTATAAACTACAAGATCAAAACTCAGCATTTTTTGTGCATTTGCAAGCAAAACTAATGTTTTTCTTTTATGTAAGCTGACACAAGACTATTTCTTTCTCTTTATATAAGAATGTAAAATTGACCCAAGATGTGCATTAAAAAACAGAATAAGATGAAAATCTAATAAATAATGACAATGAATAAATTCAATAAATAACTTATTCTAATTTAGACCATATATATATATATATATATATATATATATATATATATATATATATATATATAGTGATTTTCCAAGTGTAGCTTAGATGTGGTACAAGGCCGAAAGTAGGGGGCACCCAGTAAGGATGAAACTCACTACTCAGTGGTAATTGTTCTAGCAAGACAAACTTGCTAACCATTATACCACCTTGAGGTGCCATATATATATATATATATATATATATATATATATATATATATATATATAAAATATATATATATATATAAATATATAATAAATAAATTTGATATTTAAAAAATGTTTCTTTTTTTTCTAGATAAACAAATCTTAAACTATACATTTCATCAAAAAAAAAAAAAAAACTTTATCTAATGAATTACAACCACTTTCAAAAATTGTTATTAATCTGGAATAAAAATATTAAAAATTAAGGCATGCAAAAGTAAGTGAACCTTTACATTTGCACACTGTATTTTTGTTTTATGTGGTTGTCAGCGTAAAATAATAAACATAATTGTAATTGTGTAGCAATTTTAAACATGTTTTTGTTTTAATATCCTAAAATAATATTTAGTTCTACTCTGTATTGAGCCCTCTTTTAAATATTATGTACAGTGGAATTATATTCCATTTGTTCTCATTTTACCTGGACATATATATATATATATATATATATAAAAATTGATTTAAAAAAATTATAACATAAATATGTCATAAAATCACTACAAAAATAGCCATTTTGTTTCAACATCCCCGGTGTCTTATCAAGTGATGATGTTGAATGTAAAATAAATGGTTTTAAAAGTTTCAAATTAATTAACAATCCTTCGCAAGGGGAAAACGTTGTTACAAAAGCTAGAATGACCAATCAAAATACAAGTATAGGAAAATTCAAAAAGCTTGATAACGAAGTCATGTTATAATAGCTATTCAGATCTTTAAAATACAGGTAATATTAAAAAAGAATTTATTCTAACCAATAATTATTAAATTATATGATAAAATTTGATATTCAAATTAAAAGTAAAAATTACCAATTTTAAAATCCAAATTTAATCATTAAGTTTACAATTATAAAATTACTGAGGGGAAAAGAAGAAATACAAATGTTATTCAATTTATTTCTTCATTGAAATTATGTTAGAATAGACACTGATATGTCATCCGGTCCTCTTACAATATGTATACATTTTAATCCCAAGTGTGTACCTCACGCGTAAAACAACCCAAACACACTCAGATTATAATACATAAGCACCCAGACATATATATATATATATATATATATATTTGCCTGCCTATTGGACATGGATATTTCCCACCCCCCTCACAAAAATTACTCTGCATCCAATACAGCAGTTTCATGTATGAGAGGAACATGAAGACCATGAAAAAAAGTGGGGCTCACCAGGAATCAGTGTACACACAGAGCTTAGCTCTGAAACTAAAGCTCCTGAAAGTGAACAAATATGATATCAGTAAAAAAAAAAAAAAAAAATATCCCTGAAAAATTCACCCAGCAAAAAGAAATTAAGAAATTGCACAATATTTTGCAACTTGTTTTGTAGAAATACCAGATTTTACAGAAATATTGGCTTGCTTGCTTTGTGTTTGTTTTTGCTGATATACAGGTATCGGAATCTGCTTTTCTGCATGCATGGTATTGGACTTCATTTACTAACAACTACCCTATTTGTTTTATTTGCCTATTACTATATGTACCAGTGTTCATTGATACCAATAAATTTCTTTGTAGCTATTAAGAGTTTACTGTATGAGCAGATGTTCCCGGAAAAACAACTAAAATATATGTTTGGTTTGTTTTGTTTTACAGCGTATCAACTCATTGGGTCATTTAATGCTGAAATTTAATTTTCCTGGGAGCATTAATAACTTCTTTTACAAAAAAAAAAAAAAAGTGTCACTAGTAATTACTTTCATAGTTTTTTGACCCCAGTTTTGGGTGGGGTTGGCTACCACCCCCAGATCAAGGTGGACCTGAGAACAGCAGCAATTGAGAGGTTGTTGCACACTCCTCAAAACCTCCCAATCAGAGGCTATGCTGCTGGATGTAGTTTATCATCATAGCAAGGACTAATATATGCATGATGAAATTCATTAAAATTCTTTTTTTTTTTTTCTAAAAAGTGTTCTGGTAATTACACCTAGCCTCACTTCTATTTAAAAAAAAAAACAAAAACGTAGCAGTAATATAATTTGTGCTAATATTGTGTTTCTTCATAGTGAGAATGTCACATAAATGTAAAGTTATAATTTCAATTGTTTTGGTTGTGATGTCTGCCTTTTATTTTAACCTAAATATTCCATGCCAAAATCTTGGTGCATCCAACATGTGGGTGTGTCCCCAATAGGCTGGAAAATACAATAGATCTCAACTTGCCATCATAAGCCACTATCCTGTCATTGCATTTTGAAAGAAACAAAAAAGACAAAAAAAATATTTACCTGTGGACATGAAGAATGCATCACGCCTTGGTATGTCTTCAGTTCATGTTTACAGTTGAAACTATTGACTAGCTTGGCAGTGAGGGTACCCCACTGAAATGGAACCACGTGATCTGCTGTCCCATGGCACTGCAGGACTGGGGTGCTCTGGTTCCCCTTCACAACCTACAAAAGGAGGCGAGGAAAAGATGGGGTTTTCATTTCTGTGTAGATTTTGACATTATTATCATCATCATTAATATTTTTAATTTTTTTTTTTTTTTTTTAAAAGTTTATAAAATATTTTTCCCCAGGTTTGGAATAAATAAGTTAACAGTTATGCAATGGAAAATTTATGGTTGAACAAAAAATCTGAAGTGGGCAAATTATTTATTATGTGAAGAAATGTATATGAGTAACAGATTAATACAAATATACCTTCACATGAATGCAGACGACAGACACATGAATGCAGACGACAGACACATGAATGCAGACGACAGACACATGAATGCAGACGACAGACACATGAATGCAGACGACAGACACATGAATGCGAGACACATGAACAGACACATGAATGACACATGAATGCAGACGACAGACACATGAATGCAGACGACAGACACATGAATGCAGACGACAGACACATGAATGCAGACGACAGACACATGAATGCAGACGACAGACACATGAATGCAGACGACAGACACATGAATGCAGACGACAGACACATGAATGCAGACGAAAAATGAATGCAGACGACAGACACATGAAAAAAAAAAAATTTTTTGACAGGCATTTTTTGAAGATGGTTAAAATAAAAAAAAAATTAAAAAAAAAAAAAAATTTTTTTTTTTATTAAAAAGGAGTGAAAGTTTTGGTTGTTTAACTTTTAAGTCTTCCAAAATTTTGCCAATTGCATGAGCCAAATACTTATTTAGATTAAGAGTAAAACTCCAAGGAATTTTCAAACTGAACTCCTCTCATGTGGGTAAGTTGTTCTCGTTAAGCTGTCTATTAATTGGGTTAATAACTTGACGTATATTTCAAATAATAATTTCTTTTTATCTTTCTCTACAAATTAGGAACTGATTAAATTTTAAGTTGGCATCTACTCACTAGGAATATTGTATCATAATAATTTCTAATAAAGACGTTTTTATTATCTCAAACTGATTCATAGAATACGTTCAATCCTAGGCCATGCAGTGCATACATGGACTCGGTGGAAACAGGCAGGCAATAACTTAGCAGTACTAAGAATGAGACAAGATATTTCTAGATATGGGCAGTGGAACAAGAACAGTCTGTAGTGGAATATGTGTGGATAAAACAAAGAAATAAGCAAATCTTCAAAAAAAGGGGTCTACAAATTTCAATAATTTTAATTTAACCCACAAAATATTTTGTTTATCTTTTTTACAGTGCACCCAAACGAGTTGCGTTAGTATAGAAGAAACAGAACATGTCTACATGTGAGAATGTGTGTGACATGGATACATTGTTTTATGTATGCATATAAATTGTAACAGTCAGCAGTATCAATAAGCAGTGAGCTGTCTTGATACTACTGTTGACACTTGTAAACAGTCTGCATGTTTTTATGTATCAATATCACTAAGCATGTTTTGTAATATAATAATACTCAAATAAATATGTGAAAAACGCGAGTAATTAAGTGTGAGAATTTCAGTTTTGTATAGCAAACTGCTGGGCAAAGATTAACTGAAAAACTAATTATCAAACAAAAATTGATTGTTTTCGTAACGAAACATCGGCTCCAGAAAGGAAAAAAAAACAAGCAAAAAAAAAAAAAAAAAAAAAAAAAAAAAAAAAAAAGTAAACATTAGATTTATTAATCTCAAATTCATTGTTTAATATTTTCCCAATTTTAAAATATCCATTTTAAGGAGGAAAAATATTGCTGATTATATTTTGAAGTGATCTTCTAAAATTTTCTAACAGATCTTAATTTTCTGTGAATTCATAGAATACATCACTTCTCTCATAAGACGTTGCTGATTGGTTAATATATATGAATATAGAAATTCAAATTTTTGGAGCTGGCCCGAGCACATAAAAGAGCTAATCTCTGTGCGAGCTGCTTTTGTACAAAAAAAAAAAAAATTTCCAGTGACAGTACTTAAATCTATAGTTTTTTTCTACAATTCTGTAATAGGGTTCCACAAGTAGATAGGGTTCCACAAGTAGATAGGGTTCCTTGTAGATTAATAATAAAAGGTTCACTTTGAAATTCCCTGTAGGTTACCTGGATCAACAAACACCTGAACGAAACCAGAGAGAACGACGACAAACATTATAACAGCAAAGAGGGGGACAATAGTCCACAACAAAAACACCTCATACCAAAACTTCAGACAGAAAACCTAATACTATTGAGAATGCTGCCATCTTCTGATTTTCATCAATATTGAGATGAAGGAAGTTCCCTAGGCACCTGACCAAATCTTTTTCAGAGATGAGGAAGGAGGGATTTTTTTTGGGGGTCACTCCAGACACAATGCACAGGAAGTGTTTGTTTTCTGTTTTGCATTAGTCATCAATATTTATGTGTGTATCATTTCGGGAAAACTGGAGACCATTTTTTTATTATATATATATATATATATATATATATATATATATATATATATATATATATATAAATAAAAAGAAAGAACAGTAATATATAAAATCCGGTGTTCTTATAGATATTTTTATTTTTACAAAATAGTGCTCAATGTAAATTTACAGAGCATTAATATTATAAATTAATTGATTTAAAATCTGTTTTTTTTTCGCTACACAGTTCCAACCATGTTTCAAAAAATAGAAGCTAAAAACCCGAGTTAATTTTGCAATTAAATTAAAAGCATTAGTTCCATTTCATCTTCAAGCGAATTTTTGGAGTACTTTTAAAATTACCGGGTTTTAAAGACACAGCTAAAATCACGTTTCCATGGTTACAGAATATTCTACTTAAATTGAACAATATATATATATATATATATATATATATGTGTGTGTGTGTGTGAAAAGTGTGTGTGTGTATTATATATATATATATATATATATTATATGCGTGGTACTTATTAGAAAGCGCTCAATATCAGAGATAGAGATAACATATTTGGTTGGATTGATGTGAGTCTGTGACCCTGGCTTTTGCGATTGTCTGAAAAACTGATTAATTTTTTTTTAATTTTGGGTTTATGTAGATTGTGTGTATTGGTGTTATTATGGGAGTGGGGGGAATCGTCATCGTGATGTCATCGTGCTAACGCAAACATAGATGCATGTCCGTACACCCGATGAGGTACGCAGACACACATACACACTTGCTCGTCTGTCGGGGCTCATACATATATAAACATATGTGGATAGTTTCGAATTTGACATATGTATGTATATGGGTGGTGTTGTGTCTATACATACGCATTTGTATGTTGAAATTCAAAGATTGGAAGTGTAGCGTGAATGTCTCGTGAATGTATACATGTCAACAATGAGCATTTTTCTCTTTTTTCACTGAATAATATTTCCTCGCATATGTATATACGTGTGGTGGGGATTACTATTTTATATATATATATATATTTTTCAATTCACTCCAGGTAAAGTGATGATGACACAAGGCGTTACTGAGAGTGAAAGAGAATGAAAAGGCATTTGAAGGAAACCCAATCCTAAACAGGAAACAAGAGAAATCTCTCTCTCTCTCTCTGTGTGTGTGTGTGAGAGAGAGATATACAGAAACAGATGTGCGCAGAGAGTGGGGAGGAAAAGATGCGCACATAGAGAGAGATGGAAATGAAGAGTGAGAGAGTTATCTGCTGACTTTTGATCTGAAATTTTCTGTGTTACATGGTGCAATGTGTAAATGTTTGACATATTTTTAATTTCACACATGTGCATTGTTTGTTTTTGTCAACTGCACAGTAGAGTCAGTTGGACACTGTCTGTGAGAAAAAAAGCACCATGATGCAATTCACTCCACCAGAAATTTGGAAATAGCATGCTGTACTACTTGGCATTTGCACCGGAAGCTCCAATACAAACATTTCAGAGTGTTTGAATGTCAGCCTGAAGATGGTGCAAAGGATTTGGAAAGAGTCGGACGAGTCTAATTATGATTACAAAGGTACTGCAGCTTAGAAAACTCGTTCTGATAAGAAAAGAACTCCCAAATTTGTTGGCGAGATCCAGGCCATGATTGACAACGATCCCTCCAAGTAAATCAGGTCAGGGACACGAGTTTCTGATCAGGCAGGTAATGCATGAAGATATTCGGTATTTCTCATACAAGATGAGAAAGGGACCATTTTTATCTCACATCATGAAGGACAAGAGGAAATCCGCAATATGTAGCTTTTGAACAAACTCAAGCATTCCCTCCAACCATTAGTTTTTTTCTCAGATGAGAAAAATTTCTGCCAGGACAAGATGGCGAACACACAGAACAAACATTGGATTGCTGTGTCCCCAAAAGATGTACTAAGAGTGATGAAAACAAATATCCAGTCAACATCATTGTGCTTAGTGATCACTAGTGATTGCGATGTTATGCCTCCATTCATCTTAGCACAGACTCAACACGAAGGCCTACATAAAGTGCCTTGAAAAGGTAATGCTGCCCTGAGTTAAGAGGGTGGCTGCTGGAAGACCCTATGTCTAGCAACAGGACTCTGCACCATTCCACACAAGCAGGAGAAGTCAGTCATAGCTGTCAGACTATTTTTGCAACCACATCACCACTTACATCTGGCCACATAATTCCTCAGATTACAACCCCCTTGATTATTATGTGTGGGGCACAGCTGAGCGAGAGACCAACAAAAACTCCTAGTAACACCAAAGATGAACTGAAGGCAAGGATTATGGCAACATTTACCAACAAGGAGACCATTCAGAAGAGATGCAGGAGATTCTGAAGTCATCTGGGTGCCGTGGTTAAAGATAATGGTAATTTTATTGAATAAATTTATTTTTCAAGATCTTTTTACGTAATTTTGGTAAACATATCTGTTAAAATGAGATGTCAGTGGTTAGTTTTCTTTTTTGTGTCATTTAGACTGCAATTTATCCATCGCACGCTGTAATGTTCAACCTATGTGATTAATATCCGCCATGAAATTATGTGTTGAAAAAGATTATATACAGAAATAAATAATTGGCGTGTCAAAGAAATGCATTTTTCAACATTAGGCTACACACTTATGTACCTCCATAAACATCCAGCTTAATTTGGCAAATAGAAAATTTGCATGAAGAGTATTAAATACCCGCTACAGACGTTCCACACAGCTGTCTGCCATGTGAGGAAGTTCTATGTCAAAATTTCATTTTCATATTGGTAGGGACGATACTTACTCCTGGAAATTGTTTATTAAGTGGCATCCAAGAACTGAGGGCAATGACACCAGCCAAAGGTTTCGACAAGGTAAATGCTGTGTACAAGGCAACAGCACCTCCTTGAGAAAATCCTCCAATTACGACCTTGTTGCTCGGAATGCCTTCAGATTCTTCTTTTTCTATCAACTCCTTCACTGAAAAAGAAAAAAATATATCAATGAACACACCAAACAGCATGTAGATCACAGTCATGCTAAATTTCAGGCATCTTATTTCAAACTGAAATCCTCTTAACATGAATGCTGTACAAATTTGAATTTGGTCAGTCAACTAAGAAATAGTCAAGGAAGTTACAGTTCCTTCTAAAACAAAGTTTGGCCTGCGCGTCAATAATACAGAGCTGGAAAGCTGGAAAGATGCAAAGATTTTAAATGTAAATGCTGATATTATTCATGTACAAGACAAGACAAGAAAACTGCCAAATTGTTTTGACATTTGAATTTTTTAAGGATCAACACTTTATGGGTTATATTAAACCTTTCAGCATTGAAGACACTCAAACCAGACCTGTAAATATCAGCGGCCATAGTCTCCTTGACATTTGTAGCCAAAGTGTTGTCAACACTTGCAGGACTCCCTGCATTGTTTTCATATACTATAGCAGAGTATACATGGGGCAGGTTACAGTGGGGTAAACATTAACGGCTGATTATTTACAGGGCAGGTTTAGGCAGATTAAAGCTGAAACTTTTTTTGGGATTTTAAGAATAAATCTTTTGTGAGTGAATATTGCATTACCAAAGAAACAGCTTTTCTTTTTATGGAATAACAATGATTTTTCCAGATACAAGTTTTATCATTTAACCCATAGCTGGGGAGGGCAGGGTAAAAGATTCATACTCCCCCCCCCAAACAAAAAAGGGTATTTGTGCACAAGTGAATTTAAAAAACCTGACAGGAATTTGAACTTGGCTCTCAGATTTCTTTTGCCAGTCTGATATTACACCACCTGCACACCCAACTTAGGTGTAACTACAAAAGATTAATAAAACTTAGATAATATTAAGACAAATAATTTATGTTCAGAGTCAAATTGACTTTGTTCTCGTTGTATTCCATTAGTAAAACGGAAGATCCACTCTGACAACTTCTTTCTAAAAACTGCTGGTTTGTGGAACAGATTCCCAAGAGGATGCTTTGCCAATCATTACAATCTTAACGTCTTCAAATCTAGGATCAACTGTTTTTTTGTTTTTTTATCCTATATGTCCTCAAGATCTGCACTTATTTCTTCCTCTTACATTCACACAACAACCTCTCATTCAGTAACCTACTTTGAGTGGCTGTTGGCGAACATTTAAGTAAAAAAAATTATTCAATGTGGCTTCTATTATTTTCAATTACAGCCGCAACATGAAAAGCTGCACAAATCACAGTCATAAAGATTTTGGACATCTTGGCCCACTTCTTGATGGCAGCCTTAAGAGAATTGATGCTGGACGGGAAGTCTTATCGGCTTGCTTTAAAATGCTCCACATGGCTTAGTCAAGATGGAATAAGGCCAGAAGTATGCTGGCCAGCAGTCAGCAACTTGGCTTTGTCTCTTTTTGGTTGTGAGCCATATCCTGACTCACACACAAAATATGGTACCAGAAGACATTGTCGTAGGCAGCAGCATCCACTTTTAGCCCAAACTTCTAGAAGGGGTGGGGGGTCATTTCCCAAACACTAGTTGAAAAAAATTCTTCTTGGTCACTGGCGGCAGTTTCGATATTTAAACCAATCAAAATCTTAGTCATTTAGTTGCAACTGGTAAGATTCAAACACGTGGCTGAAACAGAATTGTCCCACATTGCATTCTAAATTATTCAAGTATCTCGGCTCTAGTCCCAATGTTCTCCAGTGTGATTATGGTCAAGCAGATTTTACCGTTTCCCAGAGATCTTTGTTGCTTGAGGATTATTTTCCATTTCTATTGGATTAATATCTAGAGAGACTCGTAGTCATCCTACTAATTTGATGTTCGAAATTCCTTTTTGGCTTACAGCTTGACAGAATATCAAAGTGCATTATTTTGAAGTCCTCAACATCCAGTTTTTTGCCACTTGTTCACAAAAGTTTTTATTTATCTACTTTATAACATTTTGGTCAAGCAGGTGGCTACTTTTTCAAAAAACTTTATTCTAGGTCATAAAACACTATCCACTTCTAGGTGTCACAATCATAGTGCCACAGTATATCAGCCTTCAGATCTGTTAAATGTTGTTCCTGTGGGTAAATCAGTTCGTCCGTCGTTTGCGATGACTGAAATGGATTAAAGTGCTTGCTTTCATCCAGTCATCCGGTCTACCAACTGAGCTGTTGCTAGTGACGTCTTATTCTCTTGGTCTCATTCGTACGCACATACGCCGTCACGCCAACAACACTATCCTTCCTTCCATACTCGCTATTTATGCCTGTGTCGGGGGGTTGCAACTAAAACTTGCATACGAAACTTTTCGTTCGTCAGAAACTTCAGATTTTATAAATTCAAGCTGGTTTGAATTCTTAGTCTTTTTTTCTTTTTTTTTTCTTTTGTACGTCTGCCCGCAATATAGGAATTTCGGAATAATCCATTTCTCTTTTAATGGCGGTCGCGATCTTTCAACAAGACCTGACATACAAAGCAAAATTCACTTTGTGGGAGTTAAGTCTTCTTGTTCCTCACAGTTCCTTTTAAAGCAAAAATTATGAAGTGAAATCAATGACTTTCCAAATCCAATACACACCTGAGGAAGGCTAAAGAGCCAAAATAGAGCTTCAAATAAAAATGGAGATTTACTTACATCTTTGAGATGCTTCTTTTATCCCTTCTTCATCTTCAGGGCTGTCAGGACTCAAACCCCGAATGTCAAACCTAGTTTGTTGAAAAGAAACAATTCTAAATATACATGACTGTACAATTAATTCCTACATACAATTTCTTTTTTCGTAAAGATTATATCAAAGGAAAATGATCATGCAAGAAATGTAAAGCAAGTTTTGCAATCTCAAAGGCTGGTAGCAAGACGAACAGCCCAATATGTGAACTACAAGTCAGAGATATCAAAATTAAAAAACAATTTAAACATCTGAAGTGTTTTAACAAAGGATGGAAAATGTGACAATGAAATCCAAAGGTGTATTAAAGTAATAAAAGATGTCTTCCAAAAGCTTAAATTATAAAGAAACAGGAAATTTTCATTACAAAACAAAGAAAAGAGGACTAAATACCAGACTTCCTATGTCAATGAATGCTGAACAAACTTTTCAGAGATGAAGACAACAGAAATGTGGTTCTACAGAAGGATGCTGAGAATACCAATGAACACGTGAGTGACAAGGGAGTTTTAAGGAAAATGGAAACAAACAGGCTGCTTATATTTAGAATCAGTAAGAAACAGAAATTTCTAGGATACAAAAGAAGGATGAGAGAATTTGACACTCACAGGGCATACAGGAACAAAGGAGAAACAGTGAGCAACCTACTTAATCTTGTGCAGAACATGGGCTGAGCATGACTATGAAAAGATAAATGTTACTAAGAGCTACAAAGAATAGGAAGTTGTGGAGAGCCATTATCACCAACATCCTGAAGAGACAAGGCATATAGAATGAGGTATCAATCTTGTTCTAAGATGCTATCAAAATATTCAAAAGTTTCTGGAGAAATTTTACAAAGCAGTTTGTGACACTATTTGACACTGTTGAATGGAAAGAAAAGGGTTAAAATCACAAACTTGGAATGCGGTGAGAAAGGTTAATGAATTGAACACAAGGGACAGATCAAGAGAAAGAAGGAAGACTTCTTTTTCCAAGAGTAAAGCTTAATTCTCTAAAACCAGAAAAATTATTTAAAGAAAGGTAATATTACCACAAGAAGCTATGTGGCAATCTTTAAGCTGACAGCTGATTAATGAAGCAGCTAGAGAAGCACTAGTTACAAAAAACAGGATAGATAAGATTTGATCTGTAACCAAATCAAGGGAATAGAGTTTCTTTATGTAACCTGGGTATTTGGAGTGCAATGACCCTGGCAAGATTGGAGGGATAGCTGACCAGAGGAACCAGCTGGTAAATTTCTGATTCTTAAGCAAAACCAGGCTGGGAAAATTTCACTTATGTAAAATTTCAAATGATAATTTTAATTAATGACCATAAGTTAAGCCACATCAAGTGTTCAAGAGCCAGATTGGTCAAAGGTTAGTCAAGGTGGCAGATGCAGGTGAAATATCAAAGAAGGCGGAGGAATTGCTCACACCCATTTGAAAGTGTTGGCGTGTGGTACCAAAATGAGAAGGAAAGAATTAAGATGGATCGACATCCTATGAGCACAACTCATGGAAGAGGGGATCTCCCCAAAATTGGGTATGTAATTAATTTCCCAGGACCAGACAACAATGAGCTCTTGTTGGCAATTAGGGGAATCACCAGAAACCCAGGCTATGTCATACCTCATGCCAGTTTCAAGTGAAGGTCCATATAAACGGGAGATCAAAGAAACCAAAAGTGTTGTTTCAGACACCGGACATGAGATGACCGCTTCACCTGATCTTGCATGATTTCCTGCCTGAAGGAAACCTCTGACATAAGCCTTGTTTAGACTTTGCTAAACCAACCAAAGTGTCATGTTTAACTTTGGAAGTGGGAAGGGCTGATATTTTTCTGCATGAAGAACTAATAATTTTTAATATCAAGAATTAACCAAGTCCTGTACAAAGAACGTATATATAAAAAACATTTTCTTTTACTCAAATTGTTTTTTGTTACTTGTGACTTCATTCTGCTTGGACCAAACTAATACAACGTTGACAGGCTTATGATCAAAAATCAAACAACATAGGATAGGGCAAGGCTTGGATCGAAGTGATCATCTCATCGATCAGCCGCAGGGATTGGACATTGGATGGACCAGTAAAGAAGGTGGCTACAGTTCACCATTTTTTTTTTTTTTTTTTTTTTTTTTAATCTAACAGACTCAGGTAATTAATTCGGATCCAAACTCTGATGGACTGAAAGCATGAAGAGCGTAATCAGAAACTGAAGATAATGGTCGCATTGTAAATCAAAACTGGTACAGAAATTCCCTTTACAATCTGTTCCATTTTTGAGGTACAGTTTGTAACTGAAGAGTCGGATTATGTTTACAGGGGATCCTCAACTTACAGAGATCCATTCCTAAATTTTCCTTGAATAAGCACTCGCTCACCAACAATCCAATATGGTGTACAACCAGAAACTGACCCATGCCACCTTCCTCACTCTAGCACCATATGACAAGTTATTCTTCCGCTGCACCATTTGTGTGGTATGTATGAGGTAAACGGCATAAGTCAAAACAAGATTAATGGCAATTGCATCATCATAGGTCAGGACTGTTGTAACCTGGGGATTGACTGCATATTATCAAAAGAAAAAATAATAAAAAATATATATATATATATATATATATATATATATATAAGTAAAGTAATTGAAATTCTTTTGTTCCTAAGTCCCATAAGATTAACTTGATCTCTACTCTAGTCCATTGTTCTTTGATGATTTGTTTCCCTTGTTACTCTTAACCCGGAATTTGAGGAAATTCATTGTATTTTTATCAACAATGGTTTACCATTGTATATCATCAAACGTAATATGGAACATAAAATTAAACATTTTAAGGGACTGGTAGTCTTTAACACATACCCGGGTGGTTAGAACTGACCATAAGACCCATGTTTGAATCTCACCATTGTCAATTTGTCAGGAAGGTGACTTATTGATTTTATTGGTGGTTCGTTCCCAGAATGCAGCATCTTTGGAAAGTGCCTGAAAACCACACCACTGGTTGACCCAAGCCTTGTGAGTGAAATTGAGTAGACAGAACCCTTGGGAAGCCAATGATGGCCATGCTAGCACAAAGTCACAAGTCATTGTGACTGAGGCTTTGAGCATGCTGGCCTTGTTCAGACTGTTGATCATGCTAGATAATGGGTGTTGAACACAAACAAATTTACCTAAACAGGCGTCTGCAGTAGGGATTAGCTAGACACCCTAGTAGATACATATCCTCAAATACAAGTCACCAGCCATTAACATGTGTGTGTGTGTGTGTGTGTGTGTGTGTGTCTGTGTGTATATATATATATATATATATATATATATATATTCTCTTGTATGTGTTGTGTCCCTTCCGGATATAGGCAATCATGACTCCACTTTTTCCTGTTCCTTGTAGTTCTCAATAAGTTTTGAAGTTTTGTTCTTTTGTTATTTCTCCTAGACTGTTCTGCCATCCACTTGCTTAAGCCCATATATATATATATATATATATATATATATATATATATATATATATATATATATATATATATGTGTATTTTTTCCTTTCATAATAATTTATGTTCAGACCGAAAAACCTCAACAGAATTCATATTAAGTAATGATTGATCTCTACTAGCAACTAAAAAATGATGGAAGTTCATTTTTGGCATTGATGAATAACAGTGGGTAAACATATTCTAAATTAAACAAGTTGGAGGGGGGACAGTGCTGAATAAAAAAAAAAGTTTGATAATTAAATAACAACAGAGAAGGAATGATAAGTGAAGACAGAGGAAAAAATCCAACAAAAAAAAAAAAAAAAGTAACAAAAGAGTTAAACATTTAGAAACAACATCATGACACAAGGAGATATATATATATATATATATATATATATATATATATATATATATATATATATATAACATTACATTAATGGCCAGCCACTTGCATTCAAAAGATACCTGTCTACGAGGGCAGTTAACTAATCCCATTGCAGATGCTTGCTCAGCCGTATTTTTGTGTTTGTTCAACACCCACAGAACCCACCTGTGGTTTCTACTGCAACTATGCTGAGTAGACCTTAGTTGCAGTTTCTGGGAGAGAGGTGTGTTATCTAGAGTGATCAACAATCTGAACAAAACCAGCCCACTCAAACACTGTGACTTCATGCTATCACAGCCATTGACAACCTCCAAGGATTCTGTCTACCCATTTTCACTCACAAGGTTTGGGTCCCAGGCACTTTCCAAAGGTGCCACATGCTGGGATTGCCTCACTACAAACCAATAACATCAAGAAGTCACCTGCCTAAGAAATCAACCCTGGTGAGATTCGAACCCAGGTCTCATGGTCAGAAAGTGAACGTTCTAACTGCCCAACATAATTGTTTCTCATTTTGGCATCCTCTAAAAAGCTGAAATTGATGAGATTCATAATCTAGTTTATAATGACCATAAAAATAATGTCATACCAATGAAATTCTAAAATTATCTGACAAAACAATCTAAAAAGGAACTTGACAACTTCTAGAATTCAAAGTACAACAGATCCTTTCTGTTTTCAATGTCATTTACACCAAAGTTCTACATTTGAAAGAGTTTGGCACAAATTATAAATCTATTCTTTATAACTGTTTCGTTCAGTCAATGGCTGTTGACCTCATCAAAGAAAATATGAATAACCATAAGCAATTATTGCAGAACCTCTTGTTTCAACAAAAAGGAGAGAAAAAGGAAAAAGAGGGGGAAAAAAATGGCAAAAAGCCAAAAAAAAGGTCTTTCATTTCAGATTATTATTTCAAGTGGAATTCCTAATATAGAACAAGTAATTTTAGCACAATTGCTTGCCAAAACAAACTCAAAATTACTAACTATATATATATATATATATATATGTATGTGTTTTGTGTGTGATAGATGTGTGTTGTGGTGTAATAGATATCAGCTCAGAATGAGAAATCAGAGAGCAGAGTTCTAATTCCAGTCAAGTTCTTTAAATTCACTTACACACAAATACCCTGGGGGGAAGGTATGAATCTATCTCTTCTCACTCCAGCTATGGGTTAAATAG